AACCCTAACCCTAACCCTAACCCTAACCCTAACCCTAACCCTAACCCTAACCCTAACCCTAACCCTAACCCTAACCCTAACCCTAACCCTAACCCTAACCCTAACCCTAACCCTAACCCTAACCCACATGCCCTCTAACACTGTTCCAACCTAAACTTCTGATCATTGCATTTCCGATCAGGATATTGTAGAGGACGGGGATCATGTAGTCACAAGTGCAACCTCTCGTCACTAGTACTACGCATGGCGCCTGGCTCTTTGTTAGCCTCGGTGTTTACTTCCTCAGCGGCGCCCCAAACGCATGGCTGATGCCATTGACCGTCGCTGTACTAGTAGTAGGTATTACCCGTAAGCAACTTTCCGACAAACGCTGAATGTTTCTTGGCTCTGATATCCTCGGCGCAACTTAGGTACTGATCAACTGAGAAATACCAATTCTCAATTACCATGAACCTCCACTGCGGTCAGGTACCGTGGGAAGAGGACGCAGGCCGTGGTTGCTTGTAAGCGATAAACACAGCCGCTGCCACGGGCATGGCCAACTTAGGTAAGAAGCCTAACTGAAGCAGCAATCCACATTTTCTTTGCATCCGCGAAGATGATGTAGAGCGAAGCTTACCAGCACTTTGATTACCCTCTCGAAATGTCCGTGGCGTGCCCGAGACGTGGCACTCAAAAGTTGCCTCTGTTGGGAGTACTACCTACGCGGGATATTTTTTTACAGTTAGGTTTGCCTAGGTATCGAGAAATTTATCTGAGCACGATTCAAAGTTGGCCATATAAATGTTGGCATGCGGCTTGCAGAGCTGCTTGATGCGTAAAGCGCGATAGTCCAGAATTTTGCCAATGCTCACTCCCTTACTCTTGTGCAACTTCTCTCTTGCAGCTAAACGAGCCTTCCAGACTCAGTCAGTATTCTAAAGCGTCTCTCGCTCTCAAACCGCCAAGCAAGCTTTGTTCCTTCAAGACTGATCATGACGACCATAGTACTTATGGCCTAACAAACACCACTTCCCATACCCTGATTCCTCCTGGACACGCGTGTATGACACCTTCTCACTCTTCTCCAGGTGCATGAATACCTATAATAATGTAGACGCTGGTGACATCCGAATGCTCAACTCATACCGGATTGTCAGAATCAACCCCCTCCCCCAACCTCCCCATCCTGACAAACCTCCCATCTTCCTCCCCAACCCATTCGCCTCTCGGCATAACCCAAGCCAAGATCTTCGGCCGGCACAGTGCCACAAGAAAATTTCGCGCACAACCTTCGTCGAACGGTCTCCTCACATCTCCTTCACCTTCCTGGGGACGGAGGACCGAGCCACGTAGGTATTCGTGCGTCGACTCACCCCGGGCGATCAAGAACAGATGGTAGCCGCACAGCGCACCAGGGAACAAAGACGCCAACAATGCGTAAATGACGAGGAAGAGGGAGATTGCGGATGCGGCGTGGTCTGTGCGGAGTGAGTGCGGGAAGGAGGTACCGGGGGATGAGTGACGGGTGTAGTGGAGGATGACGTGGGGCAGGGTCGTTGAAAGGGTTAGGAGGGAGAGGAGAAGGAGGGATGTTACGAAGGTGAAGAAATAGCGCTGTTCCGATCATTAGCTTATGCGGCATGAGGGGAAGGGGAGATGGGGGACATACGTAGTTTCGACGCCCAACACACGTATTCAGAAATTTGCAATGATGATCCGTCCACTCGATACACGCATCACAATATTTGCAGTGACTCGTTCGCGGAGGTCGATAAATTCGGCATGTCGTACAGTACTTCAGGTTCATTTCGACCTCGACCGGCTTTCCTTCCGCATTCACAACCTTCCGTCGACGGCGGTGTAAGAGGGGAAAGTGCGAGGGTGAGCGTGGTGTGAGGTGTGTCGAGAGCGGAAGCGGCCAGTTGTGAAACGAATCCGTCGGCTCCCGATCCAAAATATCCAGATTCCGTGGCAAAATCCCAGGATCAGTCCACCCAGCCTTCCCAAAACTAACCAAACAGACCAGTACCAAATACGCATAGACCCCAACGACAGCCGGGCTGATATGTTCCCATATCCACGGCGCTGTGAAGCCGAACCATAGACCGACTGGGATGATGATGATTAGGAGGGTGAGGAGGGAGGCGGGGTAGTGGTAGCGGGATGATTGGAGGCGCCCGTTGAGGTGGTAGGTGTGGGCGTGGGGGGTATGGTGGTAGTTCAAGTCGGCCTTCAGCTTCGATTTCGATTTTGATTTTGTCTTGAGAAGGGGCGTAAGAGGAGGTTGGCCCGGTGAGATGAGGGGGTCGGTGCTTGGGTGCTGGTTCCGAGGGGTTTGGGCGGGTAAGGCGTGGATTTGTGTTGAGGAGGCGAAGGTGTGGGGGGTTGTCGGGGTCGTTGGTAGGGATGTTGTTGGAATTGGTGGTGGAAGGGGGAATTCTGTTGTTATCGTGTTGGTGTGGATGCTTCTCGATATGATATTAGGACTTGGTATCGATGAATAGTCAGGGTGTTGTGTAGCCGTAGTATTCACAGTTGTAGGTGATGAAGATGGGTTCGCAGTCAAGGTTGAGGTTCCATGCTGGCTCTCGAGCGCTGTATAAAGAGTTGTAGACGCAGTTTCCGCTTCAGTACTTGTCGTTGAAGCAATCGGTATTCCTCTGGCTTCAGCGAAGCTCGCGAATGTCGGCGACGATGCGTGCGCAACTGCTTCCGTGATTGATTCTGAGCCTGGCTTCGACCCACTTTGGGAGCGAATGGCCCGTTCGCTCTCTGCCATTGACCTCCTGGTTCCAGTCGAACTCGGAGTAACCGTTGACGGCGCCTCGGCCAGTGCAGCTGTGATGGACTCCATCTCCAAACCTAACCCAGCGCGATTATGACGATCCGTGCTTTGCGCAAATGTTGGACAGCAATACTCATTCAAACCAGAGCTTTCCCATTCTCTGCCCTTCTCCTTGTTACCTGGTATTGTCCGTGAGTGCGGCGCAGGTGGCTCAACCTTAATATATCCCCATACAGCTTGTGTTCACGCTTCACGCGTCTCCCCTCCTCCGACTCCTCGGATCATCACAGAAAATAAAAATGGTCAGGGTTGTAACACCATCCTCCCTCCCCTTAGGTCTACTCGCGAAGAAGAGGCTTCATGAAGAGGAATCGCCTGCGCCGTTAAGGAGACGGACGCGTTCGAGTTTTGGGACGGGGTTGAACGTGGGGTTGCCTACTCCGCCCCTTTCTGCAACTGAGACGTCAACTTCTAGCTCTCCCCCAGCGTCGCGATCGCGTCGTGAGAGGAGTCCGAGACGTGATTCTGGAGTGTTGGCGGTGGCTCTTCCGAAGAGTTTGAGGTCGACCGCGAAGGTGCGTGGGAGGACTCTCCGTACGGTCGCGAAGGAGATTTTGTATAATGAGAACGAGGCACAGAAACGACAAGAGGCTGTAGCGAGGAGAACATCGCTTCTTTCCGCGATGGTGGTTGAGAAGAAGTCGATTTATGCCGAGTCGAGCTCGGAGGAGGAAGGTGAGGACTCAGACGAATCCGGATCAGAGTCGGAGGATGAAAGTGGAAGCGAAAGCGAAAGCCAAGGCAACCATGAAGGAGTCAACACTAAGCCCCGGAAAGTGTATCGCACGGAAGGACTCTATGTCGGTCTCCCAACACCTGCATCGTCCATCTCATCACCACCACCACCAACCCGCCGCGCCTCGACCCGCACCCGCACTGCCACCTTCAAATCCAAATCTCTCTGCAAACCCAACCCCCGCGAACCATTCTGGCCTCTCCCAATGTTAGCCGGCGCACACCTCGTCGACCCCTCCACCTTCCGCCCTTTCCAACTCCCCCACAACCTCCACGCGCCCTCCATCCCCCGTCCCCGCGCCCCCAAGAACTACCGAAAAATTCTGAAGAATATCTATGTCGACGTACCGCGCTCAGCCCTCCTCGTACCACCCTCCGACCGTCCGTCATGTTCGTGCGAACCCGGAAGTGGGTGTGGTGATAATTGCTGGAACCGTGCTCTATTCTGGGAGTGCGACGACTCGACTTGTGCATCGGGGCCTGGATGTGGGAATCGTGCGTTCCAGGAGATGGATGCAAGGGAGAAGGAGAAGAAGAGGAATAGGAACGTGGAGGTCGTCAAGACAAAGGACCGTGGCTGTGGGATCTGCGCGTTAAGGGACTTCGATGCGGGGAGTTTGATCGTGGAGTATCGTGGGGAGGTTATCTCAACCGAGGAGTGTCAGCGACGAACCATGGAGCGTATGAAGGCTGCCAAAGCAAAGGCCAAAGAAGCCACCAAGGGGAAGGGAAAGGTAACAGGCGGCGGCGAAGACCACTACTTCCTCGCCCTCCACAAATCAACCATGATCGACGCCCACACCCGCGCAAACGAAGGCCGCTTCGCGAACCACTCCTGCTCCCCTAACGCCAAAGTGGAAAAATGGTACGTGAGAGGCGAACCACGGGTTGGGATTTTTGCATGTGAGAAAGGAGTGGGGGTTGGGGAGGAGATTACGTATGATTATTGTTTCGAGTGGTTTGAGGGGGCGGTGGAGCAGGAGTGTAGGTGTGGGGCCGTGGGGTGCAGGGGATTTATCGGGAAGAAGGGGAGGGTGGAAGACAGCGATAGCGAGAGCGAGAGTGAGAGCGAAAGCGAGGAAGAGGCGGATGTCGTGATCAAAGGGTTACGATTAAGCAAGAGGAAAAGTATCGGATCGGTTGCTTATGGTCCTGCAACGAAAAAACTGAAGACCAACTCAAAAGGCTTGCTAGGGAAAGCCATGAGCAAAGTTGTGAGTGCCGCGAAACGTGTTTTTGCTCCTGCTGTAGCTCCGAGGTCCGCTGCCGAGGTAAAGCGGAGACCGTACAGGGGAGATAGGAGGTTGAGGAGGCGTTGAGTGAATTTGGTATTGAGACGAACGGGTGGTATGGGTTAAGGACATGGTTCATTAGGAGTTCTTTTGGATGGGTTATGCGACATGGACAACGCTAGTTAATTCGTGTAATAACATGCAAGTTTGTATTATGGAAAAGTATCAATACTTGCATGAAATGTCTGGTAGGGAGAGCACGACTTGGCCCTTGGAACTTCAGATCTTCGGACAACGTCAGCTCAATCCCTTTGTGAACCACATTAAAACTCCAATAAACCCAGTTGCAAATGTCAAAGTCACTTCATCGTACACTCCCCACCTACGCCTGCATCGCATCCCCATCCAGAACCCCCCCAATCGTCTCCCTAATCAACTCCTCGATCCCCCTCTCTTCGGTCGCCACAACGCTCAAGCGCTGACTCACAAAACCCACTTGGTCGTCACTCAACTCGTCGAAACGGGGGTGTGAAACGATTTTTGACCATACTTTGGGGCAGGACATCGCTGTTGGGGGCAGGACGGGGTGGGAGGATGTTGTGTGGGTGTGGAGGTAGGAGGAGGAGATGGAGGAGACGGTGTCGGGGCTTGAGGGGTTGCCGTTTGGTCCGGCGGAGGGTGAACGCGATGAATTTCGACCCAGAGGGAGAGTGTCGGGTTTGGGAAACTCAAACCGCGCCGGAACATTCGCTTCAGGTTTCAACTCCGGACTCGTTATCCCCGCCTGCCGCAAAACCTCATTCTCCATCTCCAACCTCGCAATCTGCTCTCTCAGCGTCTTGTTCTCCTCCGCCGTCAATGACGTGTTTTCCCTCAACTCGTTCAGTTTTTGTTCGAGTTCTTTGACGTGTTTTTCTTTGCGTTCGCGGAAGGCGCGTTGGGCTGCGCGGTTTTGGGCTTTGCGTTTGTCGAGTTCGGCTCCTCCGTTGGTAGCTGAGAGGGTATCTGGAGTGGGTGTACCGAAGGAGAGGTCGAGGGGGAGGGATGAGGTGTTTGGGGAGAAGGATTGGAGGAGGGGGTCGGATGGGCTGAGTTCTGTTCGGAACGATTCTGTCAGCTGCTGTAGACAAATAACACAGGTCCTCAAAAGGAATACGAACGTGGTACGTGACCGTTATTGAAGAATAGCGACGAGGGGTCTATTGACGCATCATATGGAGGATATTGTGCTGCGTAGTCGCCCATGTTGCCGTTCATACCCGGACTTGAGAGATGACTGATATGGATGAGAGTTGGAGGAGTGATTCGAGGAGAGTGAATAGATAGCTCTTGATTCGTAGGATGATATAGATCTGGTGTATATGAGCGGGTAGGTGCTGCAAATAAGGTTTCGGTCGGTCTAATGCGAATACCGGGGCGCTCGTGCTCGAGGCCGCCACTCATGGTGGAGAAGGGGTCAAGGAGCTTTCAGATTGTAGAAAGGGGTGGTATATATCTCTCATATAGAGGATTTCATATCATTACGGGCTTGGGCAGTTTTTCCATGTTTAAGCTGGGCTGGGTGCTGCACTCGTGTACTGCGTCCTACAGCCTCTACGTTACACCCTCCTCGACGATCTTCTCCCTCCAAACTCCCCTCGATCTTCTCAATCCACAATGTCACCAACACCACCCATCCCCTCCCCTTCCAACACAGCCCTGAAAAAAACCCAATACCCCCCCGGCGTAATCCTCCCACCCCCCGACATCCGCGACATCGTCGAAAAAACAGCAACCTACGTCGCCCGCTCCGGCCCAGCATTCGAGAGCAGAATCCGAGATACCGAGAAACATAACTCAAAATTCGCGTTCTTGAATCCCGCCGATCCATATTACCCGTACTACGCTCACAGACTCAGTGAGATCCAATCTGGGTCGACGGCGGGGTCGGGGTTGAACCCGGATCGTGAATCGCGGTTGAGGACGAGTGCGGCGGCGAAGGATGTGGAAGCGAAAGAGAGGCAATTGGATGATGCGCCGGAGGCGCCGCCGGCATATAAGTTCTCGGCAAAGTTACCGGCAATATCCGCTCAAGACCTCGATATCCTTCGCCTAACCGCACAATTTGTCGCCCGTAAGGGTCGCGGATTCCAATCTTCGCTCGCAAACCGCGAGGCACGGAATTTTCAATTCGACTTCCTCCGACCAAATCACTCACTCCATCCCTACTTTCTTGCGTTGGTGGAGCAGTATACACAAATCCTTATCCCACCCACCCCACATCCAACCATCGAACTCCAAAAGAACGTGGAAGACGTCTATGCCCTCCTACCACGCATCCAATCCCGCGTCAATTGGTCGAAACATCAAGCCTCCCAACAAAAGCGCCAAGCAGAAGAAGACGAGAAAGAGCGAATCGCGTACGCCGCCGTAGATTGGCAGGACTTCGTGGTGGTGGAGACGGTGCTATTTACCGACGCAGACGAGAACGCCGAGCTTGCACTTCCAGTATCGCTGAACGACCTTCAGAGCGCTACACTGGAGGAGAAAGCGCGGATGCGAGGAGAAACCCTAGCTATTGAGGACGTACCGGTACAGGAGGAGGAGGAAGAAGTCGCGATACCAGTGCCAGCTCCAGCGGTGGCAGAAATCGACGAAGAAGCACAATTCATCCAACAACGCATGCACCAACGCGAACAAGCCCGCCTCGCCCACCAAACCGCAACCACCCTCCCCCCCAACATGAAAATCCGCCCTTCCACCCACGACCCCCGCACCCGTACCCCCCACCCCTCCCAAATCGCCACCCAACTCTGCCCGCGCTGTAATGCCCCCATCCCCGTCGACGAGATGGCAGAACATATGAGGATTGAGTTGTTGGATCCACGATGGCGGGCACAGAGGAGTGTGGCGGAGAGTAGGGAGGTTGGGACGAGTAATTTGTATGTGGAGGATGTTGTTAGGAATGTTAAGAGGGTTATGAGGGGGGAGGAGGGGGAGGGGGTGAGGAAGAAGCAGAGGGAGGCTTGATTTGGGGGATGCAGTGTGAGGGAGGATGAGGTTGGTCGTAAGGTTGGTATTTATCGGATTTACCAAAGCCCCGTCGTTACTTGGGGCCGGATAGCGATAGCATCTCGAGCAAAAGCATAAGAAAACGCCTACAACCAGTCCTTCCTTTCCCTTCCATAAGCTCAAGCTCACATGACTCTCCCAGACCTCACCCTTTCCCTGTAAGAGCCACAGACTCTCCCCAACATGTATAGTCATAAGGAGAGAGGGAATGAAGCTGTTGTGGGGTGGAGCGACGTCGTAGTCTTCCGCGCACGGGGGTTACAGTAGGTCAGCGCCGAACTGCCTGCTATACGTATCCTGACAGCTGCCACCACCCCTTAGCTGTTATGTTTTGCTGTCCCTTCAACAATGGCCAATATAACTTCATACTCCCCCTTTCTCTTGCTGCACCTCCCTCCAATACCTTTCCGCAACCTCCCCACCCCTCACCCCTCCTCCCCCAAACCACCAGCCCTCAAACCTCCTCACATACTTCGCAACCGGATTATCCCTCTCGAAACTAAATGCGTCCGTCAAGATCGTCGTCAGACCGCCCAAATTCCCGTAGTATACGTCCGTGAGCCGACGATCGCCGACGAAAGCTATTGTGTGTGGGGGGTGGGGGGAGAAGTGCGCGAGGAGCGCGTCGGAGCCTGCGGGTTTCTTGAGTGTGTGTTGGAGGACCTCGACACCGAGCCCAGGATGTACGATCCGCTTCTCTGCCGTAAAATTCGGATCGTCCGGTGTTCCCAACGAGTTACTGACCACACAAACATTCTCCCGCCCAAAAACCCTCTTACACTCCTCCCATCCTCCCTCGAACTCACTCCATATCTCATCCGCGTACGGTGCGGTAAGGGTGTTGTCTTTATCGAATGCGATGGCGCGGATACCGGCGCGTTTGAGGGCGGGGAAGGAGATGTGGGCGATGGAGGGGAGGTGGAGGTGGGGGGTTGCGAGGGAGGGGGAGAGGAAGGCGCGGAAGGAGAGGAGGATGCCCTGGGGGTTGAAGGACTGGACCATTGCAATTGGGTCAAAGATTGGATTTTGCACGGTTTTTGGGTACGTTGTCGCTGCGACCGGTGCCCTCGAGCTCGCCCTGCCTGCGTTTGCACGGCCGCGAGGAGAGAGGAGGCTCGCCGCTCAAAAAAAAAAGACGACGCTTTATCGATACCTAACGACGATAACGACTTCTCGAATTTGAAGTTTACGGCAATTTATACGATCACCAGTCTTTCCTAAACGAGCCTGCCAGTACCCTTTTCTTCACAAATCAGACCAGATCAGATCACAATGGCCACAGCAATGGATCTCGACACCACCCAACCACCCCTCCTCCTCCCCGGGGAATCCCTCCCAGAAGACCTATCTACAACCACATTAAACCCCCTCCGCCTCGGTCCCGGCCTCTTCCTCTCCCACGACCCTACAAATTCCTCAATCCTCCCTCAAAAAGCCGGCCGCCTCCAATCCCCAGCACCAAAGTCCTATTACATCGAATCTTCTCAGAAGAGATATGTCCCAGCCGTAGGCGAGAGCGTCATCGCCCAAGTAACCGGAAAACATGTCGAAGGGTACAAGCTCGACATTGGATCCGCTCACGCCGCACAACTCGATGCCCTCGCCTTTGAGGGCGCGACGAAGAAGAATCGACCAATGCTCAATATTGGATCATTGGTTTATGCTAGAGTGACATTAGCGAACAAAGATATGGAACCCGAACTCGAATGTGTTGATCCCACCACAGGAAAGAGCGCTGGCTTCGGCGAGTTGAAGGAGGGATATGTCATGACCGCCTCGCTCTCATTGTGTAGACGGCTCTTGATGCCAAGCCCACCCGTGCTCTTGGCGTTAGCGGGACAAGTCGCGTTCGAGATCGCGGTGGGTGTTAATGGACGGATATGGGTGAAGAGTGCGGATGTGGCGACGACGATTGCGGTTGTGGAGGCGGTTAGGCGGAGTGAGTTCTTGAGGGAGAGTGAGGTTGGGAGGATGGTGAAGGAGGTTTTGACGGGGGTTGGGGAGAGGGCACAGCATGAGTAATGGAATGGGTGTTTGCAATTGGGTCGAATAAGTGGAGAATAAAGCAATACGCTATCTAAGCGAAAGTGAAAGTAACCGCAGCTGCCGGCCCGAGAATGATGTGGTCACAAATGATAAAGAAAAAACAAACGCATACTATGCTTCCTGCCTTCCCCCTTCGACATCACATCGTTCGCACCGTCTCAATTCTCATCATCATCCTCCGCCAACAACCTCGCCCTCTCCGAATCCCCCTCCGGCACCAACGAATTCCAATACCCCGTCAACGGCACACTCGTCTCCGGATTCCTCATATGCGCAATCAACAAAATACTCCCAAATACCGCTTTACTCATCACATCCAAAACCGCGTACGCAATAATCTCTGCATCGACTCCAATTTTCCTGGTTCCTTCTCCGAGTGCCCAGACGATGGGGTATGCACACCAGAGGGAAACTGCGTAAAACCCGAGCGTGTCGTAGATCTTCCGAACCCTCCCTCCCCTCGCCTTCGCATGCCTCCTGGCCGTAGTCGTAAGTAATCCAACAACATACAAAAACAACACCAAACTCATCACGAACCACCCCCACCTCGCCTTCCCATGCCCCGTCCTCCTACTCTTCAGCCCCGCAAACAATCCAAGCAAAATCATCCCCTGATCCGCCGTCGTGAGGAGTATGATATCGACCCATCCCATCCCCGCCAGGAAGGCTAGATCCATGAGGAGGAGGGGGGTAGTGAAGAGCCAGTCTACGTAGCGGGCCCAGAAGACTTGGCGGTAGGCGTGGACGTCAGCGGAGTCGTGTGGGGTTGGGATACAGGTTGAACCGGAGTGGGTTGCCATTGCGTAGTATGATACCGCGGCGATGAGTGTGACCGTTGTCGTGATGTAGTGGAAGAGGCGGAGTGACTGCACTCACATATCAGCATCTCCAGCTACGGGATTGGATGCAGGATAGTCAAGCACCTTCTCGACACGGGAGGCTAGGAAGATGAAGAACAGGGAGGAAAGGAGGAACACGGCGTATGTAGCCCAGAAGACGGAGTACCCGAGATGGGAGGCGGATTCGCAGGTTCCGTTGGGTGGGTATGGGTAGCGATGGCCTGGAGCTGGGGGTGCGAGGAATTCTTCCATCGTCGATATTTGTTCTTTAACTGAGCTGGGTTGTCAAATGTAGTTGAAGGGATGGACAGGGTTATATACGAATCCGAGATAACCTTGGCGACAGGCGTGAGACAACGGGTATACCGGAGACCTTGGGTGGGGTAGCTGTGGGCATTACGTATTCACTGATCAGGTGCTTCAATTGCCAATATAATTCCCGTCATCACGATTTGTGGAACCTGGAAACTTGAATTTAGAACTCGTGAGTCACCAGCTGATACGATCCATCGTTGCGGCGACGGTTGCCTTGTGTGGTGCGCCGCAACGGTTGGACGTTCTGCCGCTCACCTGATCGACCGACGGGTAACAGCGATCCGTGTCCACGATGTTCAAGCTGTGTCGTTTAACTCGGGGTGACGACAACCTTTTTGCTAAACACAATTGCTTCCTTGAAGATGCTCCAGACGTGAAGCGAGGTTTGAAAGCGTATGGTTGCAGAATTCCCACGGATCTTGTTTTCATGAATATTTTTGTAATTGCGACAACGAGTCTGAACAAAGCGTCATTGGTGTAATGGTTAGCATTGAAGCCTTCCAAGCTTTAGTTCCTGGTTCGATTCCTGGATGACGCAGTTGTTTTGACTTTTGGTCTCGTTCCACGTGCACAAACACTCCGTGGTAAGCGTCAAGAAGCGTTCAATAATTCATCGTCCTTTTGTCAGCTTTCTCTCAGGCGCATCATACACGGCGGCCCGGTCTCCCACCTGCACGGCTGACGCTGGAGCCCTGACACGTACCGCGACCGACAAACGTATCGCGTACAACGAAACACAACCACCAAAAATACAATCCCCCCCCCCCCCCCTCATCGAACGATAACCCGACTCTGCTAACTGCGCCATCAATTATTTACAAGCTCATTGCTCGGCTAGTTCTCGATCATGAGCGGTTACAAGAAGGACGAGGATATCGGTACGCTACGTCGCCCTCCATGATGCGATTTGACACGTGCTGATCAATTGCGAACAGAGGCAACTCCTTTCACGTCGATCGATAAGACGACTGTGTTCCAGGAAGCTAGGATCTTCAATTCCTCGCCTATCTCGCCCCGGAAATGCCGCACCCTCCTCACTAAGATCGCATACCTCCTTTCCACCTCGACCTCCTCCGCACCCGTCTTCACCAAAGAGGAAGCGACGCAGCTCTTTTTCGGTGTCAGTAAGCTTTTCCAGAACAAGGATGCTGGATTGAGGCAGATGGTCTACGTCGTCATCAAGGAGTTGGCGAGTGTTGCCGAGGATGTCATCATGGTCACGAGTTCGATCATGAAGGATACAGCTATGGGAAGCGATGTCGTGTTCAGACCTAATGCCATCAGAGCATTGTGCAGAGTTATTGATGTATGTCGGCCTCTGCGTGGAGAAGACTGGGTTTGCTAACGCCGGGTCGCCCAGAGTACTACCGTCCAAGCAATCGAGCGACTCATCAAGACCGCGATCGTCGACAAGCATGCTTCTGTTTCGTCCGCCGCTCTGGTCTCCTCTTTCCACCTTCTTCCTATCGCGTCCCCGATCATCAAGCATTGGGCCAACGAGACGCAGGAAGCCGTCACCGCGTCAAAGATCATCACCATGAATGGACAGCAACTCAGCGGTGGAAGTTCGATCGCTCAGTACCATGCCCTCGGCTTGTTGTACCAGATGAGGAGTGGAGACCGTATGGGCGTCATCAAGATGATTACCCAATTCGGCTCCTCAGGCTCCAACAACTCCGGCGGAGGAATGATGGGTAAATTGCTCGGAGGCGGTGGAAACGGCTCGTTGAAGTCTTCGGCTGGATTGGTCATGTTGATCCGTTATGCCGCCAAAATCGCTGCCGAGGACCCGAACCAGCGCGCAAGCATGGTCGGTATCATCGAGTCCCTCCTTCGTCATCGCTCGGATATGGTCAACATCGAGGCGGCAAAGGCCTTGCTCGACATACCCAACGTACAAGAATCCGAGGCACAAGCCGCGGTCACCTGTTTGCAGCTCTTCCTTACAAGCCCCAGGTACGCCGCCAGATTCGCAGCGATCAGGACCTTGAACAAGTTTGCGATGAGGAACCCTGCCGCGGTTAGTGTCTGTAACCCCGATATCGAGGGCATGATCGCAGACAGTAACCGGAGTATCGCAACCTTTGCTATCACCACCCTCCTCAAGACCGGAAACGAGGCTTCTGTCGATAGGTTAATGAAGCAGATCCAGGGTTTCATGGGCGACATCTCGGACGAGTTCAAGGCCACCATCGTCGACGCCGTGAGGTCTCTCGTGCTCAAGTTCCCCGCGAAGCAGGGTATCATGCTCGCTTTCTTGAGCGGCGTGTTGAGGGATGAGGGTGGTTACGACTTCAAGAGATGTGTCGTCGAGGCTGTGTTCGACATGATCAAGTTCGTGCCGGAAAGTCGTGAGGAGGCGTTGAGTGTCTTGTGTGACTTTATCGAGGATTGCGAGTACTCCAAGCTTGCTGTACGAATCTTGCATCTCCTTGGACAGCAGGGACCGGGTATGCCTATGCCGAGGAAGTATATCAGGTACATCTACAACCGAGTCGCGCTCGAGAATGCGTTGGTTAGGGCTGCGGCGGTATCCGCCCTCGCGAGGTTCGCGGTCGGAGATGTAGATCAGGGCGTCAAGACCAGCGTAAAGGTCTTATTGGCGAGATGTATGGATGATATCGATGACGAGGTGCGTGATCGTGCTGCGTTGGCCTTGAGGTGTGTCGAGAACGAGGAAATGGCAAACAAGTTCGTCAAGAACGACGCGGTCTTTTCCCTGCCTGTCCTGGAACAGCAGCTCGTTCTTTACGTGTCTGATACCGGATCATTCGAGAAGCCTTTCGATATTAAGCAGGTTCCTGTTATCACAAGAGAACAGGCCGATGCGGAGGCTTTCCAGAAGAAGACGCAGGCGACTACTATTGTCGGCTCGACATTCGGTACTGACAAGCCTGCTGCCAAGGCAGCTGCTACTGTTGCTTCCGTCGGTGGAGCAAGCGCACCGGTCGAGGATGCTACGAGTCGGTATGCTCAGGCTTTGGCTGCTGTACCCGAATTCAGCAGCTACGGCGCAGTTCTGAAGAGCTCCAGGGAGGTCGAGCTTACGGAAAGGGAAATGGAGTATGTCGTCAGTGCCGTCAAGCACGTCTTCAACGAGCACATCGTCTTGCAGTTTGACGTCCAAAACACCATTCCCGATACTATGCTCGAGAACGTATCGATGGTTGCGGTACCGGAGGATGAGGAGTCACTTGAGGAGGAGTTTATCATTCCTTTGCCGACGCTGACGGAGGGCGTGCCCGGGACTATTTACGTTGCGTTCAGGCGTGTGGAGCCTGAGATGTACCCCATCACTTCATTCACTAACACGCTCAAGTTTACCACGAAGGAGGTTGATCCAACCACAGGAGAGCCCGAAGAGACCGGCTTCGATGACGAATACCAGGTCGAGAACCTCGAGCTCGTTTCCGGCGACTTCATCTCACCAACATTCATCGGTTCCTTCACACAAGCCTGGGATGCCCTCGGCCCCGCAAACCAGGCAACGGAGACGTACGCCCTCTCCTCCCTCCCCTCACTCGCCGAAGCAACGAAAAACGTCGTCGAGGTCTTGGGTATGCAGCCACTGGAAGGCACCGACTCGCCCACCTCCACGACAACGCATGTGGTCAAATTGAGTGGGCGGGCGACGGGTGGGGAGAAGGTGTTGGCGAGCGTGCAGATGGTGTTTGCGTCTCAGCGGGGAGTTACGGTCAAGATTACGGCACGGGCGGAGAGTGAGGGTGCGGCTGCGTTGGTGGTGAATGGGATTGCATGAGGGAAAAGCGGTAGTGCTTGCTGGGAGGAAGCGTAGAACAGTTAACTTTTAACTACTTGCCAATTAACGCAACGCACGCACGCTCACGCTCACGCTCAATGACAAGGTCGCGCGCGCGGGCCAAGTGACGATGACGTCACCACGAGAATTACTTAAAGAGTCACCCGGAGCCAGCAGCACCGACGCATACACTCCCCACCAACACACCGACGCATACACTCCCCACCAACACACCGACGCATACACTCCCACCACACACACACAGGACGTCTGTCTCCCTCCGCCCCGTCTACCCAGGACAATGCTAACCAGCCGAAGTAGTCATACGAAATGGCCACAAAAGCTTCCTCCGCCGCCGGCACCTTCAAACGCTGGGGCCGCCGCGACCCAGAACTCTACGGCATGCTCGCTATCGTCGGCGGCATGTTCGCCTGGGCCGGTTCCCATTTCGCCCGCAAAAACGGAACTTCGGAAACCGAAACCGAGGTTGTACACCCCGTTCACTCCGCTATGCCTTGGGAGGGCGACGCCAGCGACAAATCGGGGAAGGATTTCAAGTACAAGTATCATCCGGGAGGCGATACGAGTCGGGAGCCGAAGGAGGCTCCGGGGGCTTTGACGAGGAAGGAGGTCAAGGTCAGAAATGTGGATCCGGAGGTTTTGGAGAAGTTGAGTCAGAAGTAAGGCAGGATGTGGATGAAGCGAGTGTTTGATTTATTTGTCAGGTTTGAGATGAGAGAGAGCATTGTTTTGAGTGATGTACGATTGCACAGAAGTCGAAGAAAGTGTACGATCAGGGATCGTGTCCGACGACGCGAGAGAAACATGGGGATTGAATTGGGATTAGGATCGAACAGTTACTATCACTATACTCTTAATGCGAACACCGTTCACAAACACTACACAAATATAAAACGTTACATACAGATACTCCTGTCGCATACGTACGCCGTCGTCGGTGGTCAACTGCAACGCGCGCCGACGTCCTCGAGCAAGGGAAAACAATTCCAAGAAGAGGACAACGCAGCATTGAACAGGTGAGAGTCAACGCCAGACAATTGCGATCGCACCACCACCATGAGATCCATCATCTTTCCCCTGCTCTTCCTCCTCATCCTCACCCTCGTCTCTGCCTCCCGAGACTTCTACAAAATCCTCAACATCCCCCACACCTCCACCCCCCAACAAATAAAATCCGCATACCGCTCCCTCTCCAAAAAATGGCATCCAGACAAGAACCCAGATAACCCAGACGCACATTCCAAATTCGTGGAGTTGGCTGCTGCGTATGAGGTGTTGTCCGATCCGGAGAAGAAGGAGGTGTATGATAAGTTTGGGGAGGAGGGGTTGAGTCAGCAGGGAGGAGGAGGAGGGGGACGGGGGGGCCCGGGTGGTGGTGGGGATCCGTTTGATATGTTTGCCAAGTTCTTTGGTGGGAGTGGGCATTTTGGGCAACATCGGCACCCTCAGACGCCGCGTGGTCCGACGCTCGAGACGGTCCTCGCTGTTCCACTGCGCAATCTTTACACTGGCTCAACCATCCCGCTCTCCCTCGAAAAACAGCAAATCTGTACGGAATGTCTCGGTACCGGCGCAAGAAGTGCGGAAGATGTCGTAACATGTGGACAATGCCGTGGAAGCGGCCGAGTCATCAGAAAACACCAACTCGCACCCGGTATCGTCCAACAAGTCCAAATGGGCTGCGATAAATGTGGAGGAAAAGGAAAAGAGATCAAACATGTTTGCACAACCTGCCGTGGCTCAAAAGTAGTCCGCGGCACAACCGAGTTCGAGGTCGAGATTGAGCCCGGGATGATGAAAGGCCATAAAATCGTATTCGAGGGCGAAGCGGATGAGAGTCCGGATTGGGAAGCAGGCGATTTGGTCCTCGTTATCGAAGAACAAGAGCCTACTACATCATCGCCCTCCTACCCCTTCCGTCGCCGTGGGCAAGATCTGTACACCACTGTCCTTCTACCATTACAAGATGCCCTCCTCGGCTCGTGGACACGGACGATCGACCTGTTCGGACAGCGTGCTATCACGCTCTCCCGCGCACGGGGTGAAGTTGTTCAGCCGGGCTACGTGGAGGTTAGGGAAGGGGATGGGATGCCGGTGTGGGGGAAGGAAGGGGAGTGGGGACGGATGTATGTTGAGTATGTTGTTGTGTTGCCGGAGGGGAGGGGGGAGGTGTTTTTGAGGGAGTTGGAGGAGGTGTTTGGGAAGGAGAAGGGGGGAAAGGATGAGTTGTGAGGTAGTGCATAGAAGAACGTTAAGGGGGGTTGAGTGGGAGCATGGTTATAGATTGATATCCTCTAGCATATGTCACGGATTTATGTTGTCCGATCATAGCTCACAAGAATCAATGTTTCCCTATAGACTTCTTCAGTGGTTGTCGTCGGTTGCTTCATGAGCAATCTACGTATACGCGCACAGACCACCACCCAAACGGACGACACTCTACGCCTTGACGACGATGGCACGGCCTGGCATAAAGTGAGATGCGATGGCTATGGCCTGGGCGTTGCGCCATTGGCAATTCCCTCTCTTACTCAGGAGGTTTAAGTATCCCCCAACCGTCGCTATTCTTCAAGAGGGAGTTTAAGGGTGTAAGTGTGGGCAAAGTCGACGTTCAACTTCAACTCCCAGGAAAGCGCTTGTACAGAAACGAACAGCCAAGATGTGGTGCGACTGCTGTTGCATCGTACGTCGTCCTCCTCCCCCCTTTTCTCTCTTTTCCCACCCCTCTAACCAGGTGTTCACAGGTCCTCCCTCTCCGCCTGGGCGCAATCATCCTCTCTTCCCTCATGCTAATCTACCAAACCATCGGCCTCTACCTCCTTCACACCTACTCCTCCATCCTCCCCTTCTCCACCTACGAAACCTACTTTTACCTCGCCACCTCCGCTCTGCAACTCCTCACAACCTTCCTCTCGCTCGTCGCGCTCGGGATTCGGTCGTGGGTGTTGACAAGGATGGCGTGTTGGACGTGGTTGCCGTTGTTGTTGTTGGGTGGGGTCCGGGGTGGGGTTATGGCGTATAGGTTGCAGAAGGGGGTGTATAGTGTTGAGTGGGTGTGTAACCAAAACGCTACATCTACGCTCACTGCCAATTCGTCGTACATCACCAACACCACCACTGGGATCGAGAGTAAGATATGTGCGGTGGGGGCACAGGCGGTTGTGGAGTATGCTGCGATCGCATTGGTTGTGGATTATGTCCTGATGTGTTATTTGGCGTTTTTGGTGTGGAGGTATCGGGCGTATCTGTTGACGTTGGCGAGGTTTCCGAAGGCATGTCGGGCGTGTATCTCTGAAGGGCACTTACTGACACTGGCGGACAGATTGATTATGCCTCGTTGTATACGTGAGGAGGAGGGATGCTCTTTGTCGATATCGATGTTGGAGAAGGGAATGGCAGGGGTGTGGGAACTTTCAGTGAAGCCGGAATTGACAGGCGGAGTGTCAGACGACACGGACGATACTGATGAAGAATATTGCTATCAAATTCAATCAAATCCTTACTCAAGAAATATGGCGATCCCCCACGACTTCTCTTCGCTGTAAATTACTGCACGGCGATAACTTAGAAAACTTGGCGCCGCCGTACGTACCGTACGTCAACAGCTGACCGCAGCCTGACAACTTGACCGATCAGGTATACGTTACAACCACATGCCCGAACGGCTGTCATACCTGACATCTTAAACGATACTATCTATCTCGTCTCGTCCTGAAGTCAATAGCTATAGCTAGACAGACGAAGCGTCTGATCAGCACAGCATGCCTCGCTACCTAAGCATCCTTGCCCCCCTCGCAATCTTCTTCGTCCTCTTCCTCATCAGCACCTCCTCTCTCCCACCTCTCTTCACAACCCCAAACGCCCGCATCATCCTAACCCACCCCTCCTCCTCGCCTCCATCCTCCCCCTCCGATCCCGACCGCGGGCACCCAACCAACAAGACCTTTGACGCACTTGAAGCACTTTTCGGACCAACGATCCCACCTACCGGAATTGTTGGACAGTTGTTTTTGGCGGATCCGCGCGATGGGTGTGGTGTTGGGAGTCTTGTCGGTGGTGAAGCGATGGTGGATAAGATCGTTGTCGTCCTCCGCGGTGGAGCCTGCACATTCCTCCAGAAAGACCTAAACGCGGCACGGATACCTGGTGCGAAAGCCGTGCTTATTGGAGACGTCGAAAGGAGACCCGGGGAGCGTGGGTCTGGGGGTGAACTTGTTAGGATGGGTCCTATTGCTGATGGTGAGACGATTGAACTCCTCAATTCAACGCCAAGGCGTGTCTCTAATTGTGTGCTGACAACATTGTCTTACAGCTCCCCTCCCAGCGCTCTTCATCTCCCACACAACGTACACCCACCTCCTCTCCGCCTTCTCCCCTCCTTCCTCCCACGACCCCTCCCTCGGCCACCACCCTCCACAACCACCTACGCTCCACATCCTCCCCTCGCCCTCTCCACCCCTCCTCTCAACCCTTCTTCTTCTATTCTTCTCACCTCTTACGCTTCTTTCGGCACTGGTGTTCTTGTGGGCCCTTCGCCGGAGACGGGAGAGAGTCGCAATGAGGGCGAGTGAGGAATGCGTCAGACGAATGCCGGTACGAGTCTACGGCGCAACCTCCACCTCCCCATCCACCTCCACCACAACATCTCCACCCAGCACGGCACCTGCGTCGCCTGGTACTGACCTACCCCTCACCTCACCCACGGGCACCCCACCTGCCCCCGTCCCCGCCTCAACCCCAACACCCCCAGCCCCACCGTCCCTCCCCTTCTCACCTCCTCAACTCGAAAAGCACCCCGACTGCCCAATCTGCCTCGAAGACTACACCCCAGGCGAACTCCTTCTCACGCTCCCCTGTGGACACGAATACCATAAAGCGTGCGTGGAGCCCTGGTTGGTGAAGCGGAGGAGGGTGTGTCCGATTTGCAAGAGGGATGTTAGTGTTGGGATTGGCGGTGGGGGGCAGGGGGAGGGGAGTCAGAGGGAGGGTGGGGAGGCTGTTTGAGATGGAGCAATGGGTGAACTGGATGGGGTGCAGGTTGTGATGATTTTTGGGTCTGATAGGGCAGGAAAAGCGGCGGGGGAGGTTTAGGTGTTCATTTGGTACGGAGTCATATTGGTTTACGACAGGATCTGGATTCGGATATGGTATTGGTTATTGGCTATCGGTGTACGAGCGTAGCTTTGTTGTTACTCTTTTCTGAATTTCAATTGGTTTCTTTGTTTTCCCCGACTTCTTAGCCGTCTTCATCATGGTTTACACATAGAAAACAGTCTTAAAGTCAAGAAGATGTCGTTTCAAACCAATACATTAAACAAAGTGATGGCACAAACCAACGAAAAAGAACGAAAAGAGCCTTCAGCAGCGACAGACGAAACCAACACACCCCACAACTCCCTCGCAACGTCGACGGAACCAAGAAAAGCAGAAGTCCTCCACTCCCGATCACGACCCCCCTCCTCACGGACCTTCTCTTTCACCCCTGTTTTCTCCCTGCCATTGTCGAGAGAAAGGTTGCAATTTCGTCTTCGCATCACCATCCATGGCTCATAAACAACAAAACGAAAACTGCCCCACTGGATCCTCAATCGCACCTAACCCTCTGTACACGACACGTTTCCCTTTTTGGCACCCACGACACCGGTATTACATAACATCCCCAGAAGCCGCCGTCCCGCCGATATAAAGATCCAGTCTTGCAGTAGAAAACAAACAATGAGTAACACACCCAAACAACAAAACGAAAAACCAATAACGAAAGCAAAAGAGTAGAGAGCCCGATAGACTCATACGTAACGCCCCCGATAAGCAAAGAAAGTAAGGTCCACGTATACGGGACCTCACATCGAACGAGAGAAGGGCACGAAGAGCAAAAGAGAAACCCCCGGCAATTCAAGCGAAAGAAAGTGTCTGATCCCCTTCTCTTCGCTCCCCCTCTCAACAAAGCTCATCAAAACAACCCCAGACGCGTTTAACCAACATTCACATCACTCTCCTGTTTCCTCACTTAGTACCACCTCTGCTGGGAGCCAGGCGCGGGTGGACCGGGCTGCCCAGGCTGCTGCTGTCCCCGACTCTGACTCCTCAACAGACGATCACTGCCTGACGACTGCTGAAGACCAATCTGCGGCTGCTGGGTAGTCTGGATACCCTCCGGAACGTTGCTCGAAATCTTCCTTCTGGGAGGGTTGACGACGCCAGCGCTGGAAACACCAGTCCCTGGGGTAGCCTGAGCAGAGGCATTAGCGGCAGAAGCGCGAGTGGTACGCTTGGGCGGCTCGCCGTAGCCCTGGTCCATGGCCATACCGTTGCCGGGAGCACCAGGGGAGACGACCGGCGCCTGCTGAATCTGAGGCAACTGCTGTCCGGGTTGCTGCTGACCCTGGTCACCCTGCGGCCCATCGTAACCGGGCTGTCCGGGCTGTTGCTTAGAGTACTTGAAGATCGTCCAGTCGAAGACGTAGTCGTACTGGAAGCCCTCTCTCACGAACAAGTCCCTGAACAACTTACGGAGGTAAGCGTAGTCGGGCTTGTCGTCGAAACGCAGGGAACGAGTGTAGTTCAAGTAGATACCGAACTCTCCAGGGAAGCCGCGGCACAAATGCTCCGTAGGGGTGGTCATCTTCTTCTCCATGATACGGTCGTACTTCTGCTTCTTGGTGGCAGCCTTGAGACCCTGCCAGGGGAGGGACCCACGGCAGAAGTACATCATCACGTAACCCAAGGACTCCATATCATCACGACGGGACTGCTCGACACCAAGATGAGTGTTGATGGAGGCGTAACGAGCGGTTCCGGTGAGGTTCTTGTTCTCGCGGTAAGGGATGTGTAGGTGAGTCTTGGGGTCGCGGTACTTCTTGGCAAGACCAAAGTCAATGACATTCACTTGGTTGCCACGCTTACCGATGCCCATAAGGAAGTTGTCGGGCTTGATATCACGGTGGATGAACGACTTGGCGTGGATGTACTCGATGCGGGAGATCTGTCCAACTGGTTAGGAATCACACAAGCTATTCTGGCACCAGTGGGACTTACCAACTGATCAGCCAACAACAACACCGTCTTCAACGAGAACTTCCGGTTACAGAAGTTAAATAGGTCCTCCAAACTAGGACCCAGCAAATCCAAGACCATAGCATTGTAATCACACTCAACTCCGAACCAACGCACGAAAGGGATACCAACACCACCCTGGAGAGCCTTGTAGACGCGAGCCTCATACTCCAACTGCGGGTGCTTGGCCTTGACGGACTCGAGCTTGATAGCGATTTCCTCACCGGAGATGATATTGGTGCCGAGGTAAATGTCACCGAAAGAACCGGAACCGATTTTACGGCCGATGCGATATTTGTTGCCTATGAGAGGTTCTTAGCACACTGCCATTGATACCGGGAACAAGGTATAGGGGTATATGCTGTCATCTCGGGATGATTGCGTAACGTCATATGCCGACGACAATAACCCCCAACGCGCCATCCCAACAGCATACACCCTTCCAAAAGTAACTTACCTACGCGAAGATCCATGGCCATCTCAATTGCAATTGCTTATTGTCGATAAACCGTGTTTTCGCTCCGTGTAGACCGTGATTCAGTTCGCGTTTCCAGTCAGGAGAAAGGATTGCGCAGTGTCGGATGGTCGGAGAGAACGAAGATCAGATAATGAGTATTCGTCGATGGAGAGGAGGGAAAGGCTCGTCGTATATGTGCAATGGACGTAGCTCTTTGTAAGGGGAGAAGGTATGGCAAGCGGGCGTTGGTGTTGATGACCCGCAGCAGGTCAAGATTTAGGGCTGCATGTCGCCTTGCCGTGGTGGAGTGACTGTGATGGAGTGATGTGAAGGTGATTGTTCTTTTATAACATTTGAAGAATATTTGTTTAGTTGTACATTATAAGTTCGATGTGTCATCACATGTCATCGTATCACGTTTCACGATCCCGTTCCCGTTCACGTCTCATTATTCACGGTCACGGTTCACCGGTTCATTGTCGTCGCTAAGTCACTGAGTCGCCGTCGGATCCTTTCTCCTCATGCTCGTTGTTGTTGACTCTTCGTGCAGACCCTCACCTCCCTATGCATCCCTCTCCTCTCCAGCTTATCAGATGACACGGCTTGTACTGTATTCAACCTGAACCAGGCATATGATTGCTGCTGATGATATGCTGTTGACGCCAGTTCTAGGATGGAGGTTATTGTTCAGGATAGCAAACAAGCTATGGCTATAGCTGTTAATACATTCATTCGTCTATCTTCCATTTGTAGCGAAGTCCTCCCATGTCCACCTCAACTTCCTCACCATGTCCGCTTTGTTCATCGGCTTCCCATTCTTAGGATAAGCAGCTCCAAGTAACCTCAGACCACCCTGGATCGTGTGGATGTTCTTTTGCTTTAACTTGCAGAGGGCGTAGTCCTTGAGGTTTTCGGAGGCTGTGCAGGACTTGAACGGGTTCTCCGTTCTCTCCGCCCTCGCTATCTCTGCCTTCTCTGCCCTCACCAGCCTCGCCTTCTCCTTCTCCGGGTTTGGTTTCCTGCTCAAGGTCAACGCTGACATCAAAGTTAACAGCTACCATTGAGGAGACCCGATAAGAATGGGTCACAACCACAACCGGTTTGACAAGACCAAGATACTGAGCTATAAACTTCACACAATCATGAAACTCCCCTTTCTTGGGGCAGGGAAAGAGGTTGTAAAATGGGAAAAGATGTAGGGAGTGCACGCGCGATGTGCAGGCATGGGATGCCAGGGGCTTACATAGAGCGTTTACCCTTCGACCTTACTCTGCCTGTACCGAGCTCCGCACAAAAGTTATAGACTTCCCGCACCTCGATCCCCCTCGAGCAGAACCATATGATGTCTGAGCAACTCGCCGAGCAGACCGCAAATCTCTCCGTCTCTGAGGCCCCCGCCGCCGTTGCTCCCTCCGCTCCCGCGACTGCCGATGCTCCTGCTGAAGGTGCTGAGCCCGTTGTCCTCGGTGAGGACGGCAAGCCCCTCTCCAAGAAGGCGTTGAAGAAGATGCAGGAGAAGGCCGAGAAGGAAAGGAAGAGGAAGGAGCAGGAGGCCAAGCAGGCCGCTGAGCGTGCCGCCAAGGAAGCCGCCGAGGACTTTGCGAAGGAGAACTACGGAAAGCAGGCTATGAACCAATCTACCAGCCGTTCCGGCACCAAGCGTGCTCAACTCGCCGAGATCAGCGGTGCGAACGACGGAGAGGAGGTCGTCATCCGTGCTCGTGTCCACACTTCCCGGTTGCAGGGTAACACCATGTGTTTCTTGTCTCTTCGTCAGCAGCAACACACCATCCAGGCCCTCGTCAAGGCCAACAAGGAGACCATCTCTAAGCCTATGATCAAGTGGACCGGCTCCATCAACCTCGAGTCCATTGTCCTCGTCCACGGTGTTGTCAAGAAGACCGCCGAGACCATCAAGTCCACCTCCATCCAGGACGCCGAAGTCCACGTTTCTAAGATCTACGTCATGTCCGAGGCCGCCCCTCAACTTCCCTTCCAGCTCGAGGATGCTCAGCGCTCTGACGAAGCTGCCGACGAGCTCGGTCTCCCCAAGGTCGGTCTCGACACCCGTCTCAACAACCGCGTCGTCGACCTCCGCACCACCACCAACCAATCTATCTTCCGCATCTCCTCCGGCATCTGCCAACTCTTTAAAGAATATCTCCTCTCCCAGAGCTTCGTCGAGATCCACACCCCCAAGATCATCGCCGCTGCCTCTGAGGGTGGTGCTAACGTCTTCAAGATGAACTACTTCAAGGGTAACGCATACCTCGCCCAGTCTCCCCAACTCTACAAGCAGATGCTCATCGCAGCCGACTACGAGCGTGTGTTCGAGATCGCACCTGTTTTCCGTGCTGAGGACTCGAACACCCCCCGCCACATGACCGAGTTCATCGGTCTCGATTTCGAGATGGCTTTCGAGGAGCACTACCACGAAGCTGTCGACGTGATCGAGGGTCTCTTCCTTGCCATCTTCCGTGGGTTGAAGGAGCGCTTCTCCGCCGAGATCGCTACCATCCGCAAGCAATTCCCCAATGTCGAGGACTTCCTCCTCCCCGAGACCCCAGTCCGCCTTACCTTTAAGGAGGGTATCCAGCTCCTCAACGACAACGGTGTCAACGCTTCCCCCCTCGAGGACCTCTCCACCGAGCACGAAAAGACCCTCGGTGCCCTCGTCCGCGAAAAGTACAAGACCGATTTCTACATCCTTGACAAATTCCCTCTCGCCGTCCGTCCCTTCTACACTATGCCCGACCCCAACGACCCCGAGTACTCCAATTCTTACGACGCCTTCATGCGTGGACAGGAGATCTTGTCCGGTGCTCAGCGTATCCACGACCCTGCGTACCTTGCACAGAGAATTCAGGAGATGGGTGTTGACCCCAGCACGTTGCAGGACTACATCGACGCGTTCAAGTACGGTGCGCCACCGCACGCTGGAGGAGGTATTGGATTGGAGCGTGTCATTTTCTTGTACCTCGGATTGGAGAACATTAGGAGGGCGTCTCTGTTCCCTAGGGACCCCAGGCGTTTGACTCCTTAAGTAGAGCGAGAAGGAAAAGGGTACGATGTAGGATTATGCAGATGATAGAAAATAATATAATAGCATTCCGCAGAGTCTCATCTGTCCTTGTTCCAGCGTGATCTTGATTTTGTACTTAGGGTTATATATCAGGTTGGCCGTCCCGCTAGTGTGGTGTAGGAATTCCCGTTTGCGGCATTCCAGTTCGCACGCTGCCGTCCCACCGCACCGACGTCACGACTACCCTTTTCGATATTTATCTCCCACATCCCATCCTTTCTTCTTCGAACAGATTCTCATCTCTCAAACCTACCGCAGCCAGTTTTCACCAGAGGATCGACTCACGATGTCCCAGATCGTCCACCTCGACGTCGGTGGTACCAGCTTCAAGACCACCTACGAAACACTTACCTTCCATAACGCCTCAAACTCCTTCTTCCCGCGCCTTCTACACTTCTCAACCGACGAGAACTTTGGCTCTGCCAACAGTGCGATCTTCATCGACCGCGATCCTGAGAGGTTCAAGGTGGTTCTGAACTACCTCCGCTCCGGCGAACTACAACTTCCGCCCCACTGCACAGCCTCCGCCATCGCGTCCGAAGCTGACTTCTTTGCCATCGACGGTCTCAAGAAAGAGGCAACGGCGCTTGCCTCACCGATTGGTTCTGCTGGGGCCTCAGATGTGGTCGATTTCGCGACCCTCCATCAGCAAGAGTTATGGATCATTCAGACGAGGGAAGACACCCCTCACAACTACATTGAAAGAAAATGCCTCCTCCGCCACCCTGTCTTCCCCTCCCACTCGCTCTTCACGATTTCTCCCACCACTGGTTTCTCTTGGGTCAACTCAGAGTACGTCTACTACCACATCAAAGACTCCATCAACTGGGCCGACTCAAAAGACTGGCACAGCACCCGGCCCGATGTCTTTCACTACGAGGGCTTGAGTGCGGTTGATGAGGAGGGGTGGTGCTGGCATTGGCAGGGAGGGCAAAAGTTGGGGTTGAGGTATGAGGGTGAGGAGAATTTGAATATTAGGGTTGCTGTTATGCAGAGAGGGAAGAGGATGCCGCATTTGACGACGGGGATGGATGCTCCTCCCAGGCCGCTTGAGTTCTAGGTCGTTACCATTTTGATATGAAATTGCTGTATATAGGCTGTGGGAAGCAGTTCCCAAGAATAGAGAGTTAGCCATCAATAGCGTGATTCTCTTATGGATGTCTAAGTGACAGATGCGGATGCGAAGCATATGAAGCACATGTCACCATCCCCTCTTAAAGTCTTTTCACCCCTCTCGCCCCCCAACCCCCCTTAAACCCCTCCACAACCTCCTCAACCCCCCTCCCCGTAGTTTCCGGCATCGTTCCTCCCAAAACCACCCCAACCACCATCAACCCTCCTGCAAACACCAACAAACTCCAATTACCCATCCCATTCTGCATATCAGCAAACGCGTACGTGAGAACGAAGTTGAACGTCCAGTTGACTGTTGCGGCAAAAGATGACGCAGAGCCAATAGCTGTTGCAGGGAAGAGCTCGGAGGTAATGAGCCAGGGGATTGGACCGAGGCCGAGTGCGTAGAAACAGATGGCGATGAGAAGAAGGACCGTTGCTGCAGCGTTCTTGTTCAGTTGTGCAAACATGACAACCAGCCCTATCGACACTGCCATGCCCGTCACAGAAATCAAGAAAAAGCGTCTCCTCCCAACCCGATTCATCTGTGTTGAGGACACGACAATGCCCATATTGTTACACCCCGTCAATGCAACAGCTAACCACATCGCTGTCGAGGGCGCCATGAAGCGCGAGAATAGTTGCGCGGCATACCCAACGATCGGGTTAATCCCCGATAATTGCTGAGCAAGGTGAATCATTCCCGCCAAAAACAACGGTTTCCGCAGCACCGGCGAACGCATGATACCCATCAACGACAGCGTCTTGCTGTCCTCCCGCCCAGACTGTTCAGCTTCGATACCGCGGATAATGGCTTGTAACTCCCCCTCCACACCCACTGGATCCGATCCTCGCAGCCGCATCAATGCTCTCCTCGCTTCCTCCCTCTTCCCACTCATGACTAGATACCTGGGTCCCTCCGGACACCACAAAAACCCCACACTCATCACCCCCGCCCATACCCCCGTCAAACCACACAACACCCTCCACCCCGGCCTAAAATTCAGCACAATACTCAACAACTGCGCAACAAGCACTCCCGTACTAAGCTGGAATCCAAACGAACACCCCAACGCACCACGCCATTTGGGTGGTGATATCTCGGCGACGTAGGTTGGTACGATACTTGATTGTGCGCCGGCGGCAATACCGGCGATGAAGCGGCCGAGGGTGAGGACGGCAGGGTGCGGGGCTATGGAGAGGAGGAGCGCGGCGATGACGAAGAGGGCGTTGCATATGTGGCATGCCTGTATTCGGCCCATTCGCCCCATGAACAGACTCGCGACGATACCACCGAATAACCCGCCCAATGCGAAAGATGCATTGAAGAATGCCCACACGTCCGTGTTCATGTTTAAACAACTCGATAAGGTGTGTGAAGAGTTAGGATCCGAGGCTGAACAGCGCATAACGTCCATCACAATCGATGTACTCCCGGCGTGCCAACCATATTGGAAACTCCCGATCGAGGCGACGAGGCAGGTGAAAGCTAGGGCGGAAGTGAATGGTTGGTCCGCTTCGGGAGCCAGAGCTTGTTCCGCATCGACCACCTCGAATGATATTCGACCCTTCTCCTCATCTAGCCGTCCTTTGACATCTGCCGTTGTTGCAACTGTGTCGACGTCCTTCATGTCGCGGCTATACTGATCCGCCGTCGACGTTGTCCCGTCCATTGTAATGCCATCTGTTGTAATGTTCGACGGTATTTCGAGGAGGTTATCGAGTGGACTTACCCGAGGACTTACCCGAGCGCCGAAGGATTAAGGTTCGCGAAGTGTGGGGAAGATGAGGCCGTGCACGCCGGACAATCCCATACACCACCAACCACCAACCACCAACCACCACTCGATTCATAGGTTGTTCCCGACAACATTGAGAATGTCCTCAAAGACCACCCCAACACAACCAACCTACATCTCCTCCTCCGGCTCCCTCACCACCACAAAACCCCTCCACAAACGCATCTATGGCGTCATCTGTGCGATCCTATCGTTCGTGTACTTGTATTTCCGTTCACTCTTCTCGGTAGACATCCTTTGTGTACCTAGTAGCCATAGGCGATGATACTGATTGGTGGGTGTACAGCTTAATCCACAGTCTACGGCCGCTGGGTCGCGGTCGAGGGGCGGGACGGTTGGTGGATGGAGTTCGGGGAGGAGTATGAACGGCGGGAGTGGCAGCGGAAGGAGAATTGGGAGGGTTGATGATGTACGTGGGCCGGAGTATGGGAGTGGTGGGTGTCCGCCTCGATGAGGAAGCATTTACAACTGATGAAGCAATGAACATGAACATGTACCGTATACTTGCACGTGATACACCACAACTCGAACTCTCTTTGCCTGCCTAAGGTATCGCGTCCACCCCTAACCCTTACTTCCCCTTCCCCTTCACTTTCACCTCAACCAACTTCCCCTTCTCCCTGAGAACCCCACTCAACACCCCCAACCCAACCCCAAGCACCTCCTCAGCCCTAACCCCCCTCACCCCCATCCCCGGCACAGGATCAACCCACAAATCAAACAACTCCCCACAATCATCCCCACTCAACCCCAACTCCGGATCCGCATCGACAGCAGCCTCAACCCCGCCCATCCCACCAAACACGAGTAACAAATGTTCGAATTGTTTGTCTGCAAGTTTCTCCGAGGAGGGGGAGATTGAGGAGAGAGGTGTAGTGCTGGACGAGACGGAGGAGAATCCGATGGTGAGGTCATACCCATCCGCAAACGCAGATTCGGTGAATACGCCCGAGATGGAAGTAGCCATACGTACTCCATACCCCCAATACAACCCCATTTTCTCGCGTGGCGCGGAGGGTGGAACGACATCTGCCTCGATATACTGTTTATCCCGCCCGCCCTTGACACGCTTCATCTGTAACGTCACCCGCACCCCCGGTTTGATTTTCCGCCCAATCACGACTTTGCGGCGAAGACCTGCGTCGACCAATGTTCCCCCGTTTTGGGGAGCGGGAAATTCGACAGAGGGCTCGATTGTGAGGCCTTCGCGGTAGGGTGAATCTTCCTCGAGACGGAGGTGGTGCGGCATCTCCAACGCTGGCAACAACCCCGCGAATCGAAGTGCGTGGTCCATCGGAAAGAGGAGTTTGCGCATATACGATGGCGTCTCCAACCACTGCAACATCCTCGCCAAGAAAACCCCAGGAGTCTCTCTACCTCCCTGACCCTCTCTCTCGTGATCGATATTAGTGTCGTCGAAAGCGAGGTTCGTGGACCCAGGGTTCTCGTCATAGATAATGACCTCATCGACATTATGGATGGCCAACGTCCTGGCGACATATCCTGCGATCATGGTTTTCAATTCGGGGGTTTGGGCGGAAGCGACGAGACTCGATGGGAGCGCGACGGAGACGGTGTATTTTCGGGGAGGACCGGGTTTGAAGGGACCTCTGTTACCGAATTTTTCGTTACCGGGGGCGCGGCGTTCTTGGCCGCCGCTGTGGTTGTAGTTGTGGTTGTGGGGACGGCCGTCGCGGGGACCGTTGTTGAAGTGGGGCCGGTCGCGGGGGCCGTCGCGATCATAGCCTGGGCCTAGGGGGCCTTTGTTCTCGAAGGTGCGTTTGCGTTTTTTGTTTTCTGCCCAGTTGTCTGCCATGGCTGTGTATGGATCAAGAAGGAGGAGGAGGAGGAGGAGGAGTTTGGGGGAAAAAGTTGCTGCGCCACGACCGCCCACTTCTAAAAATACACCAGAGTCGCAAACCTTATTTTGTCGGCCCTCGAACCCCCCATACCCTCCCTCTTCGATTTCGATCTCCTGTAACAGCAATGTCATCAGACGCACGACCACCAAACTCCACACCTGCGACCGAAACACCTGATCATGAACAACAGGCGACAGAGCTGGACGCCCTCGCACCCCCCCTAAAACCCTTCTGGATCTCCAAATACAAATCCGAAGCCGCAAAACATTGGGATCTATTCTACAAACGCAACACTACAAACTTCTTCCGCGACCGTCACTGGCTCGACCGCGAATTCTCCTCTATTCTCTCCTCGGGGCCCATCGTCGCGCTCGAGGTAGGTTGTGGAGTTGGGAATATGGCATTTCCGGCTTTGGAGAGGAATCCGGAATTGACGATGTGGTGTTGTGATTTCTCGCGGAGGGCGGTGGAGTTCGTGAAGGCGAATCCGGGGTATGAGGGGGGGCAGGGGAGGTGTCGGGCGTTTGTTTGTGATATTGCGCGGGAGGCGTTGGTGGAGCATATTCCACCACAGAGCATCGATGTGCTGAGTTGTATTTTTGTGTTGTCTGCTATACCGCCAGAACTGCATGTGGAAACCCTCAAGAACTTGGCGAGCGTGATGAAGCCGAACGGGACCCTTATCTTTCGGGATTATGCCACAAACGACCTCGCCCAACTCCGCTTCCTCTCCCAGAAAGAAATCCCGAAACTCGACTCGAACCTTTATGTTAGGGGGGACTCGACGATGTCTTACTTTTTCGAGGAGGAGTATCTGAGGGGCGCGATGAAAGAGTGTGGGGAATTTGTGGAGGAAGTGTTGGAGAGGAAGGGGATCGAGGTGGAGAATCGGAAGAGGGAGTTGGTTATGGAGAGGAGTTTTTTGCAGGGGGTTTGGAGGAGGAAGTAGGGATCAGACGAAGACTACGACGAAAAGGCTAGGCAGGAAGAGAAAGAGGCACGCAAAAGCCAGCCGGCGAGCCACCGAGCGCGTGAGGAGCAGCATGTACCGTGATGGACAAACGGACGGAACTCAAGGCGGACGTGCCATCTTGGACGAGAGATCAACGTCAATGATCCGGATAGAACGTGGCATCAGTGGACGGTGATAGCATAGATAGCCCTCCGTTGAAGAATCTGCGATAGACAAGAAACTGACACAGCGATCAACACTCATCCATTTGCAAATAATCACTCTCAATTGCCAGCTTACATAATTCAAACAGATCTACATACGGTACCGGCCACCCTGACCCGCCGCACCCCGCAACACGTGCCCATGATTTCACTCGTACGTCCGACCACCCGAAGGAAATCCAACACCAGAACTTCTCGGCAGATCGAGGGCAGCTACAGGGCAACGACCCATCAGATTCACACCAACCACCTACTCTCTACAAACTACAATCTCCGCCATCTTCCAGCCAGATCAGAGCGTTCATCTAGTACAATGTCCCTCACCAATGAAGCCGACGCCTACTTTGCCGAAAACCCCGCTCCACCATCCCTCGCAACAGCAAAAAAGCAATTAGACGACTTCATCTCCACCCACGTCGCACAAAATCGTCGCGTAGTTCTCATCACCTCCGGCGGCACAACCGTCCCCCTCGAACGCAACACCGTCCGCTTCCTCGACAACTTCTCCGCCGGAACACGAGGAGCCTGCTCAGCGGAATACTTTTTAAAGGCGGGATACGCAGTGGTGTTCTTGCATAGACAGTGGAGTTTGTTACCGTTTGCGCGGCACTACACGCACTCCCGTAACTTCTTCTTGGGACACATGAGCGAGACCGCAGACGGCGGAATCGAGATCGAGGATGATTACGCAAAGACACTTCTCCCAATCCTCCGCGCATACAAGAAAACCCAAAAAGAAGGAACGTTGCTTATGATCCCCTTCACGACCGTATCAGAATACCTACATTTGTTGAGGGAAGCAGCGATGAGTATGAGGCCCGTGGGCGCGAATGGGGTGTTTTATCTCGCTGCTGCCGTTTCGGATTTTTTTGTGCCGTCGAGTGAGATGAGTGAACACAAAATCCAGAGTGGGGATGCGGATAGTATGGCGACGCCCGTAACTGGTGCTCCGAGGGGCAAGACGCTGAATTTGCATCTTTCGCCTACACCCAAATTTCTGCATCATTTGATTTCGACGTGGGCGCCGACACCGGCATTGGTCGTTTCGTTCAAGCTAGAAACCGATCCAGGGATTTTATTGGCGAAAGCGAAACAGGCGCTGAGGCGGTATGGACATCGACTCGTTATCGGGAACCTCTTGAAAACCAGGAGTTGGGAGGTCGTTTTCGTAGAAAACGGCCAGGGTGGAAAGGAGGAAGACGAAAGGTGGAAGGAAGATTGGATTAGGCTCGAGGGAGGGGAGAAGGGAAAAGGCGAGATTGAGGCGCTGATTATTCCGGAGGTTGTTAGGAGGCATGAGGGGATGATGAAGGAGGTGGCCGGGTCGAACGGGAATGGTGTGAACGATGACTGAGGAGGAGGAGAGAGAGGGACAAAGGGATACAGGAACAATTTTGGGAGTGATTCGAACTGGATTTTTGGATACCCATATTGACATAGACGACATAACACATACATACATAAGTACACATTTGCGAATACATGCCTAATCTCCTCCACCCCTCCCCTTCGTCACCACAACAACCCAATTCCCCGCCGGCATCTCCGCAACCTCCCACGCCCCAAACCCAACCCTGCGAGCCTCCCCCTCAATCTCCCTCATCTCCCTCAATCCCCACTCAGGATCCCGCGACTTTAAGCTCTCATCGAACTTTTTGTCGCCCTCGCTCATAAACCTTCCATCAATCTTGAATGCGCCGTAGAGAACTAGACCTGGTGCGAGACGGGCGGAGTGCGAGAGGAGGAGTGGAGTTAGTGTGGGGTGTCCGATGTGAATGAGGTTGAATGCTAGAACCACGTCGAAGGGACCTTCTTCCTCGATATTGGCCCAGTGTGTCGAGTCAAAGACATGTAGTTCGTGGGGCCTCTGCACATTTGGCTGTCGCTCACTGATGCGGCGTAGGGAATCAAGCATGTCGATCCGTGCTTCCGTGGGGAAGAATTGTAGAGTAGGGTAGAGAGATGCGAGGTATTCGATGTGCTCTCCCGTTCCACTTGCTATCTCGAGGATTTTTGAAGCGGGGGGGAGGGAGGAGAGGAGGGGGTATAGAGCATTTGCGATAGGGACTTTGTTGCGGGTTGCGGAGCCTGGTGCGGAGCTGTGGGTAGTGGTGTCAGCGTCGTTTCAAAGCTATGCGAGCCTGTACTTACGCTGATCGGTCGTCTGGTATTGGGTAGCTGTTCGACATTACAATTGTTCGGAGTCTACGTTACCGGTGCTGTTCCCAAGGTATTTCCCATCTCGGACTAGCCTCGATCGATAAGATTTTGTCGAGGTTGGTGCAGATTCACGTGCACGCACAAGAATCCTCGAAAGTCGACGTTACACCCTCTCTTCCTCGATCTCCTCGATCTCCTCGACAATGCTGACCGAAATCATCGTCTCCGCATCCTCCCTCCCTCCCCCTCCACCACCCGGAACATCCTCCCAACAACCACCCTCATCCTCAGACCACTTCATCTCCGTCCACGACCTTCACGCCTCAACCCACCTCTCAACCTACAAATCAACCTGTTCCCCCCTCCACGGCACCACCGTCTCCCCCTCCTACCTCCTAGCAGCGCAGGTGGACAAAGCAATCCTAAACGTCTACCAATGGAATAAAGAAGCGTGCGACCAACGCATCCCCCTCCCCGAAAAACTCGCCTGTATCGCACTCTCCCCTTGCTCAACCTTCCTCGCCGCAGGCTCCGGCTCCGGTCGTCTATTTCTCTGGGAACTCGCGTCAGGAAATCTAGTCTGGACACGCGAAGCCCATTACGCAGCCCTCACCTCTCTGGCGTGGACACACTCCTCCTCCCACCTCATCACAGCCTCCGCCGACTCCGCAATCCACGTCTGGCGTACCGCAGACCTCCTCTCCACCTCCACCTCCTCCCGCTCTGACGAGATACAACCGGTGCATACACTATCGGCCCACACCCTCGCTATAACATCACTCCACGTCGGCGCGGGCTCGCATCCACGGTTGTATACCGCCTCCGAGGATGGGACGATTAGGGTCTGGGAACTCGGTACGGGAGAATGCTTGACCACCTTTGTTTGCTCCGGTGCAGTTACCGCAATGACCGTCGACCCAGCCGAACGCGCAATCTACGCCGGTGCCCCCTCCGGCAGCATCCACCTAATCCCACTCTACCCCTCCACTGACGCCGGCGCCGTCGGCGGACTAGGCTCAATCCACACCCTCACCACCTCCTCCGACGTCCTAACCGGCCACGAATCACCCATAACAGCCCTCTCCCTAAGCTTCGACGCAACCCTCCTCGTCAGTGGAGACAACGCTGGCCAGGTGCTGTGCTGGGACCTCGCGACACGCCAAATGGTACGGAAATTCAAGACGCACAAGGGACCTGTGAGTGGGTTGTGGTGTATCCTGAAACCTCCCTCTCTGGGCTCCGGCTCCTCGTTAGGAGGCGCCAAAAAGACGGCGACGGGACAGATACAGCCCCTCAAACGCGTACAATCCGAACGAGACCGCGACGAGCACAACGTGGTATTGTCGCTACAACCCAATATTCTGGAAGAGGAGGACCAAGATGAGGATGATGTTGCGGCAGCCCGACGAGGTCTCTCAGAATTCGGCACACAAGGCTCAGAAAGCACGCTTCGGACACAAGTCCAGACATTGCAGGGGGAGTTGTCGAGGTTGTATGGGGCTTATGAGGATTTGAGGGGTGTTATGGAGGGGGTGTGGAGGGGGTTTGTTGAGGAGAGGGGTGGGAAGAAGGAATAGGGATAAACGCAATAGACGGTGATGATATAACCATGAACGTTGGAGTGGTCAGATGGTGGGAGTGGGTGAATGACACCGATATCACCAAGGTCGTGCACAGAAGTTTGTGAAAAGCGAAGTGTGCAGAGTAATGATCATAATGAATGTCCATGCATATTAGTATTTTCGCGCAATGCTATCGATATGACTTAATCACAAACTCCGTATACCGACCGAAAGCTATATCTACTCAAACAAATACCCCACTCTCCCCACCCTACGCCTCACTCCCAACCTCAACCCCATCCTTCACCCCCCCAACCAACCCCTCATACTCCCCTAAATTGACCCCCTCCTCAACAACCCACCCACCCTCCGGCACAACCGTCTTCGCAAGCACCTCGCACGCCCACCCCACAACAATCAGCCCAGGTGGTCTCCCCCCCACACTCTCCATAGCCCTAACCACGTCTCCGAGCCGCGTACGCACGACGCGTTGGTCCCGGGATGATGCGCGTTCGATTACGGCACACGGAAGGTCCATGGGCCATGGTGCGGAGGCGGTTAGGGAGTCGAGTGGTGGAGTGACGAGTGAGGAAACGAGTGCGTCGAGGCGGTGGATGGCCATAAGGAATACGGTCGTGCGAGATTTCACGTAGGGTGGGGGCATGGGCGGTTCCCCCTTCCTCCCCGTCCCAGTACACACGAGGATTTCGTCCGCGACGCCACGGTGGGTGGGTGGGATCCCCGCCAACAATGGTCCCGAGAGCGCGGATGTCACGCCGGGGACGACTGTGCATTCATACCCGTGCTCGCGGAAAAAGATGACTTCTTCGCCGCCGCGGCCGTAGAGGTATGGATCGCCCTGTTTGAGTCTCACGACTTTTTCGCCGCGGTGGAGGGCGGCGAGACCCATGTCTAGTAGTTCTTGTTGTGCTAGTTCTGCGTTTCCGGGGAATTTACGGGCGATGTGCACCGGTGTGCGGCGAGGGATGAGAGCGAGGACGGGTGCGGGGACGAGTTTGTCGGCGAGGATTAGGGTTGCGGTTTTGATTGCCTCGTGGGCCGCGACTGTCAATAACCCCGGACTCCCCGGTCCCGAACCGATCAGGTGGATTGAGCCTTTCTTCCCCATCGCTTCCTCCGTCCCTGGTGTCGTGGATACTGAAGATGGGTTCGAGGTGTATGACGCCAACATCCCATCCAACTCCGCGTCCGTCAACGCAGCGATTCGCTCCAGAGGCCAATACTCACAAATCTGCGCCAACCACCTCGCGCGCCGGGTTTTCGCTTTCTCTTGATCCGCGTCCTCTTCTGTCGGTGCAGCGGTGACAAGCTCGTTCATCTGGGTGGAGGGATCGATATCGTCTTCGCTTTGTGGTGCCACCACTGCTGAGGGTGTCGACGAGGCGTGCCAGAGTCGTTCGCGGAGGGTCGAGATACGTTCGATTGCAGCGGGGAGTTCTTTGGGAAGGGATGATACGATTTCTCGGCGGATTCGGGAAGCGAGGTGGCATCCGCGCCCCGAGGTCGTGACACCGATTTGGAGTGGGAGATCGGTGTGGGTTGAGAGTAGCGTGAACGTCGACAAACTCGGTGAGTCGGCGACGTTGATCGGTACTCTGTTCCGTTTACACGCCACCGATAGATTTTGCGCACTCTTTCCCGTCGGCGGTAGAGCACAGAACACCGTATCGACCCATCCACCAACTTCCTGTCTTCCCAGCGTCTGTAGATCATTCTCCTCCCATCCTCGCTGAATATGTCTGACTACACCCTCCTCGACCCGTTTTCGTAAATCATACGGTAACTCTTCAGTCGCCGTCTCCGTGACCAACACCGGTACCGCACCCGCATCCAACACCTTCGTCGCCCGGGAGGCAATCAGCGGTGTCGAACCCACAAGTAAATGAACCTGTCCCGTACAGTTCGTCGAAGTGAGTAATGGGATTCCTTGTTTGTGCATCGTGTCCGTCATTGGAGAGGGCAGAGAGAGCGGATCAGACTGTATAAGAGAGCGAGGGGTGTTGGAGGTTGCGTTTGATACGGGCGTGCGCTGATAGGAAATTGGGAGCGATAAGGCGACTCTTATCGCATCTCGAGCGTGCTCAAGCAATTGCGCGATTTAACGATCAAGTCGAAAGAATTAAAGGAATGTTCGACGAAAGGAAAGATCAGGAAGGCGATATGTCGTGGGATAACACAGAGTTGTTGAGGGATGGGGTTGTTCCTACGGAGTCTCGGACAACCATACGGGATAGATCGGTGTAGTTCTCCATAATTGAATTGAGTATACGTAGCGAATGCACACCCTCCGTCCCTGTAAATCGTTCATATCGCTCTGATAAATGAAATCGCCTCCACTCCCTATTGGTATCTTGCTCATGCTTTCCCGCCTTCCCTCCTCTCAATCCATCATCATCACTTCAAATATGCACTTCCTTTAGTTCCCTCTCATCGTACACGTCCCATTCCCTTCCCTCCACTTACTTCCTCTCCGCCACAATAACAGGATACCTCACCGCCTGCTCCCACTCCTTACTCGTCAACGCCGGCTGTGTTCTGATCACAGATCCAATCGACATGAAGAAACCGAACGTCGCGGCACTTCCGACCATCGACTTACCCAATGATCTCAGGAATCCATTGGGGCCGGGGCCGTTGGTGAGGAGGTTCCAGCCACCTGTGAACGAACGTTAACATAACTCTTGCACGCTATTTTCATTCCCCGGACTCCAAATACTGCGCAAGGCAGGGGAATTGGGTAGAAGACCGAGGGAGGCGACAAGACGTACCAAAGAGAAACCCAACACACAAACCAACACTGGTTCCCATCAACGCTCCCATCTTCATCTTATCGAAAGTAGAGGGTTGCTGAGCACCGTAGGCAGAAGGCGGAGGAGGCATTGTATGTGATTGTTTGTTTGTATGGTTACGGACTTTCCAAGTTCCCTTTTTTGATTTTTCGTCGGCGTGATGCTTTGGATGCGTTGGATGCAGGCCGAAGTGGGAGGATGCGGGTGGGGCAGGAGAAGCACCTTGAAGGAGAGCTCGGGTCGATGGAAGTGAGTGCAGATTTACGATCCAGTTGAGCAGAAAGAAAGGTATTTGGAAGACGGTTTCCGAGTTTCGCCGGTAGAAGGTTCTTTCCCCGACTGCCAGAACAGTCCAGCGCTCCGTGTCGACTCCAGAGTCGGCGAAATGGGCGCAGCGCGGGCGCAGCAAATAAAGACGACCTCGTCCCCTACACCCCCAATTACGCACTCCTCCAAACACACACAAACCACACAAACAACAATGCCCCGTCAATCCCGTTCCTCAGCTCGCCCCGCTGCCCGCCCAGCTCCCGCAGCCCGCTCCGCCCCCACCCAACAATCCCGCCCCGCCTCCACCGCTGCCCACCAAACCCCCGTCCAGCACGCCCCTCCCCCCCCTCCCGCAACCATGGGCGCACCTTCCCAGGGCCCCGGTTTGTTCGCTAACATGGCTTCCACCGCTGCCGGTGTCGCTGTCGGTTCTACCATCGGCCACACCCTCGGTGCCGGAATCACCGGTCTCTTCGGTGGTGGATCGAGTGCGCCCGCACCTGAGGCTGCGCCTGCACAGGCTGCTCCTGTTCAGCAGCAGCAGAGCTCTTTCGGTGCGACGAGCTGTGATGCGGACTCGAAGGCGTTCACGAGGTGTTTGGATGAGAATGAGGGTAACATGCAGATTTGCGGGTGGTACTTGGATCAGTATGTTTACCCCCTCTCCCATCGTGATATCCATTTGATACTGACTTGTTTTGTGTAGGTTGAAGGCTTGTCAGGCTATGTCTGCTCGCTTCTAAGCGATGCAGTCTGAATGAGAGCTGTGTAGGAATATCTTTATGGAGTTGAAATTGAAGGCTGTTATGATATACTAATTTGGGGTGGCATTCACCTGAATGCAAAAGGCATTAGAAGCCAACGCAATGCATCTCTTCTCTCGTTTGCTCCAGTTTTGATTCGCACGAAGTTATGGCCAGATCCGTTGGCCCGAGCTCGAATAAGTCGGAGGCAATTGGACTCTATATCAGTGCGTACAGCTGCACGAAAGGCCATACTCAAATTCCCAGAGCCATAATCCTGCCTAGCCTACCCAATCCCGCCTGTACTCGTATTACCGGAATCACGGTACCAGTCCGGGCCATCCCACGCGACCTGCAACCAAAGCAACATATTCCCTGATCTCTCGTCAATTGGCATCCTCACGTCTCACCAACGGGCACCCTCCCCTGGTTCCACCCATTCAACCAATACATCAATCCGACACCAACAAGTACAACCCCGATCGCACTTCCAAAGGGCACGCTCAGTTCTGTCATTTTCGTTCCTGCTCCTGGGCCTGCTGCGTTCGACCTTGGTGCATAGCCTGCCTTTAGTTTCCCTTCCTTTCCGTTGTCCCGTTCATCGAGTTCAACTGAGTCTGCATCCAGCCGCTCCTTGGTCCCAGATGGTGATGAGGTGGCAGCAGGTGTGGCCATCACAGGCTTATCCTCCGCTTCCTTCAACTTAGCCAGTAACTCACTAACCATCGGTCCCAACCTTTCATTCTCCCTCTCACTAACCTCCAGCCTTCTCTTAAACTCCTTCGTCTCCCCCCGACTCTCCCTCAATAACACCTCCAACTCTTCAACCTTACTCTCCAACCCGCTCACCCTCCTCCCCTCCTCCCTCTCTTTTTCTTTCGTTTCTTCTTCTCGTAGCTTGTGGGATTCGAGTTCGGAGACGAGGGAGCGGAATTTAGATTCGGCGGATTCGCGGGCGAGACGTTCGCGCTCGAGGGTGGACTCCAGGTCGCGGATACGGGCGTGTGTTAGGGCTAGGTCTTCGGTAGCGCGTTGGAGGGCTTTCTCGAGGAGTTCGGAGCGTTCGTGGGCTTCTTCTCGTTCTCTTTCTTGGTCTATATGTGCCTCTTCTGCTGTTGCGTGTGGTTGAGAGTAAGACTCGACTGCTTCTTCGTATTTCGTACCGTCGGAGGAAGGGGCGCTGCCGTGTCCGGCATCATTCGAGCCGGTACCGATGGACGCACGAATCGTAGCGAGGGATTCTGTCGTTGCTTGGATTTCTGCTAGAGCGTCTTTGGAGGCACAGAGCTCCGCATTGAGTTTCTTGACTACCATCTCAATCGACACGGATTTCGACCACATGCTCCCCATCCCACTCATTCCCGTGATCGCCTTCCGACTCGCAAAGCTTGTACCGACAGCGACGTTCGCTCCAGTAATCGAGTTTGCAGGATCGATATCTTCCATGCGGACGCGGACACCATTGGCCCCTGATTGTGATGGAGGGTGGACACCTGCCCACTCGACCCTCGCCGCAACTTTCTGATGCACAACACGTTCCCGTCCACCTTCATCACCCAAGATATCAATCCCGAGTTCGAGGACATCGCCCTCGCGTAACTCCACCGGCTCACTTTCCTCGCCTTCTTTACTAAGTCGAACGCCGTTAACGAATGTCCCGTTCGAAGAGCGTACGTCGCGGATGAATACGCGGAAAGGTGTGGTTTGGGAGGTGAAGATCTCTGCATGAGACCGCGAGAGGACTTTTGAGTCGAAGAAAGGGTTTGATTCGGACGGTACTGTTTTGGAGGATGTTTGCCGACCGATGCGGAGGGTTTGTGGATGTGGTGGGAGTGGAAGTGTCTTCTTCTGGAAGGTATTGTTGAGGGGATGGAGAATCAACTGTGCTCACAGTGTTAGAAAACTTAATTGTGGGATGTATGCTGCTCGATGGTGCCACGTACGAATACACTTGACGAGTTCGCGGTTTGGAGGTGTGGTCTTTGCGGACGACTGCCTGTTGACACGCCTTGTGACCGTTTCTGCTTTATGGTTGGTGGTTGAGGGATATCCATCGTCTTGTCCGTTCTCTTTTCTCCTTGTCTTCTGAAGGGTTGTGGTTGGGTGTTTAGGGTTGCTCGTTGCTCTCTTGTCCATTCAGGGTGTTGATCCGGGGGGGCCGTTTAAGGTGTGGCAGAGGGGAGAGCATGTACTGACGTCGTGACAAGGCGATACACTTTCTTTCTTTCAATGAATATTCTAAACGGACTTGAAGCCACTTTCACTTCCAGATCAGAGATCGGGGAGTCAAGATAAGGCGACCCCACCTGGCGGTACTTGGCCCTACCGTACGACGCCCAACCGCCAAACATACGCCTACGGCCATCAACAGACAACAAGAACAGCATACACCCCCAAAAAATGTCCTGCTTCGGAACGCGCAAGAAGCCTCTGTACAGAAAGATCGTCATCCTCGGCGATGGTGCTTGCGGTACGTGGTCATGGCAGGCTCTCACCGTCGAATGCAGTACTAACACAAAATGTTCGGCATACAGGAAAGACATCGCTTCTTAATGTATTCACACGCGGTTACTTCCCGCAAGTCTACGAACCAACCGTTTTCGAAAACTACGTCCACGACATCTTCGTCGACTCCACTCACATCGAACTCTCCCTCTGGGACACCGCCGGCCAAGAAGAATTCGACCGTCTCCGAAGTCTGTCATATAGTGATACCCACGTCGTCATGATATGTTTTTCCATCGACTCAAGAGACTCGTTAGAGAACGTCGAGGGGAGGTGGGTGAAGGAGGTTGCGGAGCATTGTCCGGGGGTGAAGGTTGTGCTGGTCGCATTGAAGTGCGATTTGAGGGAGATTGATGTGATTAATCCTGCGGCGCAATCAAATACGAATAGTGTGGTTGAGCCGTTGTCGAATACTGGTGCGCGGCTGATTGATTATGATGAGGGGTTGAGTGTGGCGAAGAGGATTAAGGCGGTACGGTATTTGGAGTGTTCGGCAAAGGCGAATAAGGGTGTCAACGAGGCGTTTACGGAGGCGGCGAGAGTGAGTGTTACGGCGGAAGCGAAGGGTGCGCATGAGGAGGATGTTGGTGGGAAGGACAGGGGATCTGGATGTGTGATTTGTTGATGAAGGAATGGAAGAAGGGCCCGAGAGAGGGAAGAAAGACAAGCGATGCTGACGGAAGATGCGGCACGGATACGGCCTTGAAAAGATGATACCCTGGTCTCTTTTTTCCTTATGAAACTGCTTCTCGTGGGAGGAACGAGTTTTCTCTCATGTATTGGATTAATATTTAATCGGACATTGATCACAGACAGCCTCATCTCCAGCCTGCATTTCCACCTTGACCTGCATTCCTTGAGGTCCGTATTTTTTCGAACACATGCGAATATCCGACAGATCACCGAGATTCATACCTATCACCATCACGTACTGTCTCCACCCACAGCACCTCCCAATCACATCCCACCACTAGCCTCCATCCCCAACGGCGGCTCAGGTGCCCCAGATTGCACATCCATCCCCTCACCCGACTCCTCCTCCTCACGACTCCCTACCACTCCCTTTCCATTAACTCCGCCTCCACCTCCCTCCTGCCCTTCTGGTACCTCTACACTATCAGTCGGTGCCAGGCCTGCGGCAACATCTGCCGCTGCGCCTGCGGGATCGGCTGGGGGAAGGTTGGGGGTTGAGAGAGAAACGGAGGGGTCGGCGGAGGAATTGCTGTCGGATATGGGTAATCTGTCACCGGCCGCCGTTGGAGGTTGTTCGGGCGCAGGCGTAGACGCAGGCGTAGACGCTTCAACATCCCCATCTCCCTCAGCATCCATGTCAACATCCATCGCATCCCCGCTCCTATCCTCCTCATCCATTTCGTCCGTAACAACCGGAACCCATCTCAACACCTTAAACCCCAACTTAACGTCCCCGTTGCTGTTTTTCTCCTTATCGCTCATATCTGTTACGGGCACGATGGGGCTGACCCATTCTCGGCGCCAGTGGATGAGGGGTCCGTCGGGGTCACCGCCGCCGGAGTAAGAGTGGGTTGGGGCTGTGGAGGTTGCGCGGGAGCGGTGGGAGCCTGAGGGACGGTAGGAGCCGGACATTTTGTTTACTTGCTTATAAGGATCCGTGCAATAGCTGGGGGATCAATGGGGTTCTGCGCCTGGTGTTGCTGATGCTGGGCTGGTGTTGGTTGTTGGTGCTGAGGCTGCGAGCGTAGTGCACGTGCAGAGGACCGCTTCCCACGTTCAAGCAAGCAAAACAGCACAGAGTAAGTGCGTCATCCAGGAATCGAACCAGGAACTAAAGCTTGGAAGGCTTCAATGCTAACCATTACACCAATGACGCAGAACTTGTTTGTTTTTCCGTTTTTCCCGTTCTATATTCCCCAGCGTGCAGTTCCCGACCCGCCCCCGCCCCCGCCCGACCTGACAAGCACTTTACGCAATTTCGATTTCACCACCTCCAGCTCCAGCAACCACCAGGATGTTCGGGCTAACAAGAAAACCGGCGGTGTTCGCCCTCAAGGACGTACAAGCACTCGTCTCCTTCATCGACACGAACAAAGAGTTTCTGCGAACCACGACGTCGACAGCTGCCAGGAAGGAATGGATCACGCGCACCAAAGCGACGGAGGAGATCACCGCACTACTTGACCACCAAGGTATGACACCCCCCGAACTCGCTCTCACGTGCGTGCGATGGTTGTTGATGGTTACTGGGAGTAGATTCGAGGATATCAATCGACGATATCGCCGCCCATATCAACGTGAGCGCCGAAGATGCCACAACACGTATCACCGAACTCGAGCTCGAAAGCGCCTACCAACCCGAGACGGGATGGATTAGGATGGGGAGTGTGGTTTTGCCGAGGTTCGTCTACCATTGCGCCACATATAACGAAACGAAAGGTTATGGGACGGCTAACGCTGTGGTGAAGACAAGAGCTTACCCGCCTTTCCCAAACCCTCTCCCAATCGCTCTCCACGAACGGTTGGGTCCGGGTTCGTGAGTGGTGTCGGGAACAGCGAATCAACGCCATCATTTTCGAGCAGATACAATCACAACTCGAGAGTGGGGAGGAGGGGGGAAACACGTATGTGGGTCCGCAGAAGGAGTTTTTGGTTGAGAGGAGGTGGTTGGAGGAGGAGGAGGGTCGGCTTACGGAAAGTATTCAATTACTCACAAGGTACCTTTTACGCTCCTGTCTTCTCATCAGCACGACGTACTAATACCTATATCGTACATAGCCCAACCCCTCTCTCAACCCTCACCACCAACACCACCAACCCCCTAACTCCCCACCTCCTCCCCCCCCTCCTCCGCTCCCCCCGTCTCTCCAACCAAGGAACACTCGATGGCGGTGTCTGGACCCCTACCTCATACACGCAACACAAACAACGCGAAGCAGTAGAGAGATTCAGACGTGACGGGTACATCTCAAAACACCTCCTTAAAGGATCGGAGCTGAGGGTGGAAGAGACGGGAGCGATGGGGTTGGCAACGGTATGGGTATCCAGCGCATATATTGCCAACATCGAAGCCCTCGTCGAGGGTATCCACTCGTTCTCCTCAATCACTGATCTCGTACCTGAACTCGAATGGGAGGATGCGCAAGAGCTACTGACTGGTCACGTATTACCCCGTGTTCCACCGGGAGTCGTGTTTGTCGGTGTCGGAAAGGGATACGTCGTGCGCCGCGAGTTTTTGGGAAGGGTTGAGGGTGGGTGCACGGCCTTTGCTCTATCTGAAGCTGCGAAGACGAAACCGAAGCCGTTGGCGAAGAAGAAAAGCGCAGGGGAGGGACAGGGGTTATCACTCCAGACTTTAAAGAAGCACAGCGCAGGGATGCCGGAATTCGCCGACGCCGAGGTTCCGGCGGTGTTGAGGGAGGAGTTGGTTAGGCGTGTATGGCCGGTTGCTGCGAGGGTGTTTGAGGAGAGGGTTAAGGCTGTATATCTCGATGTTGAAGTCGAATCTGCGCCTACACCTACCAGTGGATCGGGACCGAAAGCTGCGATGGAAAGGTTACGTGCCAGATGGACGGTATATGCGAATGGACTAAAGGACCTCAAATCACGAAGCTTGAAGGCGAGTTTGGGGAGGTTTTTGTGTGAGGTGAGTGGAGAGGAGATGGTCAAGGCGGCTACGGATGTGGGTGATAAAAGCGAGCTTAAGTTTGATGCGGAGGCTGCGAAGAAACTGCTTGAAGAGGGCGATGTTGCTGGGTTCACTTCCCTCTTCTCTGTGAAGGAGAATGCGGAAACCGTGGAGGCGGCTAAGACGGAGATCTTGCAGAACCTCGGTACACAGCTCTCTGCCGCCACAGACCCGGCACTCGTTCTCCACCTCTCCGTTTTGCTCATACTGGCACGAAACTCCAAGTCAAATGGAGTCATCAACGCGAGTGGCAAGTTTGTGCCAAAGTTGATCAAAGAGATGGATATGGAGAAGGGTGAGGAGAGGGTGTTGTGTGAGGGGTTGATGAGGGAGGTTTTGGGGAAGGAGGAGAAGGTTGAGGGAAGAGTTGAGAAGGTGCGGCAGGCTGTGTTTCCCACGGTCTGAAGGAATAACGCGCGCGCACCTCGGCAGATTTCCCGCCAACTGCCGATTGCGCAATTCGATGGCGCGATTAATTCCAAACACCCGCCACTTGCAACACCAGAAACAACGAGCAATTGCACAATCCCGAATCCTCCCACTTCACGCCCTCATATAAAAGGATCACTCGCTCTCTCTCTGACCCACAAATACAACCTTCCAGCATACTCAATTGCATCATGACCAAGGATCTGTCTTCTCGTTCTTCCGAATCGGGTGATTCTGCCTTGGGCGACTCCCTCGAATCCCTCCCTCCCGTCATCTTCACCCCCTCTCACCTCGCTCACATCAACGCCCGCCTCAACTCCTGCACACCCCAGCAAATCCTCGAATGGGCCATCGTCACCATCCCCAACCTCTACCAAACAACCGCATTCGGCCTGACTGGATTGGCTACCATCGACATGTTATCCAAGCTTCCGATTACGCAGGAAAACCCGGTCCCGTTGATTTTCATCGACACCCTCCACCACTTCCAAGAAACCCTCGATCTCGTGGATCGCGTGAGGGCGAAATACCCGAATGTCCCCTTACACGTCTACACCCCCGAAAACACCCCCACCGCCGCCGCCTTCACAGCACTCCACGGCGATAAACTCTGGGAACGCGATGAACCCCTCTACGACTACCTCGTCAAAGTCGAACCCGCCCGCCGCGCATACGCCGACCTAAACGTCCGCGCAGTCCTAACCGGTCGTCGCCGTTCCCAAGGCGCAGACCGCTCCTCCCTCCCCATCATCGAACTCGACGAAACCGGCCTCATCAAAATAAACCCCCTCGCATCCCTCTCCTTCGCCGACGTCAAAGCATATATCGACGCCAACGCCGTGCCATATAACGCTTTGTTGGATCAGGGATATAAGAGTGTTGGGGATTGGCATTCGACTGTTGTGCCGAGGGAGGGGGAGAGTGAGAGGGCGGGACGGTGGGCGGGGAAGGAGAAGACTGAGTGTGGCCTTCACGCGGATTATTTTAAGATGAAGGCGGAGGCGAAGAGGAAGTTGTTGGAGGCGAAGGCTGCTGCTGAGGGTATCCAGGGGGTGAAAGGAGTATAGAAAATGTGTTGCTTGGGGTTCCGGCGTTTTGTTTCGTTTCGTTTATTCTTTTACATGGCCATGGGGGTGTACGTACGCGTATCCTGACGGGACGGTCTAATCATCATCATCATAAGTTGTCGCTTGAATGGCGACGCAATAGAATTATTTTCTTCTACGATCCACCGGTTTCTACGCTGGGATGTGTCCTGTTGGGGCCGTAGCGGAGTTGTGCACATAGAGTTTCCCACGCACGACAATGGTCCGCGCGGCCACAACCACAACCATACCCTTGTCGGCGGCAATTAGTTAACTGTTGGTATTTGCGAGGGATGAGACGCTGCTGGACGACGACGACGGTTCGCAATGCAACGGGTTTGTGACGGAGCCGGGTTGCGTTCGCTCCCCATCACCAGATCGAATGAAGCAAACCTGCCGACCTCATCATTCACACCATCCCCGTTCACGACAGTTTCTACGAATATAAGCTATGAACTTTCAAACTCCCTTGGCAGCAACATCCGCTTATTTCAACGGCTGCTACTACTAAGGAACTCAGAGAGCATCCCCGCCCGTGCTTTCCAGCATCTGGACTCGGCCAAGACGAAAGAGTGTCTGGCCTGCTGAAGACTTGTCACTGTACCACTGTCCACCTTTCAGAACCTTCTCCCACAGAATATCGCCATGACGATACCCGCCATGGTTTTGGCGCTGAGGACTTGTCATGACTCATTGCGGGGCACACAAACCAAACAACAAACTTGCCGGGCATATGGGCCCTAAACGTTTTGGACTCGTTTGTTGAGGCGGTGCGGGTACCTGGTTAGGTAGTGTGTGGACACGGTGTTCGTCAACGCTGAGTGCCCAAGAGAGACCCATGACAGGTACTGCCTTGCCATTGAGGACATGGCGCAATAATCACACTGTACAGCCACAACTTACCGCGCTTTTGAGGTGCGGACTTAGAAGCGGCTCATCAGTGCAGTATGGCCTTGGGACTTGAGCCATTACAGCTCCTGAGGCAGGACGAGTTTCATGGAGGTGTTCCTCATCCAGCCCATACCCCTTCACTGACTTTCTTCCTCCACCCGCCCAGTACGCCGTACCCATAGGCACCGTACATAAGCAGTGATCCGTCCCAGGACCGTAGGCTATTGAGTGGTACGACGTGCACTGAGCAACATTGACCATCTTCTCAGCCTCAGAACTGGGTCGGACGTTCCACCCACAATTGCTGCGGTGGTGGGGTTGATGTTCCTCCACCTGTTATGCCGCAACAATCTTGTCAGTGTATCCCCGCGCAAGGGCCTTAACGGACTTCTTGCGTGCGGGTGTAGTCCCTGTACAGCACCATTACTAACCCACCCACCATCCACCCACACTCCTAACACCCTTCCTCCTCATCCTCGCCCTCAGAACTTTCCCGCGGTACACTCGACTGCAGAACAGCTAGTCATCCACTCAGTGGGGAGTTCGGGGAGCTCCTCTTCATCTTCGTCTAAAACGAAGAAGGATGAGAGGGTGGTAACAGCAGGGGTAGAGTCCTCAGTGATGTCCAAATACATATGAGAAATAGACTCCTGGCCCATGCCATGGTGTATACAGACGTCAAAGTGACGCCTCTCGTTAAAAACGGCGCCAAAATACCCATGGGTGGAGCTTTCATAGATTTTGGTCTTCAGAGAACCCAAAGACGGCGCATTTATGGGCGCGTAGAAGTTGCCCAGCTCGACGGACTCGGCGGATGGGCTCAAGCTGCGACGTTCAGCAGTGAAGATTGACTCTTCATTGCTAAACTCTTCTTCTTCTTCATCACTCTCAAGGATGAAGTTGAGCTCGCTGCTGAACATGCCACAGCGGCCAGCATACCAAAAGGCAGGGCCACTGCAAGCCTTGTCGACAGGGGCGTCAAGCTCTTCTTCATCCAAGGGAGCATTCATCTCATAAATGGTCTTTTCTGTGTCGCGAACATCCTCTTCCTTGACTTCTTCCTCAGCACACTCTTCATCTGCGTCAACAGACCGGGCAACAACAGCACAGACCCGCGTAACATGAGCTCTCTTTTGAACAGTCACTTGCTCCCTGACCAAGAGCTGGGCTTCAAGGTCATCAAGGCGGCTGCGCTCAGTGAGCGCATAGGCAAGAACAGCCTGTGCAAAAGAGGATACTCCGTTAAGAGCAACAGAGGAGATGAGGGTAGTGAGCTTGATCAAGGTAGTGAACATTTTGTAGAAGGTTTTGGTAGTGTTGTTGGAAGTTTTGGGTAACCTGTGCTGTTAGACAAGTAGGTAAAGGACGAAATTCTCTGGGAGAGCTCAAGGCGAGGCAAAATCTTCACTCTGGGCTAACTCGGGCTAAATCGTTAGCTTCGAAGTGATTGGCAACCATCATTCTGCTCATAAGCAGCTCGACCGTATCCGGTGGATTTTGGGCGGCCGGCGCGAGGCCCAGCTGCTCCGCGCTAGTGCACTCTGTCCCGATGCGGTAGAACCCAGGCGGGGTATCCCTGACGGCTTCCTAATGGGACAAAAGAGATACAAAGTCGATCCAAATATCTTGAAAGTATGACAGAAGTTGCCCTATACTTGTGTCGCGATGCGTCTGCGTAAGGCGTCAGCTTCGAGCGGGCCGTGGAGACGAAGGCTCCAGAACTCCGCAACTGATAATATGGATAGTTCTCATTCGATAGAATTTTTTCAATGGAACCAAAACTGAGGACACACTTCCTGATGGCGAACGGTCATAGCACGATCGCACTTTGCCTGTTGCGTCTGAGTCGCTATGCGAAAATTGATGTTGCCGTGGGAATAAGCTGTCACTGAGCCGGAGGTGTTGAATACGGGATCCGATATCGGCCACATGGTTTAGTGCTCCAGACGGACAAGGAGCCAACGGGCTTATGTTCATTTGTGGCCTGGTACAACAGAAGCTCCCTTTAATGCCTTTACGAGGTTACTGGACGAGATCTCCAACCGCGCGATAGAATACTACTGAGCTCGTCGATCAAGGCGTGATGGAAAAACTCGCCTTATATTTTGGAAGAGACAAAACCTATGCCCCCGTATTAGTACGCTCAATGCCGTAGCATCCAGTCAGGTCATACCACAACCCTACTGGGTCAAATTCTCAGTGCGTTCTTCAGCGTGCAACGAGAATAACCCTCCACCATGGGTTGGAAGCAGTTTTGGCCCTCGTCTTCTGACACGGTAGCGTTACAAGGCAAACTTTCATACGTAAAGCGAGGCCAATATCTAGGAACATGGAAATGCTGTAGTCGCCTCATGAGCTCAACTAATGCCCCACATATTACTGACATCTATAGTTCGAGTATGAGTTGATAAGATGGAAGCCTTCCATCGCCGAAATATTTGAAAATTAATAGGCCTGGATGTCTGCTAATGAACCTGGAGCTATTTGATGCAGATGCAACCATATATTGGGTATGAGCGATATCCATCCCTCTTCTGAATTCCCTTTCCGCCTCAATACACCGCCGAACTCACATATCATCACTCCCATCCGCTCCCACCCAACCCACTATCCACAGCCACCTCCTCCACCTCCACGTCTACCTCGCCCGATATCTCATCCTCCTCCTCCTCGCTCTCACCAGCCTCATAAGAGGTCAACGCACCTTCCTTCTCCATTTTCTCAAAGAACTCGAAATAGAAGGGGAGTGCAGCAGCGACGACTTCGTCCATGAACCGACACTCTGCAGAGAACGTCACACATCCGAACCCTGCCTTTCCAGCTGCATAGTTGCTTACTTTTTCCGTCGAAGAATCTTGGTCGTCCAGGGCTTGTTCGTAGTTTACTGCACGATTTGCCATGAACCACCGGAATGCCTTATTATTCGTATCAGCTGCCGTATGCTGAGTTTTGGCTAAGCCCAACGCAGTTAAATGATCCGCCCAGTCGTTCCCTGTTTTCCCAAAAGTTAGTGCCCAAGCAAGAGAGAAGAAAAGAAGCGGGGGAGAGAGGGCGTACAATTAGCGTCAAAATATGACACGGCACACTCTGTCCCAAACAGATGCGCCAAAACGACAACTTTCGCGGCCGGCGCTGGCTTGATCACCTCTTCCATCACATATCTGAAGTGTTCCTGAGGCGTTGCATTCCCAGGGATCGTCTCCGTTCGCGAACCAAAAGACCGTGTTTCGAAAAGGCGCTATATCAAATCATCAGCACCCTGCCAGCAGGATACGTAAGGGGAGAGGGGCGGAAGACGTGGAACGTACCATGGCTCGTTTCTGTGAGGGTACATAGAACAACTCGCCGGCATTGCAGATCACGACTGAGTACCTCGCTTCCTGAGCCCGACGGACGGAATCTTCCATGGAACCCGCCTATGCAGCACGCCTTGTTAGCACCCATACCCCTGCAAAGCATACCTTCGCAGGCGGGGAAGGAGAACAGACATGCAAAGTCCACGTCGTCAAAACCCTATCTCCCCAAACCCCAAGACGGCTCCCATCCGGCATAAACACCACCACCCTCTTTGCATTGGTTCTCAAATCGGACGAGACGAGGATCTGTAAGCACCTGTCGTCAGATCTCTGAGAGAGTTCAAGGATTACAGGGAGCTTACCTCCGTATGCGGTTCATCTTCTTTAGTACCTAAAGGGATACGAAGGCGCTCCATGCCCAACTTCTGGAGTCTCTCATCGACGATGTCGTAAACGCACTCTATATATACCGCGTCAGTACACCGCGCTCCCTTTCTCTCCATAATTTATGACAGAGACATACTCATTACAGCGACCTTATGCGCCTCATTATACCCAAAATCATTTCGCTGAAAATACTCATACGGTAACTCCGGGTTCTTGATTCGTCGTAGCTCATCGTTGGGTGTGACGCGGAGGCCAAGTTCGGCGAGGCTGGAGGGGATGATGAAGGGTTCTCGGACCTTAGGCTTCTTGCGGAACATTCTGATTGACAAAACAGACAGAGAGGACGGTGGTGAGGTTGGACGTGTCGTGAGTGGATCAAAAGGGTGTGGAGTGCGTAAATTAAGGGGTCGTGTGAACATTGAACCAGTTAAACGATTCTCATGTATCATAAACCCAGCTCTTCCTTCTCTCTTACACCGCATCATACCCCCTCGCCCACCCTCCGAAACTCACTCTCCTCTTGCCCTCCCTTTCATGCATCCACTTCGCCCACTCCTCCTCAATCTCTCCCACTGCTTTCGTACACCCATCCTCCCCTTTAACCTTCGCGCCCACGACAGCACACTGCTCCCTAACCCCTTCCTCCGTCATCACTCTTTCAACTTCCTTCGCTAAAGCCCTACCGGTGGTTCCCTTCGGTACGCCCCATCCCAGTTTCAAAGCGCGTAACATCCCACCGTTCGCGAATTGATCCCCAAAATGCGGTACGATCAACGAGGGTTTCTGTGCGCAGATAGCGGCGTGCGTAGTCCCACTCCCACCATGATGCACGATACACCCTATCTCCTCCCTCGGGAACAGCCACCCATGCGGAATGCTCTCGACAAAGACCACGTCAGCTCCTTCGTGGGAGTCGCGGAAGGAGGTGATGCTAGGGTTCTGGATGTATTCTTTTCCGATGCCGACAATCATTGGTTTGGCGACTTCGCGGATACAGGTTATGAGTTCGTGGAGTTGGTGTTCGGGGTCGAGGTAGGGCATGCTGCCAAAGCCCAGATATACAACTTCTTCACCTCTATCACTCGCCTTGGCCAGTAACGCCTTGATATTTTCCGACGGTTCATAGTCAGGATCGACGGGTGTATCCCAGTGTCCGGTGAGGACGACATCCATCCCCTTCTTGAAGGTTAGGGGCCACAACGTGGGGCTCATCGGGTACATACTTCGTCCTGCCCTCTTCTCGTACCCACACATGATGTGCCACATCTCCCTCACACCCAATGGTCTCATGCCTAACCTTCGTACGCGAAATGCGTTGATGGCATCCCCATGCTGCCAGACATTCCCGTACGCGAAGCATCTGAAGGAGAGTTTGTTGAGGAGGCGGGTAATACGGTTGTTGGCAATATACGATGTTGACTCGAGGAAGGGTGCAGGGAGGAGGGGTGTCGAATGTACCGGGAAGTGCTGAATCGAGATATGCGGCAAATCCAACTTCTCCGCCAGATGAGGCCCCAGCAACAACAAATGATGCGTCAACAAAAACGACCACCGATGTTTCGAGTGAATCAACCCACTCCAAGCCCCCTCCCACATCTCATCGTAATACTTCCGATACTCCCCCCCACCCATCCACCCCAACGTCTTCCATCCACTCAACCCATACTTGACCATATGCGCATACAACTCCTCTGTTCCCTCATCTCCTCCAATCGACACGAACTCTACCCCTGCCTCCTCGATGAGAGATTGATATTTTGGGTGGGTGAAGAGGACTGGGGTGTGCTTGTGGGAGAGGAGGGTCTTGGCGAGGGCGAGGTAGGGTTGGACGTCGCCGCGGGAGCCGTATGTTATTATTGCGATTGTAAGGGGTGGAGTTGAGGAGTTGGTGAATTGTGCCGCGGCTTCAGCTGGTGAGACGACTGTTATGTCGGAAATGGTGGACGAGTGACGAGCATGTCCGGGACTGTCGGTCTTGACTGTTGCTGACGAACGGCGACGATGTGCTGGACTCCATCCTGAGCCGTCTGGTGACATCTTTGTCGAGTGTATGCTGGGTGTATGCTGGGTGTATGCTGGTGGTCTATGTACTGCTTCTACATTGTTCTGGTGTAGAGGTTTTCCAGATCTGAGTTCAGTTCTCGATGTTGACGTCACCTGCAGTCATCGGGTATCGATATCGGACGGGTGCGTGCACGGAACCCGCGGGGAAGACGGAAGCCGATCGGGGGAGAAGTACGGAAGGGAAAGGAAAAACGGAGGTGTGTGATCGACTGTAGATGCTCTATTCTCATCTTGGGTATTGGTATATCTCCTCTCGATAGCAATGATAGAAAACGCCGGGTACTCACTCACTCGCCCACTTACATAACCTTCAACCCCTCAAAAGCAGTCTTCGTTAACCCTCCAACGCTTTCAGAAACCCTCCTCAACGCCTCGTACCTCTCCCTCTCGACCGCCTTCTCCCTTTCCAACTCCAAAATTCCCTGCACACCATCAATGCGTCCCTTAATCCTCGCATCCAGAATCAAAGCCACACATAGCTCTTCCACTTCCTCCACTGTGATCTTAAGATGTGTAGCAATTGAGGAGAGGGTGACGCGGGTGTAGGGCTTGATGAGTGCGAGGAGAACCGAGGTCCGGATGTTACGGAGTACGTCGTCGATGTAAGCCCGAATAAACGGGTCAGACATAATCGCCGTCTTATTCAGCCTCAGAATCCGTTGGAACTCTTCCAACTCATTACGCTGGTAGGCATTAACCAGCGACGTCATCGCAGTAATCTCCGGATGCGACTGGTACGGCTTCGTCTCCTGCGAATCAAAGGGATTGATATCAGACTGTGCCAACATCGTCGCCAACACCAAGTACTTCAGGACTTGAATGCGCTGGAGAGAACCGGCTTCGTCGTAATTTCGGAAGGACTCGAAGAAATCGGTTTGGGCTTCTTGCCATTGTTCTGTCATATACCGATTAATAACCCAATACGATGACACGCTGGCACATGACGTACTCTCATTCATGTGCATTTTCCCTCCACATTCGCGAATAACACCCATGATCCTCGGATGCGGAATCGCAGACTTGACATGCAACGTCCGGTGATACAAGTCCTATATCCCAAATCAGCACCCCGTGCACCATATCAAACCCTCTCAACAACATACCTTCAGCTTCTTGTTGTTCTTCGTCGCCGTATACATCTGGATCTCCAACGCATACACCTCCAACAAGTACGTCCCCTTGTTCTCACTCTCCAACCCCTCTTCTCCCTCCTTCGCCAACGCCGCATGCAACCCCTTCAAACTCTTGTTGAGACGACCCCATTCGCCTCTATCCAACCACAACTTCGCGAGCTTGAGGTTCGTCTTGAGAAAAAGTCTGTCGTTTTTGGCTTCTTGTAGTGATTCGAGGGTGGTGGAGTAGAAGCGCTCCATGAAATCCGTGTCGAGGGTTGCTGAGGAGGAGATGCGATCCAGGATGTTGTTCAAAGACTTTTCACTGTAGTTTCGTGTAACGGCCGATTTGGTGTAGGTGAGTAACTCCTTGTAATCCTTAAACGTTGATTCCTTATCACCCCTCAAAAACGACAACTTGATAATCTGCTTCAACGCCTTGAAACCCCTACGACCCCCAAACAGTTAGCCACCACATCCACTTTTCACACTAGAAAAGAACGTGACTTACCAATCACCCTTCTGTCCCTCCTCCTTCTCCTTCTCCACGACCTTTCGAAACTCCACGATTGCAGCTTCAGGATCATCTTCCTTCATCGCTGTTGACTAATCCGTCAGCCAGACTGTATGTTACAGACCAGAGCCTGCACTACCCTAACCTTTTGCATTGTAGTACATGTTCTCGATATCGACATCCTGATCCCCCTGTTCATCGTCGTCGTCTTCGTAGTCGAAGTCGTACGTCTCATCGTCTGCCACAAGCGTCAGTCTCCGTCCATAGACACCAAATGAGAAGCAGCCTGACTCACCGTCCATCATGAAATCATCGTCGTCCGACATGGCGATATCACGGTTCCAAGGCTGTTGGGAACTCGATGCCGTGACGTCTCCGGTGTGGCGGGAAGTGCACGGCCACACCACACCTGCATCTCCAAAATCTAAGGTAACCACCAACGCGTCTCGGTATATCGAGCAGTTATACACGATGTTCAGCGCTCTGAGAAGATCACTCGCTCGGCCAACAGCCTTCTTGGCAGCCGCCCGGCCAATCCAGCCCGTCAACCAGATCGCCTCGCCATTGTCGCGGTCTATGGCCACCCTGAACCAGGTCATGAAGGGTTCCCGTAAGCAAAAGAAGGTCATCAAAGCCAAGTGTCCATCTCTGCTCAGCAATCCCTTCAAGAAGGGGGTCTGCAATAAAGTCTACACCGTAAAGCCGAAGAAGCCCAACTCAGCTGTTCGAAAGGTTGCTAGGATCAAGTTGTCAACTGGAAGACAGATTATCGCATACATCCCCGGAGAGGGTCACAACTGTCAGGTTAGCCAATCTGCTCAATTTTTGTGCTTTAAGGTTGCTAATGCGGTATGAAGGAACACTCTGTCGTTGTTGTTCGTGGTGGTCGTGTGCAGGATCTTCCCGGTGTGTTGTACCACTGTGTCAGAGGTGTGGGGGATCTTAGCGGTGTTGCGACGAGAACGACGTCGAGAAGTAAATACGGTACTAAGAAGCCTGCGAAGGCTGACAAATAGAGGAGTTGATGACTTGATATTCGGCGGGGAGTCTTGGGTAAGACGGGACAAAGGGGATCAAGCATGTCGATGGAGAAACATCGTCTTTAATACGGGGATTCTTGCAATACACACATTTACGCAAGACGTGTGGCATCTTCTTTGACTATGGGTCGCTGTGCGTTCCGGCCGGTTTCCTGGATCGCCCGGCCGCCGTGACATACTGCAATTCGCCATGATGTTCCCTCACAGACCATGCATCACATGTGCATTCATCACTCTGTTTCATACCCTTTGGTTGTAAGTGGGGCGGGTATCAGCAGTTCGGGGATGCAAGACGGGCCACATTTATCTTCGTTACATCAAAATCTAGCAATCAAGTGTACATATCTGGCCATGGTCTGTATGGTGAACAAGTCCTCTTATGCTCTCCTATTACAACAAATGACCGTACAGAAAAGCTGTCATGATGGATATCCCCTACCACGAAAGAATAGAACAAACTGATGCAGCAAATACATATTACGCATGCCGATTGCCAAACGAATCCAATCCGATACGACCCAATTGCAACGTCCACCATGAACGCTCATGCTCTCCGTCCTATCTTCCCATCTCACTCTCATGCCGCAACCTTATAAATATTGATATGATGATCCCCGCCGCCACAAACGGCAAGACTCATCATATGCGGATGAAACGCCAACGAGGTAACAGCCGACGATGTTTGTCGTCCTTGATGCAAGAATCCCGAGTAGTGCCTAAACGTTGACAAGTTCGGTCCCGATGTATTCCATACTTTGATGAAATGGTTTGTCGAGCCACTAGCGAATACAGGTGCATGTTCGTGGACGGCCAATGTCCGTAATCCGCCAGTGTGTGCTTGAATCGTCCGAACCGGTTTCGAAAGTCGGATATCCCAGAGCTTCACATCACCACTGACACTACCCGATACCAACTCACGGTTTCCTCCACGCTGCATATGCACATTGGCAATCCAAGTCTTGTGATCCTTCCAGACCTTGACCATCGCGTCTCTAGGCGGTAACCTCCTATCGTACACGCGGACTGCACCATCGCCAAATCCTGCAACGAAGATGTTTCCAGCTACTTGATCTGAGGTAAGGGACGTGATGCAGCTACCCGAACGCGCTGGTATGTCGCTCAAGCACGTTTCTCGTGGTGCGTCCCAAACTCGAATAACCTTTACGTCACCTCCAACGAGCAATGTTCCTCGCCCTTGTTGCCATTCAGCCACCAAACCACTGCTGCGGTTTGAAGGTAACAGGTCAGTCAGTGCGCGCCATGAGGACACAAGCTCCATACTCTCTTCCGACTCATAGTTCCGGTATAGCCTGATAATACCCTCTCCAGAACCAGTCATCAACAGAGCAACATCATCTTCATTGATGAACTTCACCTCTGTGATCCGACTTCCCATAGGATTACCATTCGAAAATCGGTTGAGCCTAGTTCCCGTATTGTGATCCCAGACCGAGATACCATCCCTATCATCAGCCGCAACAAGATGAGGCTCAAACTGATGGAACAGTAACCGCATCGGCTGAGTCTCATTGTTGAAGTACCCAGCATGCAGATTCCAAGCACTCGCACCGGCGATCTCCTTCTGAGGCTGCGTCTCGAAGATGATCCTCTCATTTCTGTTCCGGCGCCATAGACGCTGATTGTATTCCATGCTTCCTGGCTCATCCGTCTCCTGGGGCTTCATCTGAGGTTCCATGAAGTACTCACAGCTCCATTGGAAGAAAGAGCTCTTCAAAGGCAGTTCCTGCGGTGGCGACTTTGATCCCTTCAACTCCTTAAAGCTCTTAGGCAAAGGCACCTTAAGAGATGGCTGTGGCGTACTCGGAACGAAAGCCTCGTCCTCGGGAGGAGGTCTATTAGGTTCCGGCGCAGGTGCAGGTTCCTCATGATGACCCAAAGCAAGGTTCTTCAACGACACCGCAATCGACGCCGATCTCGTCAACGTACGCGTCAACCTAGACGAACCCGGCCTAGCAGGCGAATCAGGCGCCTGAGAAGGATGCTCCGATCCATCCCTCGACGTACTCGTCCTCGACAACGACCCATCAAACGCAGGCTTCGACGTCTGCGACGCTGCCTTGATGATGTTCGACGCAACCTCTCCCAGCGGACCCTTAAGTAGTTCCGCATGCACAGCATCAACAACCCCAACGGCCAACACCGCAACCTCCGAAAACGGATCAACACTCAATATCAACAACGCCTGCCAAACAGCATCATACGGCGTCGCCCGACTCAAATGTGACGCAACATCCGTACTCGTCGCTAACCGCCCCTCACTACTCGCCAACTTCTCCTCGAAGTGTCCGAGGGCCGTAACCATGAATTTCTTCGCATTCAACGAGATGAAAATCGACAAGAAAACGACCAGCTCCTTACGAACCATACCTGACCCATCAGCTGTGAGACCCAACGCCGCAATCGCGATATAATTCTCCACAGCAACAGCCTGCTCACTCTTATCCGGCAACCCCAGGAAATTCCCCAGTGCAACCAACGCCGCAGCCCTAACCTCCGGCACCGGATCCGTCAACAACTCACACAACCTTTCATGCGCACCATCCCTAATCCCCATCCACTTCGCCTCCGCCAAATCCTTCCACAACTGCGCAACACACAACGTAGCCCACTGCCTCAACAACGGATCCTCATCCCCCAGATGACTCAAGCACGCGCTCAGCACACCAGGCTGCATACACGCAACCTGTCCCTGCTTGAAATCCCGACAGAATACACTGAGGATGAACGCGCACATGGCTCTATGCTCACTCACATTCGCCACCGGAAGCTGAGCGGTGTTTGGTGTTAAAATCTGCACGAAGTAGGTGTATCCAGTATCCTTCAACAAATCCGCCTGACAACTCCCATCAACAGCCAAGATCCTCGCCCAAATAAACACCAAAACAGGCTTCAACTCCGGCGCAGGACTCTGCAACAACTTGAGCACATACGGGAAAATTCCGATACTCAAAGCCTGATTGACAGCCCACGGTCCCAGATCCAGAAACTTACTCAACAAAATCAGTGCGCGGAGACGGTGTACTTGACTGAGCAAAACCTGCAACACAATCGGCAGCTGATCCGGGACCTTTTTATACACAGCCCCCTGCGCAAGCCAAACCTCAAATGCGGTCAGCTGTTCCGTGAAAAAGGACGAATGCTTATATTCATACGCCGGCCCTCCATGCTCCGCCGCAATGAGGTGCGGGAGTTGAGCGAGACAAGTGTCGACAGCTAAATCCCACGAATCCCACATCGGGTGGTTATGAGTCGCCGGAATGGCGGGGTAGGAAACCGGATGGCATTGGTGGACCCGCATAATCCTCTCCGCCAACAAGAAATTCCGAAAGAGTGCCGCGACCATCAAATCCTGCCTAAACAGCCTCTTGAACAATGGCCTGGGAAGGACATTCCATGCAATCGTATCCGTAATCGCCGTAAATATCCAATTCAACTCACCCAACGGCGTTCGACGATCCTGGAGCCGTCCGGGAATGTTCATCACCATATCGATCGACAAATTCGACGGCAGCGGATTTTGCAGAACAAACCACCTGACCGCAATCTCGATCGGCGAGGTCAAACAACACGTAAACAAATCAGCCGGTAAGTCCGGGTTCATCGGTAATACTTCGTTAGGCCCACACGCCGCCAACTGTATACAATCCCTAAAGCTCTGCGGACTCACAGGCTCGGACGGCTGTTCTTCCCCACCATTCCCATCACCATTCGTTGTTGCCCCGTTGGAAGAGGCGTTCTTGTACTCATTCTCCCGCTGATCCACGAACCTCATAAAATTCTGCACAATATTCCCCGCCGCAGAACAGTCCCAAACATACAAACACGGCGCCCCCAACCAACTCTGCAAATCATAAAGACTCACCGGGATATACTGCGTATAATTCTTATTGAAGACCCATATCTCGCCACTCGTCGTTGGTTTAGGTACACCGTGTCCGTTGTAGTGAAAGAGGATGCGTTCTTCTTTTGCGTTGCGGCGGAGTGCACAACAGAATTTTTTTGTTTCCTCGACGCTTGGGTCTAGGTATTGCTTGTACCGTGTCCGCATACTCAGTGTCTCATACTGCTGTTGCAAATTCTTCCCAATCGCCTCCAGACTCTTCGAGGCCGGAAGCGAAAACGGATCGATCCAGCATTCCAACTTCGCACAGGGTGAGGTTTTGACGATATCAGGCGGGTCGACACCGATGTTGAGACAAACCACGAGGGCTGCGGAGACGGTTTTGAGACGTTCGCGCATACGCCAGTCTTGCAGGACGGAGGAGGTTGAAATACGGGGGTTGCCGGATGTGTCGTGGCGTTTGTCGGCGTAGTACATGTAGAAGACTTGTTCGAGCATACCGAGATACTCATCCGAATCGTAGTCTTCCTGAAATCCGTGTCGCATGCCCGTCAACTTGATCTCACTCTCATTGATGTCGGGTATTGCCGACCCACTCGAATCCATTGTGCCGTATTTCTGTATCGCATTCTGTGCAATGCTCGCATCACTCCTCCTCCGCGCCGAAGCTGCTCCGTTCTTCGTCGGTGTTGTCGGCTCATAATCACTGGTCACGGGTGCAGGGTCCCCATTCACCCCCGCGGGATTCCGCGGCGATTTGGTCGATAGAATCGGTGATCTAGGCGCAAAATACCCATTCTCCGCCTGAGCTTGTGATTCGCGCAACCGTGTCGCATGCGGATGAGGTGATTGTGGTGCTGGTATTTGTTCGGTATCTGAGCCGTCATCGTCCGCTAACGTGAATTTTGGAGCACTCGTTCCATTAGGTCCCGCCATTGCTCCTCTCTCAATTGCCGAAGAGATGTTGGACGATGGTCGGATATGAGCGTGGGTATGGATAGGAGATGTATCCTTAGGGACGGATCAATCGGTCATACAGCGCACTGCTTCGACGCCTGATCTTAAGAGGATGACCGGATTGGTTCCACTATGTCTCCTGGTCAGTATAGGGATGGCGGTGGGGTAAGAGTTAAGGTTGGACCGTCGGTGCGAGGCCCAGGAGCCGCCGATAGCCTGGCCCTGACAGAATTAACTCGCCTTCAATTAACTGGACAGGTTAACTCAGAAAGTCGGCACGTACTGTATCACGACGTGAACCTCTCCACTCCTTCGAAAGCTCCACAATCGAAGATGGGTCTCTACATCCGGAACGCCCATGTCGAGAACCTCTCCAAGTATCGTTACAGCGGTCTCGACAAATCCCTTCTCTCACAATATGTCCTACGACCCTACTGGCGCCGTCTCGTCGAGCTCTTCCCCACCACCGTCGCGTAAATACCTCTCCTCCCATCCTGCCATCTTACATTTACTGACTCGCCGCGTTCAATAGTCCCAACGTGATCACCTTGACCGGCTTCGCATTCGTCATCATCAACTTCATAACGCTCCTCTACTACACCCCCGACCTCCAAACCGAATGTCCCCGCTGGGTCTACGCATCCTGGTCCCTCGGCCTCTTCCTCTACCAGTCCTTCGACGCAATTGACGGCATGCAAGCCCGCCGCACCGGAACCTCGGGCCCATTGGGCCAATGCTTCGATCACTGCTGTGACGCAATGAACACCACGCTCGAATGTATCCTCACCGCCGCCGCACTGGGGTTAGGTCAGAGTTGGGCTACAGTCGCGTGTCAATTCGCGACACTGTGTAATTTCTATTTGAGTACGTGGGAGGAGTGGCACACCGGCACCCTCTACCTCTCGTATTTCTCCGGGCCTGTGGAGGGGATCGTGATGGTTACCATTTTCTACGGGCTTACCGCGCTGTTCGGACCGTCGCTCTGGGCGCAGAATATGTGGGAAGTACTTCACCTCCCCGCACCGACATTCCTTCCCTCGCCATTCTTGGAGATGACACTCCAACACTCGTTTTTGGTTTTCGGCGGAATTGGATTAGTCGGTAATGTCCTCGCCTCAGCCTCAAACGTTCACGCCGCCCTCCGCGCTCAAAAGAGACCCTTCCTTCCCGCCCTCGCCGGTCTCCTCCCCTTCTTCGGTACCTCCTTCCTCGTCTACGTCTGGCTCTCCGCCCGCCCCGAACTTGTCACCGAACACCTCGTCACCTTCATGCTCTTCATCGGCGCAGTCCTGGCATACATGGTCGGGCTCATGATCATCTCCCACGTTTCCCACCAGTCCTTCCCATATTTCAACATCCTCCTCCTCCCAATCATCTACGCCTCCCTCGACTCCACCATCCTCCCCCTCCTCTTCTCCGTCCCCTCTACCATCTCCGCCTCTAACTCCGCCCTATACGTCTTTGCGTGTTTGGGAGTAGCGGTCGGCGTATATGGGAGTTTCGTGATGGATATTTGTACGACGATGTGTGATTATTTCGGGATTAGGGTGTTGAGCACGAAGAAGATTCCGGGGTTCAAAAAGTTGGGGAAGGGTGAGAGGGGGGATTGACTATATGGTAGAGCTAGGGCCGATACGGAGGAGAGAATTGGGAGTCCTGTGCCGGTGGAGAAGATGGAGGTTGGGAAGGGGGAGTAGACCGACGAGTCGTAGACGAGGCAGGAGATGTGGACGACTTGTGAGTTGCAGACGAGCACAAGAAGGAGAAGGAGGGTAGATGTATGAGGACAGTGGAAAGAGAAGAGGACAGATGGAAGTATGCAGGATAGAATTATCTGTATGATAGACATACCTTAGCTTAATGCAGACATGATTATACCTTTATCCGGCTGCGGCCCGCCGCCCGGCGTGCTCTCTAAGCTTTCATCGAGTACTATCCGAAGCCCTCCCTTAGTAACAAAATCATCCACATGAGAGCCACTTATTACCATGGATCCTCCGCATCCTCACTCTCACTCATACTCTCCTCCCCCTCCTGCTCCCACTCCGGACTCACCACCCCATCCCCACCCTTCTCAAAACACCCCCGCCCACAAAACCACCTCTCAAAACACAACACATCATCAATCCCAAAAACCCCCCTCCTCCACTCCAAACTCCGTCCAAAGGGCCGCACAAATCTCTTCCGACAGTGTGGGTTATCGCAACGGCGGTCTTGGGTGCCAGCCTCGATTGCGTCGTCCAGCCAGGGTATCCAGTGGGGGATGGCATCGGGGTGAGGGTCGGAGTAGGGTTTGAGGTGCGCGAGTTGGGATTTTGTCCAGGTTGGATCTTGGGAGAGTGAGCGGAGTGCGAGTTCGCGGAGGGTTGGGACATTTCCTCTCGCGATTTCGGACTCCTCGCGAGGTCCTGAACGGAATTTCTTGATGTAGATGAGGCGTGATGGTGCGACTGTTATCGTCCGCTGCGAACTCGACGGGGCTTGTGTCCGCGGCGGTGTAGGAAGTGGGACGTCGTCATGCTCTTCTGCCTCCTTTGGTAATGGATGCATCGGGTTCAGATGGACGCTGAATGATTCCAAATCCAGATCTAGCAATGTCGCCGGAAGGCATGTCAAATTGTTCCCCCGGAGAATGAGTTCGCGTAATCGTGTGAGTCGTCCGATTTTCGCGGGAAGACGGGTGAGTTCGTTTTTGGATAGGATTAGTGTCGAGAGGTTCGTGCAGTCGCACAATGCAGGCGGCAACTCCCGAAGGTAATTCTCGTTCAAGAACAACTTAACAGGAACCCAATTCCCCGGAACCAAATTCTGAATATCCGAGATGGAATCAGGAAGAGTCTCGAGGCCGAGGTTGGATAAATCGACTTTATCGTTCCCTTCCTCGATCGCAGCCGCGATCCGTGCAGAGACTTTCTCGGCTGGAGAGAGGTGTTCTTCCCCTGGTAATGTCGCGCCCAACGAAGTCCTGAAGCTTTTTCGTAGTCTGCTCACACTCGGTCCCTCCTCACGCGTTTCCTGGCTCAACTGGGTTGGCAGTACATGTCTCCCACTCTTCTGCCTCTTCTCACGCCTCGAAGTGCCCTCGCCCGACGTACCATTCCCTCTCTTCCTCCCCGCAGGCTTCGTTGGACTCTCAATGACATATGTGACCCCGTACCCCTGGTTCCGTACTTGTAACTGCGGCTGCGAGTCCCAGTCTGAACTCGGTATATTACTGTCTGTACCCAAATCTGAGGAAGGGTTGGCGTCGGTACCGGCGTAGAGGATGTCGTCGATGCGGGAGTCGTTGGGTTGGGGAAGGTCGGGTTCGGAGGAGAGGATTAGTTCTGGGTCACGGTAGCGGTTGTCGATTGCGTAAGGCTGAAGGGTTGCTGCTCGGGGCATACTGGATGTTGGTAGGTTCGTTAAAGGGGAGGGGGGGAGGGGGTTGGGGGTTTAACGTTTGGTGGTGAGTCGACTGAGTCGTTCGCGTGATCCGCCTTATCTGATGGACTTACGTGAACTTGCTTAACCGTGCTACCGAACACCTGTTAAATCTTGTCTTTATTCAAAGGATACTCATAAATCTTTTCCAAGGCGAACCAGGCTTTCCGGTGAGCTTTTCACGACCTCACCAGCACCTCTGAGCCCGAGCCTTGGAAGGATCACGCCGACAACCTCGACCTCGAGTTCGCAAAGTCGCCCCCGTCTATCAACTCGTCAACCACTTACTCCGAAGAGAGTCAGCACGAGGATGGCCGACCAACCATACATACCCCTCCAACGACCATCGGCAGTCGTCTCCGCAAGCCCAGCAGAGCCCTACATCCCACTCCAGAGACCCACCGGACCCCCAGACTACACCCCCAACCAACGCCCCCCACCTCCCTCCAACAAACGTCCAAACATCTACGACGACGATTACAACCCCGGTACCAGCACCTCATCCAAGAAACCCCGTACCAAACGCAAGCAACCTCCCAAAGACGCGACACAAGGCCCACTCGATCCATACACGAACCAACACGGTGCATTCTGGATAAGTGAGAGTGAGGATGAGGATGGGATGGAAGGAGGTGGTGGGCTGGATTATGAGGGTGCAAGGGAGGTGAGGGGGTTCGCGAGGGGGTTACCGGATGATCCGATGGAGTATTTGAAGATGGTACGCCGGGAAACGAGGGCGGGGCCGGCATTTGTTGTTGCAAAGTGGCCTGCGCCTGAATTGCAATCAACCGCTGAAACAACGAACGATGACACCAATACTACGATCAATGGGTCTCGAAGTAGGGATGCCCGCGCCCTCCCATCAAAAGAATGGCGAACAACAATCCTCGACTCCTTCCTCACCCTCGCAACCTCCTTCCACTCCCCCCCTCACCCCTCTTCACCCACCACCACCCCCATATCATGGCCAACAACCAAATTCCTCTGGAAATCATTCCTCCAAAACCCCCTAAACACACCTACCCCTCCCCTCCTGCACTCCTTCTCCCACGCCCAATCTCTTTTATTGTTACGTTACATGGGCGTAACGTGGGTAGAAGTGGGAATGAGCGAGGAGATGTGTATGTGGCTTTGGGCGTTGTTGGTGAAGGTGTGGGTGGGGAGGGGGGTGCTGGGTGGGGAGGAGGTCAGTGAATTGAGAGGATTGTGTAGGCGGTGTTGGAGGGTTAGGGAGGCTGCGGGTGTGGAGAAGGAAGTTGTGGTATTCACCGAGGATAAGGAGGACGGCAAGGAAGACGGTCAGGCCGACAAAATGGAAGACGAGGAGGCAAAGGCTGAGAATGTTCCGACCATCACGGCGGAGAATACGGATGAGAATGACCAGGTCGCCATCACCTCAGTTGAAGAAGTACCGCCTCCAACCGTGCCAGCCAACGACGAAGCACCATTACTGAGAGCTGACATCCGGGCTGCGATCGATACATGCATTCTGATCATCAGTGAAGTCTTAGGCCAAAAGGACCTCGGGTTTGATCCTCTATGATAGATTTCTCGCGAGTATACGCAAGTATACTGTAAGAGTGGTGGTATCGAGGAGGTATACAAACACTCTCCTGGGTATATTATTAAGATAAGGTATCGAAGACAACGTTAACTTCCGTCCGTCTCCTGTTGCACTCCGCACTCCATCACACCCCCCATGATCACAACCGTTCTAAGAATACTTCAAATGCCCCATCACCTAACTCGACGCCCCGGCGGCCGGTGCCCCTTCCGCCGCATCATGAAACTCATCCTCTGACGCAGCAGTACTATGCCCAGCCGTACCCGTTGCAGCCTCAAGTTCACCCTTCGTCTCCTCAGCCCCACCAGCTTCGTTCGTGGCTGAATGAGTAGATTTGATACTCGCAGGCCGAGACTCAGTCCCACCAAACGTACTCCCAATTCTCGGGAGTGCCGGAGCCTCCGCCCACGCCATCGTAACCTCACTCGAACCAATCGACGCTTTCCTATCCGTCCCACCCTTCTCCTCCTCCTTCTCCTCCACATTCGCCAGCTCCGATGCAGGCCCATTGACAGGCGGCGTCTTCACACCCCACCCATCACTAGCCAAAACCCCATCAATATGCAACCCACTCGCCGTCCTCTCAAAAATCGGCGGAGGAGGACTACTTTTCGCAAACGTCATCGTAGTCTCTCCATCATCGCCAACCCTACTCTCCACGCTTCCCCTCCCATTTTCCTCTTCCTCCTCCGCCTCCCTAACCATATCCAGTTCCGGACTCGGACTCAGCGGTATCTCAATCCCATGACCCGTCGTCGGACCACGATAGATGATAGGGATGACACCACCCCCCATCCTCGCCCAAAACATCGCTTCCCGCAACCTCGTACTCTCCTCCCAACATCTCTCTTCCTCCCCCTCCCCCCTAACATTTCGTATCCCATCCCGGACACCCCGGACCCACCCCACGAAATCACAAACAGTCCGGACTCGCCCAACGCAGTAGCCACAGAGCGCATACCAGACCGCGGCTGAGGTATCCGATGTTCGGAAACGGTGGGTGCGGCGGAGGGTGGGGTCGGTGGTGTTGGAGGCGCCGCAGAGGGAGCAGGAGGAGGTGGAGTGCGGGGAGGCTGGGGGTGTTGGGTCGATGATGAGGGTTCCGTCCAGGATAGAGGGGAGGACTGCGCGCCGGGCCATCCATGATAATCCGGGCGCCTGATCCAACCTCAACGTCGGCTCAATATCCTCTGTCAGGCACCTCTTGAAATAGCGCAGATCCTTGAGTGAGGATGAATCCGCCGGACGTGGGTTGGTGGGGGCGTGTGGTGGATTTGGTGGTGCGCCCGGTAGTGCTTGTGTGATTCGTGCGGGGAGTCGTTGCTCGTTCATGATTTTCGCCACGCTAATAAGACTCTTGAAATCTGAGTAGACGGGGGTATCCGTCCTAAATATCGCTTGAAAGATATTCGGGAACGAAGTCGGGTGTGAGGGGTGATAGGTCGGTATCGACGACTCGGGCGCCGTATCAAACGAATTCGCCCGAAGCGAATCCCGACTCGAGCGGTTATTCAACGCGAATCCGTACGGGAGGCCGGGTGTCCCGGGGACTGAGGACGCCGTATCCTCGTTTTCGGAGTGTATTCGTTGTACCATTAACTTCAAATCCGCCAGTTGTTCTTGATGGTTTTTGAGGAGTGTTTCAGTGTCGGCCAGTCTAGCCTGCATCTGTTCCCTCTTCTTCTCGGATGCCTCACGGTCTCTTCGGGCACTCGCGACCATCTTGTTCGCTTCCTCAAACAATGAGCGAGTCAGCTCTTCCAACTCGGTCTCCATCCCTTTCCGCTCCTTCTCGGCTTGTTTCTTCCCATTGACGGCTTCGTTGAGCTCTTTGGTTAACGAAGCCTGCACCTGCTCCGCGTCTGATTTCAGAATGTACTCCCCCCGATCGATCATGCCCAATTTCTCAGCATTCACCCGTGCCTCCTCCTTTAACGTCGATAATCGCGCTTTTGACGCTTCGAGCTCCCGCCGTGCAGAGTTCAGCGCATCGTCCAGATCCGCCTGTCGCTCAACAGCAATGATGAGCTTCATCTTCATCTCCTCGAGTACAACCTCATGGTTAGAGGAGTCCTCCTGCTGTTGCTCCCCCTCCGTAATAGGCTCATGCTCGGATGGAACAGGAGACGCTGGTCTGGGCGATGATTCAACCACAGCTTCCGTTTCCGCCGTGGTTGACGATTGTAATGGATGCGGCTCGACCTCTTCAGGCATTGTGAATCAATGCTGTTCACGCCGGATGAATGCTCTTGCTACCTATGATGGACTGCTCGGCAGTGAATGCCGCTGGACAGCGTCGACTGCGGGGTGAAGCAGGGGCTGCATCCCCTCATTAACCTCTACACCAAAATCCCAGTAAGACGTCCAGTAGCAATTGGCAGAGCGACAATGCGGCCCTTCACCCGACTACCCTTACGTTCATCTCCAATCCGTCCCTCCACCCTCTCCAAAACTCTCATCTTCAATGGCCCCTCCGCAGCATCCGTACGTCACATATCCTTCCGCGATCGCTTCATCCTCGAATCCCGCACCGCACTCAAGATCATCGCATTCAGTTCCACTGCAGTCTCCCTCATCATTCTTGGTACGTACTACGGTACCCACATATACCTCGAATCGACCGAACCCACACCCAAAGAATTCCCCTGGAGAGCACGAGAATTGCTGCGGAGTGTGAGGGTGGGTCAAGATTGGATGAATGACGACGCCCGTGCTATGACGTGGGCACGGAACGCGTTGGAGGAGTGTGGGTTACCACTCGAAACCCCGAATCTGGAGGAAGAAGCAAAGACGAAGACGGATGCGTTCATGAAAGGATGGGTTTTCGCAGTTCAGAAATACGCCTATACCCTCGGCCGAACAGGACAAGCGAGCGAAGCTGTACGACTCTACGAACTCGCACTCAAACTAGCACCAAAACATCTCCTCTCCCCCGAGGAGTTATCCGACATCTACCGTAACCTAGGCGACCACCAATCCCGAACCCCAGACGTCGTCTCCGCCGAATCAAATCTCCTCGAGGCCTACAACCTCGCACTCAACTCCTTGCACCCCCTCCCCCCCAACTCCCCCGCCCTCGTCCCCGACCCCAAAACCAGCCCCAACACCTCCCAACAACTAATCAACGCCTCCCTCTCCCTCGGCCTCCTCTACGCCAAAACCTCCCGTCTAGACCTCGCCCTCCCAACCCTACTCTCCGTCTTCCGCGCCCAGAAATTCTTGTCCGCGAAATCCATCACCACGAAAGGCAAACCCGCCCAACCCGACCCCCACGCACTCTGCGCCGAAGCCGCAACCCAAACCCACCTCGCAGAGATCCTCGCCGTCCTACACCAAAACGACCGTGCCCTATCATTCGCCTCGACAGCTTCCACCCTGGCGAAACGCGGTCTCGAAATTGCGTCCGCGCGGAAAGATACGACGTTTTGTGGGGAATGCGCGGGTGTTGCGGAGAATGTCAAGGGATTACTCTTGGAGATGGACGGGAGGTTGGAGGAGGCGCTTGAGGCGTTCTTGGCGGCGACGGATAGTGCGGAAGTGGCGAGGGATATGGTTGGGCGGAGGATGTATGTGGGGAATGTGAAGAGGGTTAATGATGTCAAGGCGAAGGCGGTGTTGCCTTTGTGAGTGTGGGTGGGGATGGTTGGAAGGTGAGGAAAGGGTGTATGATTAGGTTGTTTCTTGGCGTCATGGCATGGTGCGCATATGGTTATACTTTATTTTAGCATCTTAGGTCATCATCTCTCTGCAATTACATCTTTACGTTTTTGGAGACCGTTGAGAACGCTGTTTCGTTTGACATCCTCACGTCTGCGATCTATAGCTAAGCTTAGCAACATTTGTATGAAGTCGAAGGGCGGCGATGTGCCGAAGTATCACACGACCCCGAATCAACCCTACCTCCTCTGATCCCTCGACAGTGTTCAACAACAAAGCCTGATCTCACTACAAGGAACTTTCCTGTTCGAGGATCACGAGTCTTCTCTCATCAAAGAGTTACCAGCGCCCTTCGCGATCGCCACCGAGCTTCACAAAGCTGCCCTCCATTCGCGAAACGAGTACATGTCCAGCACCACCCATGCACGACCTGCAACCCCCCGACCACGACCACCACGAAGCAAGCACCGACGTCGTCGAGCAGCTCTCCTGGGGATTCTGCCCACCTGAGCTGCTCGAACGGATCCTATTCTACGTCTGTATCCGCGCGAATTCGAACAACGAATCCAAGAACCGTGGTGCGATATTGCTCGTGAATCGGATATGGTACATCTGTGGCCTGAGATGGGTTTACGCTCGTCCAGAGCTGCATACGGATAATATCATCAACTTTGCGTCCACGATATCGAAACCGCACTCCTCTATCGGCGAATTGGTGCGTAGGTTGGATTTACGGCGCATCACGCATGGAACGAAAAACTCCTCCAGCTCGAGGTTGATTCGCAAGTGTTCGAGGAATATGGAGGCGTTTTATGCTCCACAGCGTGGATTGGGGTTTTCTGCGCTGAGATCGATTGGGTCGTGTTTGAATCTGCGGTATCTGGAATTGAGTACCGTGAGCGAGACGATCGAGCTCAAATACCTCTGCGAAGCGATCGAGAAGCTTGACAAATTGGAGTCAGTCAGCCTTCCGAAACACTCCATCTTATCGGCTGAAACGACGGTTCGGTGGCCACCGGCATTACAGCACATCGGGTTATCCGGCGGGATCGGTGACAGGTTCTTGACGGAGCCAGATATACCACGAACCGTGACTTCCCTCAGCTTCACCCATCTCCCCAACATCACACTAGAAGGATTCTACGGCCTCCTCGACAAAATCGGACCACAACTAAACCGTCTTCGCGTGGAATACCCAATGCGTCTCCTCCCCCAAGACGGCCTCGACCTCGTTCTCCTGAAATGCCCTCATCTCGAATCACTAGCTGTCTACGTCGACTACATCTCCTCCCAGATGTTTCGAAATATCCCCGAATCGCATCCACTCTGCATACTAACCATGGAGTCCTCCGGTGGATTGTTCAGTACGAAGATCAAGCCCGACGATGTTACGGATGCGATTTTGAATAATTGTTTACCCAGATTGAGGAGTTTGAGATTTAATATTAAGTTGGGGTGGAGGACGGAGTCGAGTGATGTTAAGGATTTGGTGGAGTTGTTGGAGGATCAGAGGGGGGAGTTGTTTCAGAGTGTGTATTGATACGATATGTTCGAGGCGAGTGAAAATGAGTGTACGATATTAGCATTGAGCGGTCTTCTCATCCATTCAACATTGCACTTTTCAGACATCAACCTTTCCAAACATAAGAGAAGCATTCGTTCCACCAAATCCGAAACTGTTGGTCAAGACAGCACGTACTTCCTTCTCTTGTGCTTGATTGGGGATGTAGTTGCAGTCGAAGTCTTCCGCCGGGTCTCCAGGGTTGTGTAGGTTGATAGTAGGCGGCAGCACACCCTCATGCAATGCCATTATCGAAAAGATAGCTTCAACAGCTCCTGCCGCGCCCAACAAATGCCCAACAGCACCTTTGCAACTACTCACATTCACTTCACTCGCACTTTGCTTTCCGTCCTTCCCGAGCATCAAAGCTTTGATGGCCTGGTTCTCTGCGGCATCGCCAAGAGGTGTACTCGTCGCGTGTGCATTGATGTAGTCAATCTGAGATGCCGGCAGTTTTGCGTGGTTCAAAGCACGACGCATGGATAGATGAGCACCGGACCCATCACTTGGTGGTGCTGTCATGTGGTGCGCATCGGCACTCAACCCATATCCAAGAAGCTCGCCGTATACTCTCGCACCTCGTGCTTTGGCATGTTCGTATTCTTCCAGCACGACAGCACCTGCTCCTTCTCCAATGACAAAGCCGCATCTATCACGATCGAAGGGGCGAGAGGCTTCTGCGGGTCGGTCGTTGAACTCGGTAGCTAGGCTTCTTGCTCGTGCGAAACCACCCATGGCTAGTGGGTGTATACATGACTCAGTGCCTCCAGCGACCATGACGTCTGCGTCGCCAAACATGATGAACCGTGCTGCATCACCGATGGAATGTGCACCGGTCGTACATGCTGTTGACGCTGCATGGTTTGGACCTCGGAAGCCATATTTCATAGTGATATGACCGGCAGCCATGTTGATGAGAATCCGAGGAACGAGGAGGGGAGATACCTTGCGGTAACCACCCTTCTCGTATGCGGCCGTGGCGTTCACCGTATCGTCAAACGCACCAATTCCAGAACCGACACAGACACCTGTTCTCTCTTTCTGTTCATCCAAAGTCGGTTTCCACTCTGCATCCCGTAAGGCCTGTTCAGCAGCTCCAATCGCATATTGAGTGAAGTTTGCCATTCTCCTATCATCACCCTTTTCTATCCATTCAATCGCATTCCATCCACCTTCATTTGCATTGCCTTGCGGCACGACGGCACCCACAGTGCTAGGGAGTTCTGCAAATCTTGGATCACCGTTTCGACCGATCAATGAGACAACACCAGACTCGCCAGCAAGTAGGCGCTTCCATGCATGTTGAACACCGACACCGAGAGGAGTCACAAGCCCTAAACCGGTCACTACGACTCGTCGCATCTTCTGGTCGAGATTTCGTACGTACGACGCGAACTGCTGCAGGAAAGTGTGGGGAAGCTCGGCGGTTTGGACGTCGGCGGGGGAATGCCGAGATGACCTTCTTCAGTATGTATTGGAGAATTAACAGATTCAAAGTTAGATGTCACATTTTTACACCCGAATAATCATTTATAGCATGCTTGATTCTATAGCAATAGTCTATAGCTCTACCTCAATTTATCTCGTCGAGAATTCTCGGTATTCTGCTCCGCGGTAGTTTAAGCTATTCCAGCCTTCTTCTCAGCTGCACGTCCTTCTTCCCTCTCAATCGCGAACTCAACGGCCTCAAGGACGTCCGCACAGACTGTCTTCGCCGGGTATTTTTCACTGTTGACAGCATCCCTAAACACACCCGTACGGACGAGAATGGAGTAGAGCCCATTCTCGTTCGCCCCACGAATGTCTGACTCTGGGTTATCCCCAACCATGTATACCCGACTCCTATCCAGTTCCTTACCAGCTTGTACACCGTAGGACTCTGCCCTCCATTTGCTCAGTACGCGGACGGCGTAGTCGTAAGTGAGCTTGTGTGGTTTGCCGATGATCGTGCTCTTCAGTTCCTTGCCACCCGTCATTTCTCTGTATAGCGCCTCGATCAATAATCTGAATGCACCCTGTCCGAACCGAGGAATTGGGTACTGATTCGCCCAGATGAGATCTGGGTTTGAGAAGTAGATCGGTGGACCTTCGTCGAAAGTCTTAGACCATGTACCCTGCTGTCCACCCTTCGACAACAGCAAATCAAGGATAATCTGCGAATCCACTCCCCAATCCCTCGGATCATGGTAAACGAAAATCGCATCAATCTTCTGCTCCGGCGCAAAGAAATCCTTCGGCTTCGGCCACTCCCTATCCTCCCCCTCAAACCGGAAATTATGCCACGGCCACACCGAACTATTCCACTTAATAATATCCCCCGGCACAACAACGTTTTTGAACCCATACCTCTCGGCCACCTTTCGACACGTTTCCCCCTGCCCTCCACAAACAAGCACATTTTCAAATTTTCCAGCCATCTCCTTGAAGGGTGTATGACTCTGCACAAACTGTCGCTCATCGATCTCGATGCCGAGTTTGGAGCTGAGGTAGCGGACGCGGTCGGACTCGTGGGTTCCGCCGCCGTTGGTGAGAAGCATGTATGGGATACGCTTGGTTTCGAGGAGTATTAGGGCTTCGCGTGCTCGTGGGATTGGGTCTGATCCTTTTAAAAGTACGCCATCGATGCTGTACGACGTTCGTTAGCTAATATTCCTCAGAAAAAATCGAGGAGAACATTGTACTCAAAGGCAAAAGCATAAGGCACAGGATCAAGACGAGATGATGTCTTCAGCCCTCGCAGACCCAATAATCTAGAGGCAACAAGAGATCTCTGTAGCAGAAGATGAACCATTGTACCGGTTCGTGGTGTATCGAATTCTCGAGGCCGAGTTGAAGTTGCTGCGTCGAGGTACGAAGTATGACGTGCCCCCCACATGTAACGAAGATACGCCGGGAAGTTAAGGTAACATCACATAAACATACAAACACCGAATTACGTCAGAACAATTCCTTTCCTTTTGATATCATGTAATGCATCTAGTCCGTTCATCACGCTCTATCCATCATTAAAGTTTACTGCTTACCAACAACCCCCCTAACAACCTCCTTCCCCCCAACAGCCCTCGCCATAATCGTGGCCTGCAACTCCTTATCAACCTGCACCGTAACCTCGACCTTGCCCTTGCCCTCGCCCTCAAACACACACTCGGCGATCTTTTTGCTGGGCTTGATGATGGGCTCCCTAAAATCTTCGGGCTCCTCCTCCTCATAATCGGAATCTTCTTCGTCGTTGTTGGATTCGCGGGGTGGTGCGGGGGTGACCTTGACGTCGCGTTCACCTTCGTAAATGGCGACGTAGACAGGGCCGGGGGTTGTTGGTGCGGCGAGGGTGATGGTACGGCGTGCAGGCACAGCAGTCTCCGAATCAATAACCTTCACAAACTCATCACCGACCAAGACACCAATCGGCTTAGCGATGTGAGGAGCAGAAGTAACAACAGCGTGGGTCGCCTCCTCGATATCAGTCTGCTCGAAATCGGCGATAAGGGATGCCTGGACAGCGGCACCGAGACAGTTAAGCTCGGCGGGGTTCAACGAGGTGGCAGAAGCGGTGGGGTTACGGACGCGGGTGGTCTCGGGGAAGATGGCGGAGAGGCGGGAAGCGAGCTTGGGGGTGTGAGAGGTTCCTCCGACCATGATCACCTCGTCAATGTTGAAAGGCTCCATATGGGCCTTCTTAACGACATCCTGAACCAAAGCGACCATCTTGTCGAAGACCTTACGGCCGAGGAGCTCGTAACGCATACGGTTGATGTTGGAGTGGAAGTCGACACCCTCGGCCAAGGACTCGACGGAGACGGTAGCGGAGGTAGACGCGGAGAGAGTCTTCTTGGTGACCTCACACTGGTTGACGAGCTTGGCGATGGAACGCTCATCCTTGGTAGCGGAAACCTTAGTCTTCTTCTCGAACTCCTTGCCGAAGAAGTCGACGAGAGCGTCGTCGAGCTGGTTACCTCCGACATCGTAGTCGTGCGCAGTCGCAAGAACGGTGTACATACCACCCCTGGAAGCGATAACGGAGGCGTCACACCTGGTACCTCCGAGGTCGACAACGACGACGGTCTTGTCGTCGGAGACCTTGCCACCATCCTGGATGGCGTCGGTAGCCAAGAGGGCGGCGACGGGCTCGTTGATCACCTGCAAAACGTTCAACTCGGCGGCCTTGGCGGCAGCGATCAACGCATCGCGCTGAGCGTGGGTGAAGTCGGTAGGGACGGTAAGAACGGCACCGGTAACTGGTCGTCCAGTGTAGTCCTCAGCGGACTGCTTCAAACGGAGAAGGTGACGGGTAGCGAGCTCGGAGACAGAGACGGTCTTGCCGGTAGCGGGAATGTCGTAGGAAACGGTACCGTTGGTGTCTACTGGGTGAGCAGAGACAGCGGAGTGGGTAGGGTCGATGTCAGCGAAGGACTTGCCGATGAAGTCGCGGAAGTTGGCGACGGTGTTCTGGCGGTTACGGACGAGCTGGGCCTTGGCCTGGAAACCGTGGTACTCGTCATCGCCAGAGTAGGCGAGGATAGAGGGAATCTGACGGTCACCATCCTCGTTGGCGATACAGTCGGCCTTGCCCTCCTGTAAACGAAGCACTGTTAGCCTGCGTTTTGGGCAATTGCCATGGAAGAGCGAGAGAACGCACGTTGTTGATGTAGGCAATAGAGGAGTTGGAGTTGCCGAAGGCGATACCGAGAACGTTTGACTCGGCCATTTGATCTATGTGTCGAGAAGGTCTTTGGGGAATCTTTGGTTATCGACGTCGACCTCGAGAAAGTTGAGAGCGCTGCCAGGCACCGTACCCTGAGCGCAAAACAGTATACGGCAGCGACGACGGCGACGGCGAATGGAATGCCAAAGTGCCGTCGTAGGGTAGAGAAAGAAGAGAAAACGATAATCTCCTTCGCCGTCTCAGACCCCTCCCTTTGACCCTCCTGAACCGTGTGCATCACTCCGCAGCATCCCGCAGCAGCTGCCGTAAGCTGCAAGTATACGTACATCCTCCATCCTCCCTCCATATACTCCCTCCTCCTCCTCCACATCCCATCATATCCCCATGGACGACGCTGAACTCCAAGCCATCCGTCAAGCCCGTCTTCGCGAACTCCAGTCACAACAACCCTCCCGCGGTCCTTCGGCACCAAGCGGCTTCGGAGGTGCACCCGCTGCCGGCGGCGGAGATGATGAGTCGAAGCGTCAGGCTGAGGAGGATGCACGTGGTACTATCGTATGTGTCCTCTCTCTCTCTCTCTACATATTTCGAGGGAGGAAGAGTAGAAGTGCTAATTGTTACTATAGTTGGCCCAAATCCTCGCCCCAGCAGCACGAGAACGCCTACGACGCATCGAACTCGTCCGCGCCGACCGAGCCCGCGGCGTCGAGAACATGTTGATCCAAATGGCGCGAACGGGACAGATTCGGCAGAAGGTTAGTGAGGAGGAGTTGATTGGGTTGTTGGAGGAGATTTCGGGGCAGGAGAGCAAGAGGAATCAGACGAAGATTGTTATGCAGAGGAGGAGAGATTTGGATGAGGATGATGATGACTGGGATTAAGCCAAATGGCAAAGTCAGACGATGAAGTCAAAGGATGTCAGTCCAAAAAGATGGAGGGTCAAATGGCGGGTCATATTATGCCTGCCGTCATCTAGGGAAACTCATGTTAATGGAGGTTTTGGATCACTGAGACCATGGAACTCGTGATCGTGTGAGGGATATGTTTAATTGTATCAACGTCTATCGTACCAAATATTGTATCATTTTCCATCCCATTTTAACGTACACGCATCTCGAAACTCCTCACCACTTAAAGGAACTGCTTCTTCAAATCAACAGCAGTGTCCTTGATAGACTGCTCCAAAGAAATGAAGTTGATGCCCAAAACCTTCTTCGCACGCTCGTTGGAAGCCTTAACACCAACCTCGTAGTTCTTTCCAGGCTGACCCTCAGGGATGTCCTTGAGCTCAGGGTACTCCTTGCGCAAGACATCGGCAATCTGCTGGTAAGTGAAGGGACCACCAGTGCAGATGAAGCGCTGACCAGCAGCCTCCTTGACCTCGTAGGCCTTGATGTGAGCCTCGGCGATGTCGCGGACATCGACGTAGAAGGTGGGGTCAGTGGGCTGATTAACCTGGACGTCCGTTGCGTTTCCGGAGAGGTAGTTGAAAACAAGTCCGACGGAGGTGTTGATCGACTCCGCATCCTTGACCTGGTGGATGTAAGGCCCGAAGACGTAGACGGGGTTAATGACGGCCAACTCGAACTTGGGCTTCTCAGTCTCAATGAACTTCCACGCGGCCTTCTCGGCCTCGGACTTGGAGGCGAGGTAGGCGTGCATGGGGTTGTCGAGGTGGTTAATGGAGTCGTGGTTCCAGTCTTCCTCGGTGAACTCGTATCCGGCATCATGGGGCTCCATCATGGCGGCGAAGGAGGAGGTGACGATGACGCGCTTGACCTTGTCACCGTGCTTGTGTGCAGCCTCGAGGAGGGACTTGGTTCCCTTGACAGCGGGGTCGATGAGGTCCTTGTAGGGGTCCTGAACGTTGAAGTGGAAGGGGGAAGCGATGTGCATGATACCATCGACGCCAGCGACGGCCTTGTCGAACGCACCATCCTGGACGAGATCCTTGACCTCGACGACCTCGAACTTGTCACCGTATTGCGACCAGCGCTGCTTCAAGAAATCGGCCTTCTCGACGGAACGGGAGGTACCACGGACACGGTATCCCTTCTTCAAGAGCTCCTCGGCAGTCCAGGCTCCGATATAGCCAGTGACTCCGGTAACGAGAATGAGTTCGCCAGACATGTTGTTATGGTAGTTGGTATAGGGATTTTGATATTGGATCGGGGACGGGTTATCGACGGTCCTCTATATATTTGATAGCGTCGAGGGATTTGTCAGCGCACATAGTGGCGGCGAAGAAGGTTCGACCGCGAATGATCGACCCGCGCGCAAGATTGCCCATGACGACAATCTTCGGGTTTTCGACAGATCAAGGATTGTTTGGGCTGGATGAGCTTGGGAAAGTCGAGGAGTTTGGTGCCGGATCGGGTATGGTTGGTGTCGACGTTACCGAGGGCCCGGAGTGATGAATATTGTACGTCACCTCGGCGCTGCGGGTGCCGGGGAATCTGTTTACCCACCTTTGAAGTATTTGGTCTCTGTGACATGCCGACCGGCTCAGCATTAGACCTGCCCAAATTGAGTTATCGGATGTTTCCAGTGAACCGATATCACCTCGACTTCGTGTCTTCGGAATGAGACATTGACCCACTGAATTCGACGAAAACATACTCTAGCCCCCGAGTGTCTCAAGCAGAGAGCACCAACGTTTTGAATACCACGTATCACATCTTCCTCATCCGTTCTTGTCACTTTGGACTCCTTCCTATCTTGTGCCCACATTCGGTGACACGAGGACATTTCCGTTTTCCCACCCTTGTCCTGCTCGCTTGAACTCGCCCGAATCTGGATGGACGAACATGTACGGATTTTGAGGACCAGTCCCGGACCCCAAAGCACAAGACAATATCCTGGATCAGCCTTCACCTCTATGTCATGATGCAAAAACAACTGTTCACGCCACATGTATTTGATTGCGAGCTTCGTGAACAAGAAGTCAGACCCCATTCAATATCTAAACACACTTCTCATAACTTATCATTCGATCTATATCTTCATCAACTTCTTAGACGGCCACCCACTGCTCCCCGGTCAAAACCTCGTAAGCCTCAACATACTTCGCCCTCGTGCCGGTCTGAATCTCCTCCGTCATGCCCACACCATCCTTACCCGCAACTCCCTCCCTCGTCAACCAATCCCTCAAAAACTGCTTATCATATGAATCCTGCCCACGTCCAACCTCGTACACATCCGCTCTCCAGAATCGGGAAGAGTCGGGGGTAAGAACTTCGTCGATGAGGTAGATTTTGTTTTCGGATGCGGAGTAACCGAATTCGAATTTTGTGTCGGCAATGATGATACCACGGGAGCGGGCGTACTCTGCAGCGCGGGTGTACAACTCCAACGCAAGGCGCTCGACCTCGGCGGCTTTCTCGGCACCGATGATCTCGGCAACCTTGGAGGGGTGGATGTTCTCGTCATGTTCGCCCTGCTCAGCCTTGGTGGAGGGAGTGAAGAGGGGTTGAGGCAACTTCTCAGACTCCTGGAGACCCTCGGGCAACTTGATCCCATGGCACGTTCCAGACTTCTTGTATTCCTTCCACCCACTCCCACTCAAGTATCCCCTAACAATCGCCTCAATCGGCAACACCTCCATCTTCTTCACGAGCATACTCCGTCCCTTCAGGACATCCTTGTACTCCTGACACTCCTGCGGCATATCCTCGACCTCGGTAGCGAGCAAGTGGTTGGGGCACACATCACCCAAGAGCTTGAACCAGAACTTGGAAAGACCGGTAAGGATTTGGCCTTTTTGGGGAACGGGGTTGGAGAGGATAACGTCGTAGGCGGAGATTCGGTCGGTTGCGACGAAGAGGAGGGCGTCGGGGTTGGAGAGGAGGGAGTAGAGGTCACGGACCTTTCCGCGGGCGAGGAGGGGGAGGTTGGGGAAGTCGGTTGTTTGGACGGCAGACATGGCGGTGATCTTGGTTGGACTTTTTTTTGTGCTCGGGCCTGGTGGTCGACGTCGACTTTTGAGATCACGTGCGCGCGATAAGTCACGGCGGCAGTCGCTGAGCGCGGGTAATTTGGGCGGTGGGATTACCCGCAGTTCTCATTCAAATGGAAACCTATCGTCGCTCGCTGACCTTGAAGGCGCGGAAGCTGTTGCAAGAGGTGTTTCCCGGGAAGATAAAGGAGCTGGGAGGAATTCTGGAGGGACTGACGCTTGAGTTGGTGGAGGATGTAATGGGAGAAGCGGTAGTCAAGCAGGAGTGCTTGAAGGAAGAAGGGTACGGAGATACATGTGCATACACCCCTCCCTCAACGAAGAAGCGCAAGCTGTCATCCCTTTCGCCGTCAACATGTACTGGATTCGATATTTACGACGATAATCTGGCCATTACCTCCGCAGCCGATGCCGAGCTCGTGTACGCACCGCATCCCTCGCTCGTCGCACTCACCACCACGCTCAGACACGAATTGGCACTCCTACTCAATGCATGTTCCACACTGAGAACACATTACAATTTGTCTGCTTCGAGAACGGATATTGACGAGGAGGCTTCCACTCTCGAAGGTTGGTCCTCACCCCTTTCCTCATGGCATAACTAACATCGAAGAAGACACGCTACAACTCATCGCGACAACGCATACATCCTGCGTCCAACATCTATCCTCACTCACTACCGATACCCCTACTTCCGTTGAAGCCGACCGCATAACGTACATCCTCCACCGCGACCGCCTCGAATGGATCCTCGGGGTGTATGCGGTATTCCTAGACGTAATGATAGCGGTGTAGACGCAAAGAAGAAGAAGCAAACATGTCATCTGCGCGGTTACGCTATCAAGCTTGTTCTCTTGCGTCGCTACACCTAGACTCTAGCACGGCCGCGGTCCACGACGTCATACGCGCCACATACGAAAAGCTCCAAGGCTAAATCAGCTGAACACCGCCAGTTCGCAAATTTATAAGAACAACCTTATTCCCGCCCTTGCTTCCTGCTCAACAACAGACCAGCATACAGTCACTCAACACACAAACACAATGGCTTCAAGTATGTCTTCCTTCTTCCATCTTCTTCCAGTGGGGATGTATGCTGACAGTTTTCTCCCCAGGACCAATCCTCACGTTCTTCCCGCTCTTCTTTTTGGCGGGTGCCCTCCTCCTGCTTTTCTTCGTCATCCTTGCGGGTGTGACGGACCACAACCCCCTTAACCGCATCTTCTTCTTGTCTGCCTCCAACTCTCCTCTCACCAACGCTCCCACCTCCGACTCCGGAATGGCGCACTATACCCTCTGGGGCCTGTGCGGTGCGACCAACTCTGGCCACAACCAGAACTGCCAGCCTCACCACGCTGCCTACGCTGTTTCCAGCAGCGGTGGCCCCGTTACTGGTAACTGGTTCTACTACATGTCTCGTTTCCAGTTTGCGTTTTACTTGATCACTATTGCTTTCGCTGCCTTGGCTTTCTTCACCGGTCTTTTGGCTTTGTGCTCGCGTCTTGGAGGTGCGATCTCTGCCGTTCTTACCGCTCTCGCTCTCGTCTTCTCGACTGCGGTTTCGATCATCATGACCATCCTCTACGTCCGCGCTCGCGACCACTTCCGCTCCGCTGGATACGCCGCCCACGTCGGTGTTAAGGCCTTCGCATTCACCTGGACGATCTGGGTCCTCCTCCTCTTGTCTCTCATCCTCTTCTCCCTCGCCGCCTGCATCCCCTCCAACCGCGAGCGCTCTTGGCGCCAGAAGCGTGTCGTCGAGGAGCCTGCTTACGTCGTCGAGGACCACGAGTCTCAGCGCCCCGTCATGGTTGAGCGCTCTTCGTTCACCCGTGAGCGTCCCGTTGTTGACAGGCCTGTTGCCGAGAGGGTTCCTACTGCTGTGAGCTCTGTTCGCCCTGCGACGAATGTCAATCGTGGGCTTGAGGATGAGTTGGTGTTGAACCTTCCTGTTAATGGACAGGCTCAGCGTTACTAAACGTCTGACTCTGGCTGACGGAACATTCGATGTCGACGATTAATTCTGCCAAAACTTAATGTGAGGAGTACGATGCGTTGTATGATATGATACCGGGAAGAGACGAAAGTATGTTATGAGTGAGGACGAGTACGAGACCATTACGCATATATTTACTGCGGATTATTATTGTTTTGTTTGGGAAGGTGAAGCTTGAAGGAATGCCGGCGATCATATACCGACGTTGGAGCCTGAGAGTGAAGAGGATGTTACTTTGAGTGTTCTGTTTTTTGTTTTTACCTTAATTTGTATTACTTAACATAGTTCGAGAGACACTGAGAATTAATTCTAATTACCTGACTTTGCAAATGGAGATGCGTTTGCGTGGCGCGGAAGGTGTACCGGTACGACGCCGGCGCGAAGTACGACAGTTCAACTTAAAACGCATAGGTGACCGGTACAGCGACAAAGAAACAGTTATCGAACCTCGGGACAGCCAAGAGAGCGTCCATATCGCAATCGCGACGCAAAACAAGCTTCACTGAGACCTTCCAAACAACAAATCAGCAAAGATGGGCGGCGGCGACCTCAACATGAAAAAGTCCTGGCACCCGTTGCTCATGAAAAACCAAGAACGCGTCTGGAAAGAAGAACAATCCCAACTCGAAGAACGCAAACGCATCGAACAAATCCGCAAAGAAATCGAAGAAGAGCGGCAACTCAAGGAATTACAGGATTTGCAAGCTGCGGCGGGAGGGAAGAAGAGGGTGGAGAGGGTTGATTGGATGTATGCGGCGCCGAGTGGGGGGATGGGTGGGACGAGTGAGGAGATGGAGGCGTATTTGTTGGGGAAGAAGAGGATTGATGGGTTGTTGAAGGAGAAGGAGGAGGAGCGCCTGTCTAAAGCAAGCGCAGTTGCGGAGGATAGGTTTGCAGGAGCAGGAGGAGTGGTGGGGACGACGATGAAGGATATGCAGAGTAAGGTTAGGGATGACCCGCTGTTGGCGATTAAGAAGAGGGAGCAGGCTGCGTATGAGGCCTTGATGAAGAATCCGGTGCGGCTGAGGGAGATGAGAGAGAAGGCTGGGTTGCCTGTAAGTGATGGAAGAGACAAGGATAGGCGGGGTGAGAGCAGAAGAGATCGTGATGGTGACCGTGATCGAGAGAGGAGAAGCGATAGGAAGAGGTCAAGATCGAGAGATGATCACCGCTCGTCCAGAAGACGGCGCTCATCATCAAGAGACCGCCACACCTCCTCGAGATCACACCGAAGCCACAGAGACAGAGATGACCGTGACCGCGATCACCGCCGCCGGAGTCGTTCAAGATCAGTGGGTGATTCGAGGAGTAAACGCCGCTCACCGAGTCCAAAACGGTCATCACGGGATGAACCCAGGGAATCGCGGCGGCGTTCACCGAGCCCTCAACGTGAGCGCGAGCGGGAACGGATGGATCGTTCACCACAACCACGACGAGCATCATCTCCACGACGAGAACGTGAACGGCCCGCCTCCCCTCCCCGACGCCGCGACTACCCCCAGCCCCACTATCCCCGCCCTTCTCGCCCTCAATCGGCGCCCCAACCCCAACAGTCAGCCGAAGACCTCGCCGCCGGCCGCGCTCGCCGTCTCGCAGAAATGACCTCCGCCGCCTCCGACCTCGACCGCGAACGCGAAAAGCGCCTCGCCCTCATCGCTGCCCAAGAACGTGGCGAACAGGCTGCGGAAGAGGAGGCTCGAGCAAACGGGAAGGGAGGAGAGAAGGGGAAGTTTTTGAGAGATGTGCAGAGGGCGGTGTTTAATGGTGGGATGGATCTGGGGGAGAGGGTTAGGAGGGGGAAGATGGGGTTGCAGAGGGAGAGGGATTGAGTGTCGTGGTAGGATGTTAGGCATTACGCTGAGAATAACTATACGTAGCAACTCCTGAATCAATCTGCGAAAGCTGTATTTTTCTATCTCTTCATGCCAACGTCTACTTCCTCAACGCGAACTTAACAGGGAAGATCTGAATCTTAGAAACATCCCAAACCCCCTCCCTCGCATAGATATCCTTCTTCACAATCTCCAAAACCTCCTCCTTGGTCTCCGCCTCGTACACCAACGCCGATCCACGGAAAGATGGGACGGACTCAGAGGGGGTGGGGTGGTGATCGAAGAAACCTCCGCCGAGGGACATCGTGCCTGTGAGAACTCTGTAAGTGATCCGTGTCGACGAGATAGATCACGAAGAGGGGGCATCACTTACCATCAGCCATCAAACCCTTCGCAGCCTCGATGTGCTGAGGACGGACAGCCATGCGCTTGTCCACCGCACCCTCAAAGTCGGGGCAGATCACGAGCCATTCGGGCTTGGTTGCTTGGTATACGGTGCTCATTGTTCGTGTTCTGACTGATGGGGTCGAGTGAGTGAATATCGATGGGAGACGACGGAGGAACATACAGGGAGGTTATGGGTGGGTAGATCAGTTCGCGGTTACGGCTGCAGGGATCCGGTATGTGCCGGGTTGTGTGGGGGGGGTTGGTGCGTGTGGCGGAGCAGGGCACTGATGGTATGTACAAATCAATTAACACCTCATATATCGAGACTTCCAAGAACATCCACCTCCTGCCATTAATTATACCGTCTCACCTCGGATCCTAAAAGTCGTATTCCCATTAATAAACTCTTTCCATTGTCTTCACTCGCTAGATCCCTTCGACCCCCTCCTCTGCCTAACACCGGCAACAAATGCCGACTGGTGACCACCGTGTCCTCCCTCCTGACTCAACTCGATAACCTCCTCCAAAGGCTTCTGCCTCATCCACGCCTCAGCAGGGGTAAACCACCAACACAGCACCGCAAACAACGTGATACCGCCGAAAATGACAGGGGCGTAGTTAAGCGTAGCAGCAGAGGTAGGGTAGTAAAGAGGCGAGGAGAGGACACCGAGGATGTAGAGGTTCCAGACGAGAGCGATGACCTGGAAGGGCTTGGAGAGGATACCGAGAGACCAGGGCGCGTTGCGGAAAGCCTTGGGGGTGAGGAAGAGGCGGCCGAAGGCGATGAGGGCGTATGCTGCGATAGTAGGGAGAGCAGCAGCAGAAACGAGGGAGGTGAACGCCACGTTCGACGGCAAGATCGAACAGAGAATGAGGGCAGCGACGACCCAGATGACGGTAACAGCGTTACGGGGCTGACCGGACGGGGAAACTTTCGCGATCCAGCCAGAGAAGGGAAGAACTCCATCACGAGCGATAGCGTACACCAAACGTGAGGAAGCGACAATCGCGACGGAGGTATTGAACAACAATGCGCTGATGGAGATGATGTTCATGAAAATGTGTCCACCCTTTCCGAGGGCCATGGCGTAGAGGAGCACGAACGGCTGGGGCGCAATGAGGGAAGAAAGAACCTCCAAGTTGGGGGTACAGAACAAGAAGAGGATAACGGTAGCGAAACCGAAGAGACCGGAAGCGACAGCGGACCAAAAGAGACCACGGGCGGCAACGACGGACGCGTTCTTGGTCTCCTCAGCGACGTGGCCGGAGGCGTCGAATCCGACAATGACACCAGCAGCAGAGAAGAAAGAAAGAACCCAGGACCATCCCATCGGGGCTCCAGTCGAGTTGGTAGTCTCGGTGAAAACCCACTTCGCACTTTGGAACCCATACGTCTGGCTAACGCGGATCGGCAACCAAATCACATTGAGGACGAAATCCAACAAGATAATCGCAGTAGCGATCTTGAAGATCCACTTGTACACACGGGGAGGCAAGTAATTCGACGCGATACAGCACATCAAGAAAAACTGGGCAATAGCCCACTGCACAGCACGGAACTTGATATCAGTAGTATCGGTCGTCCACTTTCCGAAGACCGCGAGTTCACTCAACAAGTAATTCGCCGCACCCTGGCAGTTGGACGCAACGAAGGTGGTCCAAGCGGTTGAGGACCACCAGGCCACAATGAAACCGAAGAGACGACCGAGCTTGGGTCCACCGGACTCGGCGGCCCAGAAATAGATTGAGCCGGCGGCGGGGAGGGCGGAGCAGACTTCGGCGAGCATGGCGGCGGTGATGAAGGCGAAGATACAGGTGATTACGTAGGAGGACCAGTACGCGGCGGGACCGGCGGCGGAGGCTCCATACTGCGCAAAGCCATGTTAGAAGGACGGAAGGGAGAAAGAAGGGGATGAAGGAAACATACGTAGAACGTAGCACGGATACCACCGATAAAGTACAACGCAGCGAACGAAGCGGCGAAATTCTCGAAGAATTTGTAGGTACGGTGGAGAGACTGCGCAATCGTGTGTTAACATTCATTCCCAAGAAACTGATCACAAGTGAGCAAACATACCTGCTTGTATCCTAGACGGTGCTTTTGAGAAGAAAGCACGTTAGCTAGAGTTCTTTGTTAGGAAAGGGAGGGCCTCTGACCCCCTCATTCCTCCACTTCCCAGGCCCAGGTCTCGTACGGGGAAGCAGAAGACTGGCATATACCCCTAGAAGAGGAGGAGGGAGAAGGGTCATTAGATCATCATAGCATTCCTTACGCACGCATAACCGTGATCAAGTCCTCGCGGTCTAATCTCAGCACAACGAACATCCTCTCCTTCTCCTGAAAACAGCAGAAAGGGACGATATCCGAAGGCACCCGCAGCTAGATGATAGTATTTCCACGAATGGAAAAGGACTTGGAAGTATACAAACCTCATAAAGAGTGTAAATATTCCCATATCACGCGTCATGATCATACGTTTCGTTGTGCGACAATGTATCGAATTGAGTGGAAGCCTTCATCAAGAGCTTCTTACCAATTGCTTCTCGTCTTCGTCGTAGAGGGAGGCGGTTGGGGTGGTTCCCTCCAGATCCTTGACGGTCTGCTCAATGGGATCGACTTTGCCTCTTGCTTCGGCCATGGTGATGGGTGAGTGTATGCTGACGCTGGCCTTCTAGAAGTCGAAGTCGCAGCAGAAGACAGGGTAGAAAAATCATCGTTTCTGTGCCTGGATAGCATCGGTGCTCTTCTGGGTCAAGCTTCGGCTAACGTGGACCAGCTGCCGCGTGTTTCTGCTTTAACGAGCGCGCGGCCGGATAAACTCAAATCACCGTGAAACTCATCTCGGCATTACAGTACGTTCATCCATGGGTGAGAGGAACCGACGCTTTGACCAGGGTGCCGATGGAGGATTACGAGGTGAATTGATCCTGTCTATGAGAGGGGCTTTGCGTCTCCCGCTAGGTGGACAGCGTCCGGTCGTACTTCTTTCATCCCATTACCGTTCCGTTCGCCGGCGCTGGACAAATCTGTAGCCGAAGAAAGCTTGACCGCATCTTCGGTCTGGCCTTTCTGAGCCTCTGCATCCGGGTCTTCCAATGATCCTGTCCCGTCCTTGTCTCTCTTTTCCTCGTCTTCATAGCCTTCCTAAATCGTTTGCTGTTCCCCCTCCTCCTGTGCCGGCACCGGAGGAGTGTTCTGACCAGCCTGAGCACCAACCAACCCCTCCTCCAAATCCTTCCACCCAAAATAAACCACATTACTCAACTGCAACACATCCTCCCTCTTACACCTCTCCCTCAACCCCCGATTCTCCCTCGTGATGACCTCACACCTGCTCACATTCTCCGGACTCACGAAATCACAAGCAACCTTGATACAACTCGTGAGATTGCAGACTTGGTGCGCACAGCCTGCTGGGATAAAGACTGCGTCGCCGGGGGATTGATAAATTCGGTGAGGACGAATTCCGTATTTGGCGCGGAGAAGAGCGAGGTGTGGACGCGTCAAGTAAAACCTTTGTCGCAAAACCGGGTCGTCGATATCCCGCACCCCCTCCCCACCCTTACCTCCCTTGCCATCCTTAATAATCTCCGTCTTGATAAACTCCCTCAACACCCCCGTCGCCTCGGCCGGGAAAATATCCCACACAGCACACCCCTCCCTCCCCTCCGGAGGCCTTCCCGCCGCATACGCCATGATGTTAATCGCGTCCGTCATGTCCAAATGCAAATTTGTCGTGCCGGCACCTCCTTCCTCGTCGCTCGATGCGTAGGCGTTGTACATCTTTGGTCCGAGGTCGGGAGGGAGGTATGCCAAGGGGAAGCGGGATGCGATGTTGAAGAACCCCGTGCGGCGGGTGTACCGCGGAAAGGGAAGCGCACGCTCGAAATCCTCAAACAGCGCCGGGAACTCGGTCTTGAAATCCGCCTTTGGTGGCCAATCCTTCAGCTTGAGCGTTCGATGGCCGTACAGCTCACCCTTCTCGAAATTCTCGAAGAACTTCTTGACGGTAGCCTGAATCACCTGGGATTGTTCGCAGTTCACGAGGTGGCAATTCTGCCCCCCATAATGCTCGATAAAATATTCCGGCGTCCACTGGATTTCCATACGTTCCAGACATCCACTCAACACCAACGGCTCTCCCCTCCTCCACAACTTCTGGAATTCCCCCTCGGAGACATTATCCCATCTCTCGCCCACGAACGGCAAGCTTTCGTCCGTCTCACCTCTCACCCTCAAATGTTGTGGAATCTCATTATCCCACACTGTGCCTTGTGTCAACGAAACCCACTCCGAAGCCCTCTCCATCAACGCCCTGATCTCGCCCTCCGCAAACCTCGTATAGGGCACAAAATGGTGCTTCCCATGTCTCGTCCTCTGCCGACATCCATCCAGCATCGGGTTCCCTACCTCTGCTTGCGCCTTCTGGTTGCTATTCCCCGCCCTCGTACTGCTCGTCTCCGCCGTGGGAGGAGGAGTTGGAGAGATCGCATCAGGGGCGACCGAGGAAGGGGACGTCTCATCCCACTCATCCCAACACCCCAAACACACCTCATGCCCACAAACATAGCAAACCCAATGCCCCGAGAAGATCGTGGTGGCACATGCGTCGCATAACGCTCTAATATTTTCATCCCTTGGTCTCCGAAGGGCGCCCTCGGTGTCGGCCGCGGAGGTGGGATGGCCGTGGGGGTTGAGTTCGTGTGCGAGCTCGCGCTGTAGGACGGAATAAAGTGAGTGAGACATCTGCGTCAGCGCATAGCTGATATCCTCCCTCGTCCCCTCCCCCATTTTCCTGAACCCCAAATTCTGTAGTAGCGGAGTCTCCTGCGAGATAAGCGCCCATCCTTTGGGAGTGATGCCATCGCTGTCTGCCTTCTGCCGAAACATCCTAATCCCCCTAAATCGACACAGATCACGCTGCCGTGCCGAACACGCTCTACACTGCCCAAACCCATCTTTTTCATCAGAAGGGAGTTTGGCACGTGTGGCTGCGCAGGTGATTTCTTGCAGTACTTTATGGTCAGCTGACATAGCCACAGGTTGTGTCGGGCAAAGGTCTCGAAGCTTGAAGTTGCGGGGTTTGCTTAGGTGTTCGTATTCGAGGGGGAGGGGGAGGGGATCGGAAGCCGTGAGGTCGGTGGTGGCGGTGGTGTTGGGTTCTGTGGTCGAGCCGGGGTCTTCTGGGGGATTTTGTTCGACACTCCGTCTCTTCCGGGACGATAGGGGAACGGGGAATGCAGGGTCGTTGGTCTTCGCTTTCTTCTTTGGTCGAGGAGTTTCCTCAAAGTTATCTTCTAGCGAGGCATCTAGAGGGTCAGTGTAGTTTCTTCGGGAGTTGCTGCGCTGGGGACGGCCTGAACTGCTGGTCGCTGGCGTAATTTCAATTTCGGATGGCTGTAGTCGTCTTTTCTTCAGTTTGGGGGTCTCGAGAGTCCGATCACCACCTACGACAGGTGCCGCTAAGTCATGATTGAGAGAGGCTTTCAGAAGGTCGGCGTAATTTCGTCGAGAGTTGCTCCGTTGTGGGCGGCCTGAACTGCTTGGTGCCGGTGTTTCGGATTCGATGGTTTGTCGTCGTCTCCGATTCGACGTAGTCGCGATCTCTGATGGCTGTAGTCTTCTTTTCTTCAGACTCGAGCCTCCACCCTCCACGTTCGCGATCGCATTCGTAGGAGGCCCGTGCGCCATCGCAGAACCCCCCGTCTGTAGCTGACGGTACTCCTCCGCCTGTCGCAGCTGCTCCTCCCACTCCACCGGATCAACATTCTTCCTCTGCCACTTTCCATCCGGCTTGCCGACATTCACCCTCATCCGAATATAAAACTCGATGACGCCCACACTAACACCGAGCTGTCGCGCCCACGTCTCGACCCGGGGGTGTACATTCCTGTGCGATACCCGATGCCGACTGTATTTCGCATCGAGGCGATCCTTCTGGACCTCACTCAAGGCCAGGTATTCGTTTGCGAACTGCATGGTTGGATCGCTATGGAGGTGAGTTGGGGTTCACGTGCCCATCTCCAGCCGCACAAAGCAGCAGGAGTGCAATCGCGGTCGTTTCGGTCCGCTGCAACCGCACGAGAGTCGGGGCGCGTCCAACCCCGCACTACGCTCCACCGAGACTCTTGTAGGGAGGGGGGTTCGGGACGATGTGACAGCATTTATATCAGCATATACCCAGCATTTATCGCCTGGAAACTCGATAGGATCGTTGAAAGATGACGGGAGGAAGTGACACTGCCGCTGGGATCGCACCAGTCCGTCACGCCATCAACTTCGATGCCCTAACAGCCTACATCTCCACCAACGTTCCCGATATCAAATGCCCCATCGACGTCAAGCAGGTCTGTCTACCTTCCGCTTTTTGACTTATCAACGAAGGCTAAAAGTCGATGATGGACAGTTCACCCACGGCCAGTCAAACCCAACCTATGTTCTTACGGACGCCGCGAACGAACGCTACGTCCTCCGCAAAAAGCCACCGGGTCAACTCCTCTCGAAAACCGCACATGCCGTCGAGCGTGAATACAAAGTCCTCCGCGCAATCCAGGACACACCCGTTCCCGTCCCGAAAGTCTACTGCTTGTGCGAGGATGAGTCCATCGTGGGCACCCCATTTTACGTAAGTCTGGCATATTTCGTAACTTGTTAGTGTACATGTTCGCTGATTACTTCGAGGTTACAGATCATGCAATTCCTCAAAGGCCGAATTTTCACAAACCCCCGTCTCCCAGACCTCTCCGCCGAAGAACAATGCCTCTGCTGGCGCGCCGCAATCCAGACCCTCGCACGCCTCCACGCCGTGGACGCCAAATCCGTAGGTCTCTCTTCGTACGGTAAATTCGGCGGCTTCTATACGCGGCAGATTAAGACGCTGTCAACGATCTCTGCGGCACAAGGCGCTGTCAAGGATGAAGACTCGGGGAAGGCGGTTGGGCCGATCCCGTATTTCGAGGAGTGCATGAAGTGGTTTGCGGAGAATATGCCGAAAGACCGAGCTGGAATCACCCACGGCGATTTCAAGATGGATAACCTAGTGTTTCATCCAACCGAACCCCGCGTGATCGGAATCCTCGATTGGGAGCTCAGCACGATTGGACACCCCCTTTCTGATCTGGCGAATCTGTGTCAGCCGTTCTCGCTGCCTAAATCAGATGGGGCAGTATCAGGCTTCAAAGGCGACCCGGAAGTCGAGGGGAGCGGCGTACCAACCCTTGATGAAGTCCTGGGATGGTACCACGAAATGGCGGGATGGGATCCGAGACCTGAGTGGGCCTATGGCGAAGCCTTTGCGCATATCAGGTTGGCTGTCATTTCACAGGGTATTGCGGCGAGATTCGCTAGGAAACAGGCGAGTTCGCCGAATGCGCAGAGGAGTGCGAGTATGTTTCCGCGGTTGGGACGGTTGGCGTGGGAGACGATTCAGAGGAAAGAGGGTGAGAAACGTGAGAAGTCAAAGCTTTGATTTTGTGAAGATATAGTGTAAGATTAAGGTATATACCCGTTATGTGGGCTGTAAAATCAGGAATCCAAGTTGCTCAACAACCCCCAGCTCTGCTCAATGTTATAGGGTCCCGGACTCTTCCAGTAATCATCATACGTGGTAAACAATACCACGTCCCCCTCCGTCGCACTCAAGATCGCATTCACCGCAATCTTCTGATTCGCAACACTCGGCACATTTCCCCCATTCGTGTTTCCAGTATGCGGAAACCCCGTCTCAGTAACAACCACGCTCTTTCCCCCACACGCCGCCTCGGTAATACTGATTTGGCTCAACACGAAGATGCCGGCAGTGGCGGGGGTGGAGTAAATGTCAAAGTAGGAGTGTGCGTTGATGGCGACGACGTCGAGGGAGGAGGACGTGCAGAGGGCGGGGTTTGCGATGAATGTGCCGGAGGTTTCGGCAGTCGTGATGCGACCGGTAAAGCCGGCGTCGCGGACGGTGGCGCGGACGGAGGTTACTTTGTTGATGAGGTCGGAAGCGGTGACCCAGCCGTTCAGGACGGCTTCGTTGCCTATTCGCACACCTGTTAATTAACTCGCGGGATGAGATGAAGAGAAGGGCAATACGCACCGACGATCAACATATCAATGAGATCGAAGTTACCGTCCTCCCTTCCCCAGGCAACAAAGGCATCAACATCCGTATCAGCCGAGTCCACCCCAGCGCTCGAAATCCAAATTCCCGCAATAATTCCCATTCCCCACTTCTTCGCCGCAGTCCCAACATTCACCAACCCATTACAATCCGTCGAATAAATCCTCACGGTCCCGATATTCTTTCTCGCGATGGCTGCGATGTCGAGTTCGACCGCGTCGTAATCTTTGCAGGCGCCGGAGTCGGTGTAGGGGGAGTAAGTTATCGCGTAGGGAGTGATGGCAGAGGAGGAGGAGGCGCGGCGGATTGGGGCGGGGAGGTAGGCGCGCTGCATTGGGGGTGGGAGGTAGTAGGCTGGAGAGGCCACGGGTGCTGCGGTGATGGCCGTGACCCAGAGGAGTAGGACGCTCAGGATCGAGTGTGAGAGCATGCCAGGCGAAAGAGCGTCGTGAATCGAGGAAGACAAATGAGTGTGATGGCAATGCTGCTAGCTGCGAACTACGTTGATAAAAGAGTGACGATGGGTGAGCAGTAAATGATTGACTGAAGGTGAGTTCCGATTGCTTTGCGACCTGCGCTGGGTGCTGGGTGCTGGGTGGGTGTGTACTGTAGTCGACCCGGGCAGAACTCAGGTTAAGAACCTTCCCTCCCTCCCCACAAAGACTACAGAAGCGCTGAGCCTTCCGAGAGACGCCATAGCGATTCCACAGGGTCTTCTGCGAATGGAGCAAGAGGAGGTTGGTAGGTCTTGCTACTTTCTCGCTCGGACCGCGCCCGAATCTACGGGTACGCGCGCGGGTGGCTGGGTGCTGGTCCCGCTCCACCTGGCGCAGCAACACTCAGCAGGAGACGCGTACGGGACGGGAAGTAACGAAGACGCCGGAAACCGATTCTCTGTTGGAGGATGAAGTAGCGCATGCAAGTAAATTAATTCTTTAATCGATATCGTTTTCTAATTCACTTATGCCCGTGGGGGAGTATTAGACATCAACCCACTGCCGGTGCTCTGCGTGAAATCGTTGGAGATGGGAGTCTCGTGGGTTTGTCCCTGTATGTACCACCTACGGGGCAACTCCCAAGTCCTGTGCTGTACGACGATGTACTCGACCATAGGAACTGGCTGATCTGAGCCGGAGACCATCTTTCCGTTTTCCCATCGAGTGACGCTCTATCGCGTTCGTTCGTTAGTAAGCGATGACGGTGGTAAGGGGGGTGTAGTCGTACCTGTTCCGAGTGGATCCTGATGATGGCTTGTGCGAGCATATCGTCATGCACAGAAATCTTCGCAGCCCTGAAACACACCAACTTGGGCTGACTCAACATCCGATGCAACTTCCACTCCATCCTGGCCCCCTTCACCTTCGCATCCTTCCTCCCCTGAACCTTCTTCTCCAACTTCCTAAACAACGCTGGCGACACAATACCTTGCAACGTTTTCCTGTCACCCTCGGCGAAGGCGGTGTTCATCTGGACATGGAGTTCGCAGGCAGATTCGCGGAGGTCGCGGAAGTTAAGCTTTTCGGGCTTGATTTTGCGTTTGAATTGGGCGACGGAGATGAGGTTAAAGATACCGTTCTTGATGTCGCGGTAGAGGTCGCGGAACTTATGTTTGGGCCGGGACCAGGGAACTGGCTGTACGAGTTTTGGTGGGACGTAGTGATCTGTGGCAACACCCGAATCAGCACTCGATCACCACTCCCAGTAGCGTACCACATACCGAAAATGCCAAAATCATCTCTCATGAGATGTGCTTGACGCTGCAGCTCCTGCCGGGCCCATACCGACGCCGATGGCCGAAAAGCGAAACCTCGTGCGAAAGTAGTGGTAGTCTTGTGTGACGAGATACGCAATGAAGCAACCTCGACGGGCGTATACCAACAATGCCGCAGCGGGCGTAACGAAACGGACATCCTGATCAGTCACACAAAGAGGGATCGAGTTTTGAATTTCTTCGAGAATCCAAAAGTCCTCGTTACGATGGGCGCGCAGGTACGCCAGATATCCCAAATCACGTGAAGCACCCAACAAAATGTATTCCATGTTCCAGTTCCAACGAAACGCCAAAATGATCAATATCCCATTCGCGCCTAACACCAATGCTCTTACCCTCCTCGCAACCCTACCCAAAATTGCCAATTTATCCCTAAACTCCTGGTCCATTCATGTCATGCTCACACGCACTCTCACTGTCCCATTCCAGCGCCATCTCCCCTCTCAAAAACCGCCATAAACTGCCCATCAACATGCATCCCCAGTCCCGACCCCGGAGCAGCATACTGTATAGGAACCCCCGGTACCTGTACAGGCATGATCTGTCCCCATAATAATTCTGCATCCTGCCCGGGCACCACCTTCGCTTGTAGGAGGCCAGAGGGTGTGACGACGTCACCTCCGACACCAATCTCGACCCCGATTCCGGGAGTGGAGTTGTGATCGGAAGAGGCAAAGAAGCAATCACTCAAACCCCCACAGAATCCATCCGGGCCCATTGACATCCCACTCATCTGCAACTGTTCTGCACGGAACTCGAGCGTGGTGGGGGAGTACGATGGTTGGCTATGCGGTGTCAAGAACCCCGTTGGCGTGAACAACCTATCAATCGGATGCTGATGCTGATGTTGGTGCTGTGTTCCCATCCCCTGAGTGCTCTCGCCCAACCCACATTCCATCCCCTGTGGTCCCGTCCACTGCGGCAAATCCGGCGTAACCAACACCCTCTCACTCGGCGGCGAATGCAACACTGAACTCGTTTCTTGTTTGTAGGGGGCGAGCGCCATATTCTGAGTCCCAAAATCCAGTCGCATCTCGATCGAGGAAGGTGGAGTCGGTAATGCTGCCGACGCCGGAGGTTTAGCTATAGGATAAGCGATCTGGAGGCCCATGCCTAGGGCTGTGGGGTCTTCTTGCGGAGGTTTTGGATAGGTCATCTGAAGACCTAAGCCCAAGGGGTCCTCTGGCTTAAAGTCAGTGTTGGGGCGAGGTTCGGGTCCGAGGCTAAGTGTTGATTCGGAGGAGGTGGATCGGGAGGTGCAGCCTGGTCGTGGTGGGCGGGGTTTGAAACCTGCTGCGGCGTATTTATCTGGGAAGGCGTTGCGGAATCTGTATTAAAGAGGGTTACACGGGATTATGGGTGAGAGAGGAGAGTGGGTGGACATACCTGTCACGAAGGTCTGTACTCCGTCGAGTTGAGAATCCCAGACGCGGGTCTTTCTGGATTTTGGACCATGAGGCTCCGTGCTGCGCGTCCCCACGTTAGCATATACACCCACATAACTCTCATGATCTGATGATGTACCGTGCGGAAACCTTCCATGAGTCTTGCGTCCTCTTCCAGTGTAAATGCTTGGCGCTCCTTCCTGCAAACCTTCTCAATCTCGATATGCTTCGGGGTCTTTTGGCCGCGGTTGGCGTGGGTTCGGGCGTTGGGGTAGAGGCGGCAGTAGTCTTCGGGAAAGACTGTGCGGAAGCGGTCTAAACACCCTTAATCAGCACTCCATCCCTGATGTGGAAAGAGGTGAATAGGTGTATACCTTTCAGGTCTATCGGACTTCTGTTGGCGAAATTGAATCGTCTATCCACCAAGATTTTCTTCCAGTTTCCTGTTCGTCCATCTTAGCACACCGCATACAAACCAAATCTCAACCATGAATACGTACCACACCCGTAAGTCAATATCCCCCTCAACAGATCATTCGTCTCCTCCTCCGTCCACTTCTGTCTCCGCCGACCCTCCTGCACTTGTCCTCCAACCTCTTGCTTTACACCCTCTAAAAGACCTTCTTGATTCTCTGTCATCTCCGGCATTTCCACCATGCCCATTTCAGCTGTCGACATGATAAAAGCGTACGCGGACGAAGACGTCTGATGGCTGAGGGACGTGGGGATGTATGCTGAAGGTGGAGGGAGTGTATGCTGCGAAAACGGGGTGAATGCTCTCTGGAGGTCAGTTTACGGTCGTTGCGCCTCATGCAGGCAGCTGTACGGGTATGCGCGTCGAGGGTTCTAGCTTGAGGGGCTCCGCCGACCACAGGAAGGGTGCAGCTGTCAAACTCATCCCGGTTCAATCCCCACCATGGACATTTTACCCTCGTTTTACAGCGGGGTCTTCGTGATCTTTGAGCCGCTCTCTACACTCGCTGGAGCTCTATACGCATTCACTGATCCGTATGGGTTCGTCACCACTCAAGATCCGTCGCAGTCGCATCTGGTGGATGCGTTGAAGAGTCAGACACTCCCATTAAGCTCCCTCGCCGTCGCGATCCAACTCGGCAACTGCTACCTCCTCCTCTCCCTAATCTCAACCTTCATCCTCCACACCACGAATGAGGTCCGCACGGTGAGAGCGCTGCTGTGGGCGTTATTATTGGGTGATGTGGGACATGTTGGTGCGTGTTATTGGGTGTTGGGGAGTGAGGTTTTCTGGGATGTAAGCAGGTGGAATGCGGTTACGGCGGGGAATGTCGGGGTGACGACGCTTTTGGCGGTGTGTCGGATTGCATACCTGTTGCAATACGGAGCGGATGAGAGGGCAACAGTTCAGGACAAGCCCAAGAAGGCTTAGGCGTCACAATGCCATATACCATAGACGAAAAAGCACTGCATAATGGAGTCCTAATGGTCCTCCTAGCCGTGAGACCTTCTGGACAGATCACACCCTAAGCTTCGCGGACCGCTCGCAGCCCATGGCCACCTTCGTCGAACTCCACCAGACCTTCAAACCCGTCGCTACGCAAACCTAAAAATAGAAAAAGAATCTCTTATACGACTCATCTTGGACTCGGTCCGTCGAAGAGATTCGCTATCGATAGTTATAGGTGTCTGCACAATGACACCGCATACATGGCAAGCTACCCTGCGTCCAAACGTCCGTTCCCCAGCGAGCGCACCGTAAGGGTCCCAGACGCCGTACGCGCTCACAACAACGTTAGAACAGAGCTTGGCATTCACCATAGTGATAGGAGCCGATCAGCAATAAACAAGGACTCAGAAGAAGGGTTACCAAACAGTCTCTACGTCCAGATATCCAACGTTTTCAGCAATTTTGGCGGATCAAACCTGTCCACATACTCAGGCTTTTAATCAACACATCAAGGCAAACGACCTGTTCCCGGACTGAGCAAATTACTGGCGAACAGCAGGCGCGATGCCAACATCATGGTCCTCCCTCTTCTTCGAAGGCCCCAGCGAAAAGCGATCCTCCAAGGTATTCACCCTCTTGCCCTTCCCAACTGATCCCTCTCCTAACATTTTTACCACAGGTCATCATCGCCGCCCAGAAATCCCGTGGCGTAGCCAAAGAAAGAGACTTTCTCGAACAGCAATCCCACCTGATCATAACCTCCGTATTCTCCCACCCTCCCGAATCGCATAACGCCGAGGTCGCCATCGCCGCGGACTGCTCTCAACGTGCGCCGTTGTACGCGTATGAACATACCGATGATGGAAGTGGTGGAGGAGGGTGGTGTGTGGTTAATCTCAGTTTGTATGAGCCGAGGTTGGAAGATCATTTGGTTGTCGTGAAGGGGAGTCTGGAGGATATTCTACCGGTTCTACAGCTACCGTCCAAATTCGGTGTCAACCTTCGCATAAACCTATACGGTTCCGCATCCCGAATCCTCAAATACGGCCAGTCCGACCACCTTCCCCTCGATTCCCTACCGGCAATCCTCCGGAAATCGTTAGCGGTGAAAAGAATCGACATTCACTTCGACGATCCAGCTTGGTTAACCTCTTTCTCCCTTCTCGACTTCATCCTCTGGACTTCCACCACCGCCTTCTCCCGTCCCCCAGGCCTACAGGAATTATGGATCCAACCCTTATGTGCGGCTGATACGATCAAGTTGATCGAGGAACTCCATGCACATTCGAAAGCGGGGGAGTTCGATAAGGGGAGTTTGAGGGAGGGTGGTTTGAGTGGTTTGCATTTGAGGTTAGTGGAGCCGTGGGTCTTGGATCCGGCGCAACTGAGCGCGATGGCGAATAAAAGTCCGCCGTCGTATGGGCGGTTACCGGCGATTGAGTCACTACACATACACCTCGTACCAGGGATGGGGAGACGGCAGAGTACGGCGTCCGTGTTGTCTGATTCATACTTTTCGGCACCATATGGGAAGGGAAATCCGATTAGCCCTGGGAGTCCCATGTCACCACATTCGCCGTCTCAGAACGGAGGTGGGATACCGTATCCGACGGCAATTGAAGCACTCCTCTATTACCTCCAATCAACCTTCTCTCCACCCTCCTACGTCATTCACCACTCTTCGTCCTCTGACCCCCCGCTCTTGCGCCCTGCAATCGATGCCGGCATTCTCCGTTCTGTCGGGTATCTCAAATCTACTCTGTTCTCCACGCCACCTGTTTCGTATGTCAGTACGGAGGCGTTGGTCGTGGGTGCAGGGGAGGATACGGAGAAGAAAGGTGAGGTGGAGAATTGGATTAAGGAGAGTCCGGTGCTGGGGGGAGGCCGGAGGGGTAGTTTGGCATGGGGTGGGATTGGGGTTGGTGGAGGGAGTGGGAGTGGGTGTTCGAGTCCGGTCGTCGGGACGCCGGCGCAGACGCCTGGGGTTGAGTATCCGCCTGGGTGGGCGCCGGGGAGGAGGCATTCTCGGTGAAAGGAAGAGGGAAGGTCAGAGGGGATGTATGAGTAGGGACTGTTACTTGGCGTTTTTGTGATTGTTTTCATACCTCAGCGTTTCGTTTCTGGACTTTGTTTTACCCCTTTTGTTACGGAAGATGAACTTTTAGGTACAATATATTCATCTATACATCACCATTGCACGACGCGAGAACTCAATTTCGCTGTGATGGTCTTCTCCTTTACGTCCCCGAAATCGTCTTTGAAGTCGCTCGTGTTGAGCAGTGCATCGTCGTCAGGTTCGGCAGCGAGTCCAGCATTGCATGGAGTCGAACCTGGTTTCTGTGACACCATTTCCGCTTGAGACTGTAGAGGTCGGTGAGCTATTCGTTGACATGTGTCTTCTCTGGAAAGGCATGAACATACCTGAACGGTAGCGGCTTGAGATGGCGGCTCGGCCCAGATACGGTGCACTTGTTCGTCTCCGATGACATCTGCCAATGTCCTCTTTCTCGTGGTCGGTTCAAGCGTATCGTAGGCATATGTGATAGGCACTTGGGAGGCAGTGGGCAGCTCCTCGGGTTTCGACACAGGCTTCGGAGGTACGAGCTTGATGAGTTTGTTCCGAGAGGGAAGTTTCTTGATAGGCGATAACTGAATGGTCCATGGCTCTTCCATCATATACACCAGCTCGCCGTTTTGTAGTTGTTTAGAAAGTTGGAGGTTGAAACGTTTGGACCTCTCATTTCCCACGGAAGCTGATACCGGGGGACCGCAGCAGTGCTGACAGCGCGAACGTCGGACATAAATGAAAGGATGAGAGAGGACCGTTACTCGTTGGGTGGTGTCTGACGGGAGAGGGGAAGTCTCGGCTGAAGAGGAAGCAGCTGTCCCCCTCTTCTTGTCGCATCTCAATTGCCCGACACTCTTTCAGACCGCTGTACAACAACCAACAACGAAGTCAGAGGAGCAGGAAGTCATTCACCTCGCCTCTGTCGTTTTCAGTGACGCTCGCTGGTCGAGTAAACTACGTTCATTACAGTTTCTGCTCTGACTCGACACCGTCATTACCCCCATGATGCATATGACATCTATGGCACCCAGCCTACCTCTCACCTCCCCTCCTTCGAACGAAACCATCCGCTCGCCGAAATCGCCGGCTCCTTCTCCTTCTCCGGCGCCGACGACGGCTACTACCTCTACATCCATCCTGAATGTCACAGCCTTGGGATTTCCCTTCTCGGGAACAGGTACACCACCTCCGCCTGCCACCAAAGTCAGCGAGTCCGACATCGTAGAGACACCTGACGACAACGTTCCCCGTTTCTCTCATAACCCATTCGACTCATCTTTTGGTGAGGTAAACACTGACAGCAAGAGAGCCAGTGCGCTTGAATACATCGCGACGAACATAGATTCGCCTCTCCACGCCATTCAGAAAAATGGGGTTAGCGAGAAGCACCAGACCCATGACGACCTCGAAGCCACTCTCGAACGCTTGAGGTCCTTGGAGCGAAACCTGCACACGTCCTCTTCTTCCGCGGACAGGACGGCCAGTTCCTGCTCCGACCGCGCAGACAGAATCGAGACGCTCCTCCGTCCGCTTGAGCAGGATCTCAAGAGGACCGCAACGACGGGTTCGGGAAGAAGAGCCAGTTTCTCGGAAGTCAGGGCTCAACAGCCATATCTTGTGAGGTCGAGGAAGAGGGGGAATAGTTCTTCGGGGGTGTTGGGGCAAGTTATGAATGGGGGAGGAGAAGTGGTGAGGGCTGATAGTTGCACGTTGCCGCGAATGCTCGCCGGAGAGAATTCTTATGCACAACGTACGGCGACTGAAGCACAACATGAGTACACCCTTCCCCACGGCTCCCCCCGCCGCGGCGCGATTTCCAGTCCAAGCGGCACCCCCGCCCCCACCCGCTTCGCAAGCACAGGCGAACTCATCATCGAAGGCGACACGGTCTTCGAAGTCATCGAATCCCCAACCACCGTAGTGATGCCCCTCCGGTTCACCCCTCGTTCTCCCCGTACCCCTCGCACTCCCCGTACGCCCGTTACTCCAACCGGACCACCGAAGACTCCGGTGACGGGGAGTCCGAAATCGGCGATGTCCAGGAAGAGCTCGAGGAGTATGCCGAAGACGCCGAGGAGTGTTAAAGTGAGGTTTTCGAATGCGGAGTTGGAGTTGGAGATGCCGCCGCCTCCACCACCGCCGAATATTGGGCCCAAAAGTCCGCGGCATTTGACGCCCGGGGTTACGCTTACGTATCCCGAGCCGGCTCGGGCAGACGTCATTTCACCCACCAGCAGCTCTCGCAAGAGCCTCAAGTCATTTTCCCAACGCCCCTCCTCCTCCGCCACCCGTCCCGCCCATATTCCCACGCCTCTCGATCTCTCCGCAATCAGTAAAGCCGAAAAACACGGAAGTCTGACATCAATGACAGACCTAATCTCCCGTTCCCGCAAGCTCGAAAAGAAACTCGAGATGGGTCGTACAGCGAGTATGGCTTCCAGTCCGAAAAGTGGCAGGAGTCGTTGGGATTCGATTTCTGGGATCCTGAATGCATTTCCGCCGCCTACGCCCGCTGCTGGACAGCCGTATGCGAGGGAGGGTATGGTGCCGATCGAGTACGAGAAATTGGAATCCGCATCTACCCGGAACATCCGTCGGAGAATTTGTGGTCTTCCCGTCTGGGCGTTCATCCTTATGCTCTTCCTCATTCCAGCTCTCATCACCCTAGCCGTCGTTCTCCCCATCGAGATCGTGGGCGCGAAAAACAGTGTTACGGGACCTAGTGCGGCACAACTTGCGGGTTGTCAGTTGGATTTGCCGTGTTTCAATGGGGGCGTTAGTACGGTGTTGAGCGGAGGGCAGTGTGCGTGTTTGTGTACAGGGGCGTATAGTGGGGATCAGTGTCAGGTATCTGCGAGTGGTACGTTGAAAGACCCTATTTATCCCTCGAAGTGATCTGAGTTAACGGTGCGTTAAGATCCTGCCTGCACCCAGTTGAACCTGGGCAGCTCCACCGCCTCGGTCGGGAGCAACATCCCCTCTCTCCTCCAACTAGCGCCCTCCTTCGCCATTAACATCGATACATCAGCCGTCGTCTCCGCCTTGGAAAATTCAAATGTCTCCTGTACTGCGCAAAACGCCCTAGTCGACCTCACTCTTCCCTCTTCCTCCTCGAACGCGAAACGCTACCTCGTCGGTGAACTGATCGAAGTTACGTCTACCTATACCTCTGGAAAATCGGCACACCCAACGACATTTGCGACAATGACTTATGTCTCGGCAACCAGTATCACCATACGTCCTTCCTCCACCATCACGGCTGCGACTGCGACCGGGTTACTTGTCGATACAGCCATGGCAGCGCAGCCTACTGCCGGTGCTTCAGCTTCCTCCTCGAACGCCGATTCCAGTACTTTGAACTTTGCGAAATGTGCTCTCTTGGCGATTGTGCAGCAAAAAGGTATTGATGTGGCGAACACTGCACATTCTGCGCTACAGACGAACTTCAATCAGGGTGCTGGTATGGCGGGCAACGTGACTGTTGGAAGAAGTATTGTCATTGATTTGACGGATCAGCTCGTGAGGGGGTTGTAGGGTGTCGTCCTGCAAGGCGCGGAGAATATGTGGTATAATTACAGTATTTTGGTTAAGGAGGTCAACAGATGGCTTCCATAGCATACGGGAGGGGTCACGGTATTATTGTTGCATATCGACATTTAGAGTTTCTTTCTTATACTGACTTTGGACTTTGATTTTAGTAAGACATTGCAACTGAATTACAGGTTTTCTTGTCCAGTTTCCACAGCTGTAGCACGTCGTGAGAACGCGTCTTCTCACGCTCAAACAACCATGGAACCTTACAAGATCACTCGCAGCTGAGAGTAGAATTCAGATATCCAAAACTTTATTATCACTGATACACATATTTCTGCTAATGAGCATGCAAATGGCGCTCCATTCACGCTGTCTCCTCGGCAGCAGGGACTTCACTGCCCTCAGCAGGCTCAGGAAAAGCGGCGTCGTCCACCTGTCTGTCCACACCACCCATCGCCATCTTCGCATCATGCGGTTCAGTCTTCTCTCCCTTCGGCATGTTCTCGGCCTCGGCAGTCAGAGGGTTCTGAGCCTCCGCCAAAGTGCCCCTCACGCCCTCGGGCTCTCCACCCTGAATAACTGTCTGGGAGACGGTCTCGGTGTGCATTTCTGGAATCTCCTCGGTTTCAATCACAGTCTCCGTGTGAACGCTTGACTCGGTCAAAGTCTTCGTAACTTTCTTCGTTTCAGTGACGACCTTCGTCTCACGGCTCTTGCTCTCTGACTGCTCCATCTCAGAGGCAGAGTTCTGCACGGTCTCAACGAAAGTCAACTTGCTAGGGTCACCCCCAGCGGCGACCTGCTCCGCATGCATTCTCTCCAGCTCCTTGATCCTCTCGAATTCTTCTCCCTCGTAGACGCGTCCGTACTGGTCCTGCCCGCGGGTCTTCGTCTCAGTCTTGTACGACGTCTCGAAAATCACATTTTGCTGCTTCTTGAGAGCCTCAACCTGTTCATCGTTAAGAATGTTGCCGAACTGGTCACGGTACTCGACCTTGGAAACGACAGCTGGAGGGGATTGGCCGGAAGGCTGCTGAGGCTGCTGGGCGACTGGGGGCATCGCAAGGGGCTTCTGCTGAACAGGAACCTGAGGGTCTTGACGCTGAGTAGAGGGAACAGTAGTACTGGTAGGAACAGGACCCTTGACCGAGACCTGGGACGATGATTCGCCGAGGTACATGGACATGTCGTCGTGGAAAGTCTGGCAGTCAAAGTCCCAAGTCTTCATCAACTTACTCTTCTCGCACTGCGCCTTCGTCCATGGGCCTCCGTAGCTGAGGGGCATGTAAATGGAGAAGACGTACGCAGAAGCCATCAGAGCCAAGATGGTGGCAGCACTCCTAGCCTGCGCGTTACCCAAGAACTTCTTGGTGAAGAAGTCCCAGCCCTGGCAAAGCGTCAGGATTCCAAAGTAGAGGGCAGGGAAGTAGTGGTGCAAGAACAGCTGACGAGCCATGAGGAAGAAGGGAAGGTAGTGCAAAGCCCACCCAAGGACGTTGGTTCCAACACTCCAGTCGTAGTGCCTGACAGCCTCATGCTGGTAGTCGGTGTACCCTCTCTGCCATCTCAATGCAATCAACGCCTTGAAGGCGATGTACAGGAGAATAGCAGCGGTGGTACTGTACCATACGAGAGGGTTACCAATCAAATAGATTTGACGGTGGTCTTTACCCCAGAAGTTGATACCACGCTTCAGGATGGGCCAGCTAGTAGGTCTGGAATCCCAGTTATGAGACTCGACCAAGCCAGCGTTCGTAGTCCACATAACCTTCTGCAACTCCCAGAACTTGGCAAGGAATCCCGGCTTGCGGTAAGAAACCGTCTCGGCATCAGGACCGAAGTGAGGATTCTCATTGCCCTCGATGTACCAGATGGAGTTCGGCTTGGTACCCTGCTTAGCGCAGGTAACCTCCTGCTGTTCGAAACCCCAGTCAGGCAACTTCTGCTTGTGGGAAAAGAGTGCACAGCCGGTCATGATGTGGATCAATCTGAACTTGGTGTCAATGGCCCTGACGCGCTTCTTGGCGAGATCACCGCGAGACAAATCCTTCTGGATCTCGACACGGAAGAAGTCGTTGGCATCACCAGCGAAACCAGGGAAACCGTAAGCACTGACTTCATGCTGCCAGTCGGCCTCGGAGACAGGTGCCTTAACATCGTGGGAATGCAAGCGTTTGTCAGTGAGGATGTGGCGCAACTTGATGACCATTTTGTCCTCAAGGTAGATAGGTGCAGAGCCATCAGGCAAGACAATCTCAGTCTCGTTGTGAATCTCCCAGACGTTGTTATCGTCGCGGTGGGGGTAGAGGGTGATCTGCTGCTGCTTGGAGCCATCGGGATACGCGTGAGGGTGAGAGTGCAGGTATCCACCGTTCGTGTTCCAGTGACGAATGGCGACTTTGGAGCCGAAAGCAACGTCCGCGGCAGTAGCTGGGGCAGCCTTTCCATTGATAGTCTGCTGGAACTCGGGAGACATAAATGCATCGCCGTCACCAGAGTTAGTAAGACAGGCAAAGTGGATAGCGAACATGAACATATAGAATCCGACAGGGATACCGATCAAGCAGATCGCACGAGCAAAGAAGTGGTTGAACCACTTACGGGGGCTGACGGAGAGATCACCGAGGAGGTTCCACAGCTGGTGAACAGTCAAAGCACCGATCCAGGCGATCGTAAACAACCCGACCCACTTGATACTGGCGGTCAATCCCAAGGCCAATCCAGTGCCGGCCAGGAAGGTCCACCATCTTCCACTGAACGCATTGGCCTGCTGTCTTTCGAACATAGTCCACATGAAACTAGTGAGGGCGGTGCAGAAGATCAATGGCGAATCGAGGAGGATATGCCTTGACTGCGTCATAAGACCGTTCTCGAAGATGGTAAAACCTGCACCGAGGACAGCAGTGGTAGTCGCACACCCGGAAGCCTTCAGGGTCAAGAAAATCAGAGGAACGACCGCGACTCCGAGGAGTGCGGGGTAAAGCCTCATAATAACGTAGGGAACACCGGCGGAGAGGTAGTCCTTTCCGATTTCCTTGAAGTCGAATTCACCGTCGTAACCGCCCAAATAACCAACAAGCGCAAACAATAACTTGGCGAGTGGTGGGTGAACATCCATGAAGAACTTGCCGTTGATGTACTTCCTCGCGAAGCCTCCAAAGTGCACTTCATCGAACACAACACTGGACGGCTGAGACAGTTTATAGAGACGAACCGCCATCGCAACCGCGAGGAGCGCTCCGAGGATCTGCCAATCCTTCCCGAGCATGTTAAACAGCGATTGACTCTTCACAGATCCTGTTGTTGTGCCATTGGACCTCTTGGCGCTCTTGGTCGACTTGTTCGACACGGCGTCTTTCGAAGCCATTGTAGAGCCGGTGTCACTGTCTCTAGGCATTCGGTGTTAGCGAGGGTGAGGAGAGGACAATTGACGAGAGAACACGTACGGATCAGAGGGGTTATATGGTCGTGACGGTTCGTCGATAATGACACGTTTACCCTTTACACTGGGCGCCGACCCGAAGCGGGTGCATCACTCGCGCACGGGCCGCAGCCGAAGTCCATCAACTTAATCCTTAATTGACCTTTATTTTTACAGAAACGGATGGACATTGACATGGACATGGACAGTCGATTCAAGGGAAAGCAGGAGCCGGGCACAGCTCAAGTTCAATTGAGATGCCTCGTAGTAAAATGCAAAACTCCAATTCGAAGCACATCGAACCCAAAAAACTGCAGCAATCCCAGAAAAGCCCAAGACGACCGGAAGTCACATCCCACACACACGCCCGAACTCCTTTCCACCCCGACTTGTTTTGTTTTAGCGAACCACCCTCATCACAGGAAGAGATTCAGGTCGCTTAAGCGGTAGCCTCAGCCTTGGCGGAGCCGGCCTTCTTGGCCTGACCCTCCTGGAAGCCGTTCTGGAAGCGACGGTAGACGTCCTTCAAGTGGGACATGCGACCGGTACCAGTGGTCTTTCTGCGCTTGCCCTTGTCAGACCAGTTGACTACACACGATGTTAGCAATTATCGCAAGAAAAGCAATTGAACCCTGCGCACTACAAGAATGCGCAAGGCTGGGTCAGAACTTACACTTCCTGGTCTTGGCAGCGGGGTATCCACAGGAAGAACAGGTGTGCTTCTGGACGTGGAAGGAACGACGACCGCAACGGCGGCAAAGGACGTGGGACTTGTTGTGCCTAGGGAAAATGCGTCAGAGCACAGCTCTTCCACGCGGTCACCGAAACATCGAGCGCACAAGTCCTTTTTCCCGGAAGAAATTGGAACGAGATAGCTGATGACGGGACAGAGATCTAGACTGACCTCTTACCGAACGACTGGGTACCCTTGGTCATCTTGCCGGATTGTTGTGTTGAAGGTGGTTACCACACTGGTCCGAGCAGAAAGGGCAAATTGGAGGTGCGGCCTGCCAATTTCGTGTGGCTGGTGGGAGCGGGCGCAGCGGGGACGTCGGTGAAGCGCGCTGAACCCTAACAGCCCTCGAAGGACTGGGAGATGACGGATCGTACAACGTACATTTCCTTTTTACAAGCAGCGGGGAGCTATCATCATCATCTGTCACTGGCAACCCTCCAGTCCATCTCCCCACGATCACCCGCACCACTCGCCAACCCCAGCGGTGCCTTGCATCTCGTATATGTAACTGCCGAGCTCGAGAACGTTGGACCTCCTCGATCTTCTTCCCACCAAGATGGCATCTCTCCGTCTACCGTTCTTCCGCCTAGCTGCACGACAGGTAGCAGCATCATCACGTACATTCACAACCACAATCCGGAGCACAGCACGTCCACGGACCATTCAATCTCCCTTCACAACCGGCTACAAACAAGCTCGGCCACGTTTTAACCACTCACAAGCAAAACCCGAACCTAACCCCGAAAAACCTTCTTCAGGCCTCTCCGGCCGCCTCAAAGATCTCTCTAAAAAATATGGCTGGTCGGCCTTTGCAGTGTACATGGCCCTCTCCGCTCTCGATTATCCCATTTGCTTCCTTGCCGTACACACCATCGGTGCCGAGCAGATATCTCATTACGAGCGGATCTTGCTCCACCACCTCAAAGAATGGACGGGTTTTGAAAAGGAGCCGAAGACAGATGTGGAGGAGGAGGATGGGGGGAGCAGTGGAGGGAGTTGGTGGACGGAGGCGGTGGTTGCTTACGGAGTGCATAAGCTGTTGATTGTGTTCAGGGTGCCGGCGACGGCGGCGATTACGCCGGGGATTGTGAAGCGGTTGAGAGGTATGTCATCACCATTTATATCGCCCATCTGCCGTGTTTAGGGCTCCCAGTATGGGATTCCTCGGGCAGAATGGGCTGAGGCCGTCGTGAGAAGATGTGCTAACGAGTTTGTGTAGCTATGGGATGGAATGTCGGTAACATGGGTGATATGGTTGCGAAGGCAAAGGAGGTCAAGAAGGCACGAGACATTCGCAAGGCGTTGAAGGATTAGATAGACCTTCTGCAACTGAGGCAAAGGCGTCAAAGTTGTGTCTGACGCAAGGGAATTGAAGCACCAGCACATGACGTACTCCACTCTTGGGGACATGCATGTCATACACAGACGTACAAGTTACAAAAACACTGACAAAATTGATATTGATGACGAAACCCCAAGAAACTCCTTTTGCCCACTCTGTCTTTAGAACTTCAAATCGTAAATGAATGTGAGAAATTCTTTCGTGAGCCTCTCTTCGTATAAGTACCGACGCAACAATGTCCGGCCTCTTTCTCACGGCACTGACAGCGTCCTTTTGCCGGTTTGAGATCGACAGCTTAATCCCATCCCTGGTCCTTAACTCGTGCCCGACCACCCTTGTCCTTTCCTTCCAGACCACCCTACACAATCGTTAGCCCTGTTCTCTGCTCTTTCTGACAGCTGAACCCACCTCGACAACCAACCGATCAGTTTGGTACATCCCACTAATAGCAGCCTGCCTCTTCATCCTCTTCAGTTCATTCGCACCCGTCTGCAGCGCCTTATCTCTTGCTTCACCAAACAAATCACGATTCGCCCGGAAGGCATCCTTCGTGCGGCGGAGGGCGTAGTCGCGAAAGTTGTAGGCTGAGAAGGAGTGGGCTGCGCGGAGGAGAGAGCGGTAGAGACTGATTGGTTGAACGAGTTTGGGCATTGCGAATATATGGGGCTTTGATCACTTGGGTGCGAGGAGGCGAGAGTCGGTGACATCGATACGGGTGTAATTTCATGTGGGGTGATGCGTGCTGTACGGTGACGGGCAAGAAAAGTGGAAGGAGAACATGGAGGCTGAGTTGATTAGAAGCTGTGCAATTACGTGATCTTCTCCGCTTCTACTCGTATCGTCTACTCCCGGATCATAGGTAATTGCGTGCTCAGGTGGCTGCACCTAAAAAGTCCCCGCGGCGCCCGTCGAAGCGACTTCCTCGAGAAGAAACGGAGATTGATTGATTTACCTCAGCTTCGCACATCCTCCGTGTACGTCCTTCTCTATTTAAGATCCTCCGCGATCCCCCGCTGACTCGCTACAGATACAGATCAAAGATGTCTAACCCTCCTCACGGCCCCAACAACGTCCTCAAGGACCTCGTCGCTCGCGATGCTCCCATCCGCGCCCAGCTCACCGAGGAGTCTGCTTCCCTTCCCGACATCATCCTCACCGAGCGTCAGCTCTGTGATTTGGAGTTGATCATCTGCGGTGGTTTCTCTCCTCTCGAGGGTTTCATGAACCAGGCCGACTACGATGGTGTCGTCGAGAACCTCCGTTTGGCTGACGGTACCCTTTTCTCCATGCCCATTACCCTCGACGTTTCCCAGGCCCAGATTGACCAGCTCCAGCTCGCTCCCGGCAAGCGCGTTACCCTCCGCGATCTTCGTGATGATGCTCCTTTGGCCATCTTGACCATCGACGACATCTACAAGCCCAACAAGGAGAACGAGGCCGTCAAGGTTTTCGGTGCCAACGACTTTGCTCACCCCGCCGTTACCTACCTCCACAACTCCACCGGCGAGTTCTACGTCGGTGGAAAGGTCCAGGCCGTTAACCCCCCCTCCCACCACGACTACGTCGAGTCCCGTTACACCCCCGCCGAGCTCCGCGCTCACTTCGCCAAGCTCCACTGGCAGCGCGTGGTCGCTTTCCAGACCCGTAACCCCATGCACCGTGCTCACCGTGAGCTTACCGTCCGTGCCGCCCGTCAGCGCCAGGCTAACGTCCTCATCCACCCCGTCGTCGGTCTTACCAAGCCTGGAGACATTGACCACTACACCCGTGTCCGTGTCTACAAGGCCCTCATGCCCCGTTACCCTAACGGCATGGCCGTTCTTGCCCTCCTCCCCCTCGCTATGCGTATGGCTGGTCCCCGTGAGGCTGTCTGGCACGCCATCATCCGTAAGAACTACGGTGCCACCCACTTCATCGTCGGTCGTGACCACGCCGGTCCCGGTAAGAACTCCCAGGGTCAGGACTTCTACGGTCCTTACGACGCCCAGGACCTCGTCGAGAAATACCGTGACGAGCTCGGTATTGAGGTCGTTCCTTTCTTGCAGATGACTTACCTTCCCGAGAAGGATGAGTACATGCCCAAGGACCAGGTTCCCGCCGGTGTGCAGACCCTCGATATCTCCGGTACTGAGCTCCGTCGCCGTCTCCGTAACGGTCTTCCCATCCCCGAGTGGTTCTCCTACCCCGAGGTTGTCCGCGTGCTCCGCGAGTCCCACCCTCCCCGCAACCAGCAGGGTTTTACCATCATGTTGACCGGACACCACAACTCTGGCAAGGACACCATCGCTCGTGCCCTCCAGGTCTCCCTTAACCAGCAGGCCGGTCGTTCCGTCACCCTTCTCCTGGGTGAGACCGTCCGTCACGAGCTCTCTGCCGAACTCGGTTTCTCCCGTGAGGACCGCTACAAGAACGTCCAGCGTATCGCGTTCGTCGCTTCCGAGCTTACCCGCGCCGGTGCCGCTGTCGTCGCCTCCCCCACCGCTCCCTTCGACGACTCCCGCAAGACTGCTCGCGCTACCGTCGAGGCTTCTGGTTCTTTCTATTTGATCCACGTTGCTACTCCTCTCGAGTACTGTGAGAAGACTGACCGTCGTGGTTTGTACAAGCGTGCTCGCGCTGGAGAGATTAAGGGTTTCACTGGTGTTGACCAGGCTTACGAGGCCCCTGCTGATGCTCAGTTGGTTGTTGACATGAGCAAGCTGGATGTTCACTCTGCTGTTCACCAGATTTTGTTGTTGTTGGAGTCTGACGGTCTCCTTGCTCTTTAAATGAGTTGCATTGAGAAGGAAAGATAGATGAAGCAGGAAAGGGATGGTTTGTGCAAAGAAGAACGGTAAAAAAGGAGTTTCGATTTTGGAAGGCAAATTTTGTTTGGCATGTTGTGTTTAGATAGGTGAAGAAAGAGTATTCTCATTTGTACGTTATTGTGCTTGTCCCTTGTCATGCGTACCATCGTGGTACTGTTACGCCCATGCATAGATGACTTGAAGTAGAGGTGAGTTATTCATTCTGTCTATGCTATAATAGGCTATCGTAACCACCTGGATCTCTGCATTAAAGCAAGCCTACGCGGTCGTCTCCCGTGCTAGCAGTTAATCCATAATCTTCTTGACCTCCCATGGATAAGAGCCTCCTTCCGCTAATCCTAGCTCCACCATATCACCCCAAAACAATCTCATTCTCTGATCAGCATACGCCAAGTAATCAAACTCTTCCTCCTCTGCAACCTCATGCACATCATTCCACTCTCCATCTTCAGGGTGTGCAGGATCAGACGAAATAGCAGGTGTCTCGGTCACAGCCTGGATGACACCCCATATCGCCCACTGCGCGTGTGATGCAGCACGCCATACCTTGACTTCGCGTTCCAGTTTTTCGATTTGGGTTTCGATGATGGTGTTTTTGGAGGTCGTGTCGACCGGTCCATCGAGTGAGAACTCGGAGAGCCTGGGTGTGGTTGCCATGTGTTCCGCATAGGCTTTGTAGAACCTCGCTTGCTCCTCCGCCGTCGGATACCGTTTCTCGTCCATGAAGTGGGGGGTTGAACAGTGGTAGTCGGCCATCCATTCGCAGAAGTGGTTAGCGACGTCGTATGCCCGTGGACTTGGTCCGGAATATTCGAAATCGATTACGACAAGTTGGCGGTGTGCACGGGAGGGTTTGAGGGCGCTTGATGGTGGACGTGCAAGTCGGAGGAGGTTACCGTACTGCGTGTCGTTGTGGGCGAAGACGAGGGTCTGGTCGGTTGATGTGGAGTAGAGCCATTCACGGTACTTTGCGACGGCATCCACAAACTCTTCCCATTTCGTGCCGATGGCAAGACCGGAGCGGCCGGTAATGTGGGGGCATGATGATGCGCGGCGTTGAGCGATGACTTCGTATGCCTTTGCGAGCCATTTATCCCAATTCTTCCAGACTGCTGCTCCACCTGCCTTCTCTTCTTGCTCAAGACTGATGCCTTCGTGTAACTCCTTCATACGGCGCGCGATCCACTCTGAAGTTGTAGGTTCTCTCATACTTTCCTTGGTTAAGGGTTCACTTTCGAGCCACTGCTCGAAGCGGCCGTTGGCGAAGATACCCAGTAATCTGGGACCGATGCGCTGCCTGCTTAATCTAGCAACCATTCCAAGCTCAGCCGGTCGATCGATAAGATGAGCCACTCTCGGGCCATAGACACGGAGCAAAAGCTTGGGCGGCGGGTTGAAAGCGTGATCCGGAAGGACCGGGTTGTCTGGTGGTTTGACGAGGTACACCGCGTTCGTTAGTGCTCCCGAAATACGTGTACAAGTGGTGCTCTTCGCCGCCGAATGCGGTAGATGTCTCCATATAGGAACCTGTAGTTTGTGGAGGATTGACAGCACTGCAAAAGAGAACTCGTATGGAGCTGCTTCATTATCCAAGGTGATGTCGCATTCTGGAACCGTCTCATCGACTTCGCCCTCATCGGAACCTGAGGAACCATGACTAGATGAGCGACGGAGGAGTCTTGGTGGTGCAGAATTTGACGGGCGAAGGAGTGGTGACTTAGGGATCGTCGGTCGCATCCGCGGGGATTTGGTGTGAACGGTCGCCATGATCGCGTTGATCTGCTGTGGACAGGGCAAACGCCTACGTGAGAGCGGTCGCAGTACCTTGAAGAGAGAGTTTATCGTATCGTATCGTCCGCTCAACGGATGCTGGCTATGGTGGTGCTCTTGGTCGTATATGTATCGTCTGGGGAGATTCCGGGCTTCAGGGATCTCGGACGTCGGTTAAGCCACAGAGATCAGTCAACCCCCAGCCGAAAGTCACGGAACGTGCGAACTCTCTTCGAGAGTCTTTTACCTGGATATATTTGAAGGAACGGTATAGTATTCAACAAGAGTATTCAATAGCAAGCTCGATCAAGTCTCGGCATTAACCAGCAATACACGGTAGACAAGTCAACGAAGCCTGGGAAATCAGAAGAAACCGCGTAGCAATAGTAAAAGAAAGAAAAGAAAGACAAACCGATATGCTATCCCTTGAGCTTCTCCTCCACGCTCACTCGATATAATGATTCAAACCTTCGCAAACATGACCTAAACCCAGCATATGCTTCCAGCGACGTCGACATCGATGTCAACTTCAGACCCTCCCAGCATGCGCACCTTCATTGACAACAACGAACCTCCCAAGCGCAGTATCAAACTTCAAGTTCGGCAGCTTCCCAGCCTGAGGCTCTGGAACAGCCTGATTACTCAACTGCGCAAGTCCATCTCCATGACCATGGCCAGCACCCGGTCCCATACCACCATGTCCGTGGTTCATCCCCGGACCCATCGGAACAGCGTGACCAGGTCCTCCAGGCGTCCCAGGTCCGGGCCAGATAAAGTGTGGCAACTCGACGGGACTGTTGGCGGACGCATCACCCGGCGCACCGAACATGTTGCCATGGTTCAAGTGATGTCCGTGCGGATGAAACATCGGGCCAGCATCCATATCGAAGGAACGAGTGTGCTCCATGGGTCTCCCACCCGGCATACCATGGCCCGGGATAGACATGGGCGGGGTTCCGGCAGATTGCTGCGACATGGACATAGACATCGCGGTAGCCTGGGCAGCGGCGGCATAAGCAGCCATGGCAGCAAAGAAGTCACCATACATGGGAACTCCGGCCGGGCCTTGAGGACCTTGGAAGAATGTGGGGGCGAGGGTGCCGGGGAGGGAAGCGGCACGACCCATCCTGTAGCCGTTGAGTCCGGGAATGGGAGGAGGAGCAGGGCGGGGAGTGTAGGCGAGTGCGTTCCTCACGACACGGTCATGGAGTTCGCGATGTTGGACACGGATGATGGAGTCCATGAGCGTGGCACGGTTCTCCTTCTTCACAGCCGCGGCAGCATCCTCATCCGTTTCGTACTGCACAAACGCGAAAGCCTTCGTACCACCGCCAGTCTTGTTGGAGGAAGTAACGACATTGCAATCGATGATCTTGCCATACTGTCCAAACCTTGCAAGAACCGCATCCTTCGTCACCGTCGACGGAGGCAAGCCACCAATGTAAATCCCCTTGGTGTCAATAGGCACGTTACGAACCTTCTCAATCATATCCTGATCCAAGTTCTGGGCCCACTCAACCATCCAAGCATTCGAGCGGCGAAGATTTGTGTATGCGGAGATAGCATCCTCACGATACACAAACCTCGCAAAACACCCCCTGCGGACATTACGTCCAACAGTAGGCGGCGCAACAACCTCCTCCAACTCACCAAACGGCTCAAGCAATCCCCTAACCTCACCATCTCCAACGCCCCTTAAGTTCTGCCTCGTGATCCAAATGGTACGGTTCACCCTCGCTTTCTCGACGCGGATATGGCGACCATCGACGACGGTGTTGTGGGCTTCTGTCATGGCGCGAGTAGCTTCTTCGTCGTTTGAGAACTGGACGAAGGCGTAAGGGCGCTGGAGGGGGTCTTTGAGGACTTTGACGTGGAGGGGGGGACCCCATTTTGCGAAGTGGGCGGAGACGGAGGCGAGGAGTTGTTCGTCTGTGCGGGAGGCAGCGAGGGATGCAACGAAAAGGCAGGCGGAGGGTTTCGGGCGGTCACTCTTGGGAGGGGATTGAGCTGTGCGGGTGGCGGGGATTTGGTATTTGGCGTCGAGGAGTTCGCCGTCGGATGTAATTTCTCCCTCACTGTCGAGGTCCTTGTTGACAACATCATCCTTCTCGCTACCGGATGTGTTCAAAGCAAACACAGGCGGCAACACCTCATCCGTCTCATGCACCGTCGTCCTCCTCTTCGGACTCGGCGTTGGCGAACTCGGAGTCCTCAACACATTCGCCAACGAGGATGACTTCTTGTGGGTTTGTCCGACGGTGGTGGGCGGGGTGTCGGGGATATTGCCGCCATGGTGCTTGATAGGAGTGAGGAAAACGTCGTCGGGGGTGGAGACGTCGGAGGAGGTTGAGGAGGACGAGGGACCGCGTGAACGGCCACGGGGGAGGGCGGGGACGATGGGGGTTGCTGTTTGGGGGTTCATTGCTGTTGTCTTTCTGCAATAATATGTTAGCAGGGATAACGAGTGGAAAGGGAGAGAGTATGACAGGTACCTCGTGTATAGCTGTAGCTGACAGTTGTTGTGCAAAGTGTATCTGCCAAGAAAGCTCACCTACCAGAGAGTGATGACGAGTGGCTGAAAGCGTAACGTCGTGAGGAGTGTCCGGGGGGTGGGAGATGGACGGCCTTTTAAACCAAGACCAAGGTTCAACCTCAGCAGTTTCGAATGCAAACGAAAGAGCTGAGGTAATCACCCCCTGAACGTGAAAGTTGCATGGTCTCAAACATCTGAGTCTGCTGAGCTCCGTTCAAATGGGTTGGGAGGGGTAAGTTGAGCAAGGTTGTGTTATCGAATTCGAGGTTCGGTTGCAGGTAGGTGGGACATGGACGATGCCGAAGAGACAACACGACGTCAAAAGCGGCCTGTGTGCCGTTACGAATTTGATGGATGTTGGTTAGGAGGTCTGTGTGTAGACTGCTGATGCGATGGGGAGCGTGTTGGGCTTGGTGTGATGTTCGAGATATGAAGAGTGGAGCGCGATCTCCCCGTCCGTTAACGTTCGATTAACTTGTAGGGGTAGGTGTAGGTTTTGGATGGGATGTTGATATCGACAAAAAGACTCTTACAAACCAGCAGAATACCCTGAGTGAACGTTCCAACGAAGCCAGAGGTTGTTCGAATCAAGGTTTGGCGCTAGCGCGTTTACGTGTGATGGAACAGTTTGCCCCGCTGTTCCGTCTCTTCCCATCTGTGTCTGTCTTCTATCCATCGAAGTTGTTGGGCATCGGTGTAACGTAGATTTACTTTGTAGCCTGACATCTCTGAGCATGTCCTTGCGAGATTGACTGAACCTTGAGACTTCCTTACCCTCGTATTCTACTACATTGCGGCCCGAGCCCTGCGGTGTATCGAGGGCGTGACGGATGCGAGTCGATCAAAAATAAGGATAGGTACAGGCGAAAATGCGAATACATTGTCCTAACGAAAAAAAGACCAAAAGCTTTTGTATAGATGCTCTTTTTTCATAACTTCCATATGGATGTCTTGCGACCCAAGCTAAGATGCAACCCAATTAGTTATAGCGACGTGTACTTTGCAATGCAAATCACCACCCAAAAAACCACAACTCTTAGTAATACTATTCCTCCTTCTCCGTATTTTCTCCGCTGTTACCCCTAGCCATCCCCAATGCCGTCGTACCCGCCGCCGGCCTGACATACGGAGGCGAATTCCACTGTGCCGTCGTTCCCACCATAGCCTCCTGCTGCTGCTGCCGTCTGTAGAGTGTGACCGGTACATGACCAGTCGGCGACGCTAGCACTTGTATCTCACTTCCCTGCTGCATCTGATTCTGCCGAGGCAATTGCTGATGGACCCAATCTGCGACTTGGGCATGTTGAGCATGTTGAGCCTGTTGAGCACGTAAAGAAGCAGTGATTGTCTGTGGCGGCGGATAGCTCCCCAACATTCCCGTCTCCGCTCCCGTCTCCGGCGGTCGAATCACACCCGGCGGAGTCATACTCTCATCGCCTCCTTGGCCTGCTCCTCCTAGGCCTCTTCCTACCCCCGCCAGACCTGCTCCCGCAAGTCCACTTCCCTGGTTCATCCGCATCTGCTGCCACATTCCAACACTCCCCCTCAAGACCTCATTCTCCCCCCTCAACCCCTCCACTTCCTCAACCAACTCCCTCTGCCTCTCATTCATCTTCTCAAACTCCTTACACGCATACTCCACAATATCCCTCTTCCCCATCCGCGGTTGTGGGATTTGTAGGATTTGGCGGAGACGCTCGAAGGAGGATTTGAGGTCCATGCGGCGGCGGTGTTCGGAGACTGCGCGGGCACGTTTGATTTCGGGGGCGATGTCGGTCGGGTTGGTGAAGGTTGGGGTTGGTGAGGGTGCTTCTTCTTCTTGGGGGGAGAGGTCGGCGGTTTCGGAGGAGCGAGCGAGGGGGGAGTCTGGTGATAGGGCGAGGTATGGCGTTGACTTGACTCTTTTCAACCTCCTTGGACTCGGCGTCTCCGGTGTCCGCTCCCCGCTATGCTTCGAGCTAGACGCGAAACTCATCCCCGGAGACTGGAATAGCTCCATTGCGGTCGGTCGTGTAGGTGTCATCGTGAATGGCTGTAGACGCATTTCGGCAGCTTGACTGGAATGACGACCAAGCGATTGGACGGTGTTGGGACCGGAGACGTATCGTCGTAGACCGGGACGGGAGAGCGAGTTGTCGGAGGTGTTCCGCAGGTGAGAGGATCCGGACGTCGGGGTCTCCATTTGGTTGACAGCGCTAGCGTCGAGTGCAGTTGGTTGGTACGCTGCAAAAGAATCCATCGAGACAGGACTCGTCACGCTCCGCATGCGTGTTTGTGTCTGCGGAAAGGTGGTCGTTGCCCATGTATACGTCTGCTCCTGCGGAGTTCTCTGAAAAGGATTCTCCATGCCAGCAGGATGTGTAGTTGGACCATCGAACCCGTATCCTAAGCCCTGCGAAGCGAGACTGGACGATTGGGACGGAACGGCATCAGGCTGGTTGGTAGGTGAGCCATGGTCGTCGGAGTAGCCTTGTAACTGGTGCTGGTGTCGCGGTACAGGTACTGGTATTGGGTCTTGCGAGTAATCGGGGTTGGCTTGGCCATGGTTCACCGACTGACGCTGTTGCTGAGAAGGAGTCGTTGAATATGCATATTGCATCGAGGACCTTGAGCTTGGCGAAGGCTCTTGCATCGCTAACACCTGCTGCCTTTTTGGCCAAAAAAAAGTTGCGAAGTCAAAATATGGGCTGTTTGAGGTTTATGGTGTGGTGTGACAGTCGATCACCCGTAGTGAACCAGCGATTGTGTGAACCCAATTGCACCAAGGTTCAACTGGAATTGGCGAGTGATGTCTGGCAATTGGAATTGCAGCTGGTTGACCGGTTCACTTGCAATGGGGGAAGGAGTAAGGTTAGCGAGATATCTCCGGACGTGAACCGCTCCCGTGATATGGCAGCAGGCAGCTGGCAGCAACGGCAAGCAAGCAAGCAACCAGACTTCCTTACACCGGCACCGGGACTGCTACCCTTTCGAAAGAATGATGGACCAGCTGACAAGCCTTGGAACCTTGGGAGATCAGCAATCGCCTTCTCCCGTACTTTCGAAGAATGGAAATCTGAGGTATGAGACAACACCGAACCATGGCCCGCTGGCCATCAATCATCCATCTAGGTACTCGAGGCAATTTTACCGGCTATCCCACCCCCTTGCCGAGTCTGTCAATATATTAAAGTTTGCCGAGGAGGTTCGATATTGCTGGCATTCATCCGGTCCCCGCGGTGTAGATTTGAGTGTCACATTTTTCCTCCTGTTTTCCGGCCTTATCAACGACAGCTAACAGCTGCAATATGAGGTACTCGTTCACAAGCGTTACACTTGTATCCCTCGAAAAAGCTTCCGGCCTCAGACCCATTTGCAGTTGGTTGGGGATCCGGATATTGCTGGACTATATCGTATATTACCTCAGTCGCAGTCCGAGTGTTACGGCTCTAGATGAGACACGCCGAGTATCATGATTGTGAAGAACGATGGTACACTCAGCAGAAATCGGAGTGTACCGCAGTTGACTGTTCTTTGCCAGTACCTTCGGAGAAGAGTTCATGATACCAGCGCGGTCCGGTCAATTCGAACGGCCGGTGAGAAGGGCGGCCGCTTCTGACAGCTAACGGCCCGTCCGCAGGGGTTTGTCGGATGATTCTTTAGGGAACATACGGCAGATATTCGGATAAATGGTAAGTCAATGATGAGCCGGTTGATTCTGATATAATTGACAGTGATGAGTCAAAAACAACGTAAGTTCTGCGTCATTGGTGTAATGGTTAGCATTGAAGCCTTCCAAGCTTTAGTTCCTGGTTCGATTCCTGGATGACGCATGTTGTTTTGCTTCGCTCCAGCTTTTCTATGATCTCACGCTCAGACCCCGAGACGTGCACCGACGAGCAGCGGACTGACTCTGACAATTACTAGATTGATTCATGTCTCCATCATCACGAGACTTCATTGGTGGTGGCTCCCTACCTCAGCTGTACGCCGCTGAGAATACCGCAATGACCCAGGAGAGAGTCGGTCGTTTGCAAATCGCAGCACGCCCACCACAGGAACGGCACGATCATGAACACTTTGAATATCTACACGAAACTGCAATGCAAACATATTTCTCCAGGCAAGCTGCTATACTCCGCTTGAGGATGGTTGCCAGTCATTTAAGGCAGTGAGACCTGCTACGAACGGGATACGGCGGAGCAAGGTATCGCATTCCCAAGAAGCATAAAAGGGCGAAGCGGTACTGGCATTGGTTTTCTTTTGCTTCCCATGGGGTTCACATACAGGTTTTTTTCATGCGGAGTTGCGTTACCTGCATCTGGGGTCGTTCGGGGGTGGATTTAATATGATCGTGTTTGTCTACTATGCTATATAATCTATGCTGTCGAGAGTGCATCCTTTACCGCCTCGTACACGCCCAAGAAAATAGATCCACCAATACTGATCCAGGTAACTCTCGGTCCGATCCCCTTCAAGAATGCTTTAGGCCCTTCCTCCTTCATGATCTTCCCGGCCATCTCAAAAATCCCATGCTTCTCTTTCGCCAACATAAGACGTGTCTTAATAACATCAAACGGTGTAGTACACGCCGCCGCAAACCCACCCGCCATACTTCCAATCACCGCAGCCTCACCAGGACTGACCTTCTCCCGATTCGTCGCTTTCGCTCTCCATGACTTCGCGGCTTCATATATCGGAAACTGAATAATCGTGAATGGAATCTCACGGAACAACGTCGATCCCCATCCTCTGTATAATCCAAACACTCCTTCTGGGCTGGCGAGAACCGCGCGGAGAGCCTCGAGGGAGGAAGCGAATTGCGATGCTTGTGCACGCTGTTTGATGATCTCTGTTGGGACACGGACGGCGCAAGCTGCTGTCTCGGCGATGGAGGCGGAGATCATGTGTGCGATTGCTGGGTAGGATGTGAATATTGGTGTAAAAATCTTCTTTGATTCCTCGTATGTGACGAAGAAGAGAGCGGCTGTTCGGGACGAGTCAGATCAAGATCAGAAGAAGTAGTCATGCCGGATCAAGGATGAGCGTACCAGATGGTGCGCTACCGGCTACGACACTTCCAATGCCCTTGTAGACTCCGCTCCATCCTCCGTTGGCGAAGAATCCTCCTTTTGCTTGGAGACGGGTCTTGAGGGTGTCGAGGGGGAAGAGAGAGAGATCGACGGCGGTTCCAGCCGCTGCGCCTGCCTGTAGGTATCAATTAACGACCATTGAAAGACAGATAGGTCAAGCTCCACCTACCAGCAGGGATGTAGCGAATGTCGAAGGCATGCTGAACGGGTTCTGTTTTTGCTTTTCGCAGGGTTCACGTACGACTCGTACTTTTCGTACGCACGGTTGCGTCGCGTGCATCGTGCTGCATCTCGGGTCGAGGTCGTAAAAAGTTGACGGTGAATGCAAAGATATTTCCACATCGTTTACAGAACCTCTCGAACAGCAGCTCCTTCTCTCTATTTAAACTGCCGTCACCCAGTTCCTCACTTGCGATCTCTCAATACTTCACAGCCAATGTCTACACTCGAGGATCTTGTTAAGGCCAAGTACGATGAAGCCCTGGGTAAGTTCGGCGTTCAACGGGCCAGGCTCGGACTAATCAATGTGTGGCAGCTTCTGGAGAGCTCGTCTTCACTGAGTCTAGTGTCGGTGTTGTCGAGGAGAACCGTGTGAAGGTATTGCAAGCGAGTCACGCACGTCGCTCTGACAATACTGACATGCTCTGATACAGTACTCCATCCGCTGTGCACCCGGCCTGGCAACGAAGCCAGAAAAGAAGGATATCGACAAGGAGAAGACCGATGGAAAGCCCTTCAACCCCTTCCTCCCACCAAACCCCGCTCTTTTTGTACAGGAGATGGAACCGAAGCACACCGTTGTCCTCAACAAGTTCTGCATTGTTCCAAGACATTTCCTGTTAATCACCAAAGCATACGAAGACCAAACAAAACCTCTGAACCCCGCTGACCTCGAGGCAATCTGGAAGTGCTTCGAGGGTCTGAGGAGTAAGCACATGGCGTTCTACAATTGCGGTCCAGCCTCGGGAGCGAGTCAAGGACACAAGCACGTCCAATTCATCCCTCTGCCATCTGCGGATGAGTTCACCCCCTTCCCGGACGATATCGTGAGGGCGCAGTCTTCGAATGGTCCAGGGCTTGGGCAGCTGTTACAGCATGACGCTATCTCCTTCGAGCACTTCATCCTTCCTATCCCACGGAACCCGACACCTGATGATCTTGCAGAGATTTACGTCCACCTCCTCTCGCCGACGATTCAGGCATGTCGCATGGCCGATTGCAAGACTATCTCCTACAATGTCTGCATGACTCGTGACTGGATGTTCATGGCACCACGGGTAAACGAGGGTTGGGATGGATTAAGTTTTAACTCGACTGCGATGGTTGGTATGCTGCTCGTCAAGAGCGAGGTGGAGATGGAGAAGGTCAAGAAGGAAGGTCCTAGCAATATTTTGGCAAAGGTTGGTGTTGATAAGGGACAGGGAAATGAGGATCAGTCCGCTGCCCCCGATGGCGGGGCGCTCGCGTCTTGAAAGAGAAAGACCAGAGACAAAATAGCAGCACATAACTTACACAAAAAACTGGTATAACGAACGAATCCACGCACACGCACAATAAATAGCTCTATTCCCATGCCATGGCCATGCCCCTGGTTCCCATCTACCTTTTTCACGCACTCTCATCCTCATCCATCGTTAATTCTTCCACATAACAGCAGTTTATGGTCGAGACAGAACCTCGGCCTGCTCGGAGTCGCTGTACCCAAGCAAATACAAAATCGTCTGCAAGCTCTTCTCGTTAATCCTCGCCGGCGCCATCTGCTGCACCCTCGGCTTCGCATTAAACGCAACACCCAACCCAGCCTTCGCCAACATCCACAAATCATTCGCACCGTCTCCGACAGCGACTGTCTGTTCCAACTCTACGCCCTCGGCCTGCGCGATAACCTCCAACAACTCTGCCTTGCGCTCACCGTTAACGATCGCGCCGAATGTTTCACCGGTGAGAGTAAGACCATCGTTTGAGACGGCGAGTTGATTGGCGAAGGCGTAGTCGAGGCCGAGTTCGTGCTTGACGTATTTGGCAAGGGGGATGAATCCACCCGAGATGACAGCGAGCTTGAAGCCGAGACGCTTGAGGGCGCGGCAGAGGGCATGAGCACCGGGAGTGAAGGTGATACGTTGGCGGACAGCCTCGAAGACAGAGACGGGCAAACCCTTGAGGAGGGCGACACGACGCTTCAAGGATTCCGTGAAATCGATCTCACCGTTCATCGCGGACTCGGTGATAGCAGCGACCTGGTCCATCACACCAGCATAACGGGCGATCTCATCGATGACCTCCTGCTGGATAAGGGTAGAGTCCATATCGAAAACAACGAGACGCTTGTTGCGGCGGAAAACGTCGTTGACTTGGAGAGCGACATCGGTTGCGTTCTCACGAGAAAGCGCAAAGATTTCTTCGCGGAGAGCGACCACGTCACAGTCTGCGCTCACGGAGAGCTTGTAGTCGATACAACCGAGGTTCGCCTCAGTAAGTCGGGTCATGTCGTTGATGACAGCGTTGTACTTCCTGAGGAGAGTGGTCCATTGCTGGAGGAATTTGGGGGTAAGACCTTGGGTGGAGAGGACGGTGGCGGTGAAGTGGATGCGGCTTCCGGAGACAGCCTGGATGTTCTCTTCGGATTGTGCGGGGACCTCGAAGGAGAGGGAGAGCTTGTTCTTTTCCGCGGCGCTGACGACATCCTTGAAGACGTGGACATCAGTCGAGCGAAGAGCGACGATGGCACCGAAGGCGACACCCTTGCCAATGCAAGAGAAGGTGAAGTCCCTGATTTCGAGGTCATGCTCGGCGAGGCAGTCGACCACCACCTGAACGGCCTTCAAGTCTGTGTCACCACGCATCTGCAGGAGAACATCCTGCTTCTTTGCCCGACCACTGAAGAAGCCTTCAGGCAAGCTGTTCTTGAAGGAGGCGGGCTCCACATCGGGAGAGGATGCGCCATCTCTCATGATCTGATCCGCACCATCGACGTCACCAGACGCCGCGAGCTTGCCAGCAAGTGCCTCCTTCGCCTTCTGAAGTTCTTCGGACTTCAAGAAGGACATTGCTGAGCTGCGGTGCAAGTAGACCGGGGAGATGTGCAAACCGGACGCACGATCGTGCTTCTTGAGGATCTTGGCGAGGGCGGTGTAGTTCAACAACAACAACTCCTCGAGCTTAGTGACCCTTTGCACCAAATCGAAAAGGCTGTCGTCGAGAGGAGCGCTGTCGATTTCGGACTGAATGCTCTGGATAATGTGACTGAAGTATTCGTTCAGGTGTTTCGCTTCTTCATCAAGCTTGGCGAAGAAGTTGCCGCTCGCATAATCCAACGCCTTCAAGCGCGCAGAAATCGCTGGAGGGAAAGGATCGGAATCAGGAACGATAGTCCTGATACAGTGCTGCTGAACCTCGCGCTGGATGTAGTCGGTAAGGCCATTGTAATCGAGGATCGCAAGTTGCTGGTCCTCAGGCAACTCGTTGCGCTTTTCCTCTGCGACACGGTCAGCGAAGACGATCGACGAGACTGAATGTTAAAACTCACGGATCAGCTTTCCAAAACGAACCATGGTAATCTGGCCAGGTATACTTTTTTTTTTCTTGGGTTGCACGGACGCTGATCTGGCACACCTGCATAAGCCAACCGCCGCAGCCTCAGGCAGAAAGACAGAACCTTAATCTGAGCCCCACAGTTGGATGCAGCTGTTGAGGTGGGGGTCCTGGGAGGGATTGAGCAGGTGTATCTTCGAAGGGTGCGGAGATAACAAATGTGAGTTGAATATGCACAACTACTGGGTGAAAGGGTGCAAAAAGTAAAACGAGTGCGTCATCCAGGAATCGAACCAGGAACTAAAGCTTGGAAGGCTTCAATGCTAACCATTACACCAATGACGCAGAAGGTGAGTGTTCCGGGCGCATTCAAAACTGATTCACACTAAGAAAAAAGCTTCCTAAAATCATCGGGAAGTGAATTGTGCTGCCCACGCCTAGCAACGTTTGGTTTCATGTCGGGCTTGGGAAACTCGAGTGTGGTTTCTCGGTATTGGCGACTTCCTTGCACGCGCGTTTGTCACTTTTACACCACCAGAACGGGCACCGCGACGGGAATGATGAACGTGGACGACGTCTTTCAGGTCAGTATTGCTGCCGTATAATAACTACATAACTGCGGACGTGCTTCAAATGAAGAACATTCAGAGTTTGAATCAACTTGCCTTATGCGGCTTTTTGTTCCCGCGCCTGGGATGAGCCTGCGTTCCGATAACAGAAGCGTGAGATTGCGTGAGATATCCGTCAAATGATCGATAATAATATGAAGATGGTGTGCACGGGTGAATGAAGTGGAGAAGCATGATTGAAGTATGTGCACGCCGCATTACAGTGGGGTTCAAGAATGAAAAACGTAAAAAAAGCAAGGCGACGAGCCAGGATTGAACTGACGACCACCTGCACCCAAAGCAGGTATGATACCACTACACCATCGTCGCCGGTGCTGAAAGGGGTATGGCACAATTGTAATATGTACCCGTTTTCCTGAACAATGTCAACGATATCTTCTGTCACACGGTAAAGAAGCTCAATGCTTCACTAAGCAACCACAAGTATACTGTCGTCCAATATTTTGCCCAAACTGACACCGGCACTGACCGGCCAAGGTACTGAACGTCTCTTGTTTACAATTCGACAAACTGGGTCCGTCATGAATCTCAAGCTCGAGCTCATATGATCATGATGAGCGTCCATTGCTGTGACATTGTGCAGCGGAACTTCAAATGGCCTTCAATACCGCCCCGGCCAAATTTCACAGGCTATTCGTGTTGTAGAGGTGTATGGTACAGTTTTGTTTTTCACCTTAAACAGTTCAGAAGGACATCGGCCGACATCGGTGCCGCAGCGACGACACACACCAGCTGCTTGTAGGGGTGAAACCTTCGAAGTTCATGGCGAAAACTGCTTGATTTGGAGTTATAGCTCTGTAAATTCGTAATATGAAACGATGAACACAGCCCATCCATCACAGCAAATGCTTTTATCCGTTTGCCCTTAATATCGCTGCAAGCCTATCACTCCATGGCCACCGCACTCAACCTCCGCGGATACGCGCATACATCCCGTACACCACCAATACAATATCGATGGACGACCTTACCGACGAGCAGATCCTGGCTTTGACGCAAGACATCGTTGACAAGGAAGGCGAAAATGTTCCTCTTGTTGGACAGAAGAAACATATCTCGGCGCTGGCCGATGAGTTTGAGTGTGCAAGCCTGATATACCAATTGAAAGTCGAGGTGCGTAGGAGTGCCCTATCTCCAACTGGCAGTTGCTGAACTGAACCTGTGTAGGCGCTATCGCAGAAATATAGCAGCTACCGCAAGACTCGTGGGGATGGAAACTGCTTTTACCGCGGTAAGCATACATCCTACATAGGCCACGGGACGTCATTAACAAGTCATAGCATTCGCCATGGCTTACTTCGAGTCCATACTCACTCGGCCATCTCATAACGAACTCTCACGTATCGAATCAATCACCAAATCTACTCTCGACCCAGCTGGTTTCGAGCCCATCGCCTACGAGGATTTCGCCGATGTGACCTACGAGATCTTAGAAAGTCTCCCACACGCCGTGGAAGAAGATCTAGAACGACGTATGGCTACGCCGGAGGAGAGTAACGCTGTTGTAGTCCACCTCAGATTTCTTGCAAGTGCGTTCATGAAATTGCATCCGGAGGATTATGAAGCTTTCTTGGAAGAACCACTCCGAACTTTCTGTGAGAAGTATGTGGAGGCTGTTGGGAGGGAAGCCGACCATATCATGTACGTTTTGCCGCATTGTCTACTTGAGTGATGCTAACAAAGTGAAGGATTGCCGCTCTTGTCCGCGTGCTGGGTGTTGGCGTTGATGTTGTGTATCTGGATCAAGGAGAGGGACTCGAACCCTTCGTGCATGAGTTCCGTCCAGAAGGCAACGACGGTTCCGGTGTGGTGGTGAGGTTGCTCTACAGGTATATTCTCCTTCGGTTTGAAAGGCAAATCGTGATACTGACGGTATCTAGACCCGGACATTACGATATTCTATACACAGAATAAGACGACACACTCCGCATCCACCCCGCGTGACTTCTATCGCACAACCTATCAGCAGTTGTCCTTACCGCTTCCATACGCCCATATCATGCGCCAGTTGAATGCACCCCTTGATCGCAATCCTTTTTGTCGCCCCTTCTTCCTCGTCCTTCTTATTTGCCACTTTAAACTTTGTTTAATGCACGTGCGCGTCCCCACAGAAAACTCCCGCATCTCAAATAAGTGAACGACAGCGCCGCTCATCCTAGCCAACAAGAAATCAATAAGTCAAAATGGTACGGAGATTCCCTGATGAGGTTGTTGTCGTCGTCAGGAGCTGTTTCTCTGTCTGCTCGGTGTGCTCGGAGTTAGGCATCAGAATGGATGAATCGATGATTTGGTGTGCGGGTGGCGACTGCATGCACACCGGACGGGCGATGGGACAGTGTTGACGGACGACGACGAGCAACCCAGAGTTTCGAAAGATTTAAATAATTGACATTGTGCTTCAGGTTCTCGCTATCGACCTTCTTAACCCCTCCCCCGCCCACGAGGCCAAGCAGCACAAGCTCAAGCAGCTTGTCCAGGGCCCCCGCTCCTTCTTCATGGACGTCAAGTGCCCCGGATGCTTCAACATCACCACTGTACGTATTCCCTTTATTCGTTGAGGTTTGGAGGTTTCGGTGTGGATATGCGGTGTTGCGGAGGTGGAGGTTCGGACGAGTTGATGGGCATGGTTGGGCATGGATTCATTGGTTTGAGGAAAGCCACTACGAGGATGTTATTAGTGTAGTCTGCGAAAGCGGACGATGACCACTGCGTGCGCAGCTGTTATGGGAGGTGATACTCCCTAAGCCGCCCAGCTTGTGTCCATCCACTCGTCCAACTCCCACCCCGTTGCGCTTGCTGTCTACATCGAGCTGCCCGCTCATGGATTCGGTTCGCAACGATACTAATCCAATCCTTTAGGTCTTCTCCCACGCCCAGACCGTTGTCCTTTGCGGTTCGTGCGCCACTGTTCTCTGCCAGCCCACTGGTGGTAAGTGCCGCTTGACCGAGGGCTGCTCTTTCCGTCGCAAGCAGTAAATGTTTCCTTAATTGGGAACGTTTACCTGGCTAGGTGTGGTTGAGATGCAGTGTCAGTCATAACTGTCCGGTGTGGCAGGGTGGTTTTCTGTTTGTTGATGGGACTTGAGTGTGCTTCCGCATGGCGCTGACTACGCATGTGTCGAGGTCTCTTGTCTTTGGTTAGGATCAATCTTGGTGGTGATGTTTGATTTCTTATTTAGTTTTCAGCAAATGGATAAATCCTGTCGCCCGGAAATCTGCTCCGTCCCTATCCTGTCCAATCTCATCCTTTCTGCTCGTATGTGTGATGGAAGCCAACAGCTATCACGAATAGCTCACCCTCCATCTCTCCGTGTTCCGTATATTTGTTTCGTTGCCCGGGGTCCATCGACAGCAGGCCGTCCGTCCGGGGTTCCCCACACCGCGGTGGTGCTACGGCGGTGTGCCAATCGCAACTGCCGCAGCGTACGACGTCAGGGCTCCCCCAGGCCTCCTCCTCCAGCGTCATCCAACCAACAACATCCCTTATATACTCTCCGTCTACCAACTCCTGTAGTCCGGCTACCATCATCGAAGTATAACATGACAACATCCAGATCAATCAGCAGACTTGCAACCGCTCTCCCTCGCTTGACGCCAGCTTCTTTCGCTGTACGACCATTCACCTCAAAGACCGCCGACCTCTTCCCGAAGCGCAAAGCCTCTCTTCCGAACTTAGGGAATTTCCTCCCATGGACGAAGAACAAGTCGGATGATCCATCCAACCCAGGCGAGAAAGGCTCGGGAATCGTCTCGAGCTTGCTCTATGGGACGCCAGAGGCGCACGAGGACGCGAAAGTCTTGGAGCAAGGGTTCAGCAAGAAGTTAGGGAGAGGGAAGTACGTTCATGAGATTATTGAACATAAGGTGAAACCTGATAGAGTCGAGGAGTACCTTGAGTTGATGTGCGTGTCGAGTCCTCTCCCGTGATGAACAAGAACAAGTACTGACAACGACATGAAGTGAGAAGACCTATCCTAAACTTGCGGCCAACCCAGCCAATAATGCGCACCATGTCGGCTCATGGCGAACTGTTATCGGAGAACTCGACTCGTTCATCCATATCTGGGAATACAAGGGATACTCTGGCTATCATGAGACAATCCGCCGGTTGAATGAAGACCCAATGTACAGCGACTATCTCGAGACCATTCCCGCTTACATCAGCTCGCGCCACAATGACTTTATGCAAGAATTCGCGTTCTGGCCAACCTCGTCTCCTCGCACCATGGGCGGTGTCTTTGAACTTCGCACGTACGATCTTCGCCCGGGTAACCTCCTGCAGTGGGAAACCGCCTGGCGTCGAGGGTTGGAGTGCAGGAAGCAGGTCATGCAGCCTGTTGGTGCTTGGTTTACTCAGATGGGAAGGTTGAATCGCGTACACCATTTGTGGCAGTTTGAGAATTTGCAAACAAGGAAGAAGCAGAGGGAGGAGTGTTGGCAAATGGAGGGATGGGCTGAAACTGTACATGAAACGGTGCCGTTGATGGACAAGATGGAAAGTCGCATTTTAGTGCCATTGGACTTCTCGCCGTTGAAGTAGGCAAACTCGGAAGGCGGGTGTGTGGTGTATCATAACGTAGTTGGGACCCGTCTAACTCTTAGCGACCCAATGTATCAAAAATACCAGTTATATCACGTCAAGGTCCATTCGTGTCCCTCAATGACGTAAGAACCGCAAGTGTATCTTGGGTATCCCTGCTCAAGACGTTTGCCGCAACGGTCTCCTTGTCACCACAAAACTCCAACGTCATTATTGCCTTTGCCTCGACCTCCTCCATGATCCGCTTCAAACTGTCCTTCACAACTGAAGCATCAGCTTCCCCTTCAGAAATACCATCCATATACAGCTTGAGGCGCCTCAGTTCGGGTGTTCCCGGTGCCAACTGCGTGGGAGAAATGCGTGACAGCCGCAGAGCTACCAAGACTCGGAAAGACGGCCCATGCTGCGATATTGTGTAGTCACCGAAATAGCCCTCACGATCCAACCAATCCTTCTGTTCTTTTCCCAGCAAGGCAAGAACTTCGTCATCTATGCGCACTTCGTTGTACGGGTTGCCAGGTACTGCAAATCCATACTCCACTTGCAAAAAGCTATTCGGATGTTGGCCGTAACTCAAAAACACCTGCTCTCCAGGCTGATATGATCGTGTACTAATGACTTGAAAAGACGACGGCGTCAATTTGATCTCGACGTGGGGCTCAAGTGAATGGTTCAGGAAGTCCACCACTGGGGCTAGAGTCATGTTGTCTGCTTCGCTTGTGTTGGAAACCTTTGCGTATAGACAGCGTGTGTTCACACATAGCCACCAATAGACGAGATTCGTTCGTGATGGTGGCAGGCAGACATCAGGGTATGCTTCCAGGAAGGACTGTATGGCCGAGTAATCCTTCTCGAAATTCTGCAGTTGCTTATCCGACAACACTATAGCAGACGGTTAGGAAGATAAGCAGAGCTGTCTTTAAGAGAATGCTTACTTTGCGCAGCGCTCGACAAGTATTTTCGCCATTCTTCTTCCCAGCATAGCGGTGCTCCGGCAAAGTCCTCTACGAGAGGTAATGCATTAATGTAAGGCCTCAAAGTACTTTCGGGTCCCATCGAGTGTTCGACATAAAGATGCAAGGCCAAGAGCTGGTGCGCGGTCAAAGAGTGCTGCTTCAGGTGCTGGCCATATCGGGATTGCAGTGTTCGAATGTTGAGCAGTAAAGATGAAGGTAGACTAATCAGGACTTCACGCGGCTACTTGAAGGGGTGAGAAAGAGTGGATAATATCTCGAATTTGGTTGACGGACCTTTATTGGCTCTGTAGCCACCATTCCTCGGCCAGTATCTGCATACACTCGTCAGTCACGGTCAGACGACTCGAGATGGCACAACAGACCTTCAAACTCCCATGGAGCAATCTTATTGATCTTGCCACCATTCCTTGCCACCCATTCGAGTAAGTGCTCCGTCTTGGGGTCATTCACTATTGGTGCGGTCATCTGTTGTTGGTGTTTCTAAAAATAGAAATTTGGGAAGACTACGTTACAACGAACACGCCGCACAGCGTCTACTCATACAGCAAAACCGCCCCGCCGAACAATCAACTCAGCTCACCCATACACTTGAACACAGAGACACACCCACATTATCTTCTTCAATGCGACTAACGCTTCGCCTACCCGTGCCCTTAACATTCAAACGTTTTAACAGCACCACGGCTGCAAGAAAAGTGTTTCACATATCTTTTCCGGGGCAGATATCGTATCTCAAGGCCGGCGCGGCTCAGGACCTGATTGTCAGGCGGTTGTTAGATTACAAGGCTTCTCCATCAGCATTCGTCTTTGCAAATGGCCTCAATACAGCACCAACCGTGCCGTCAATAGTGATGACGATGCAGATGGAGCCTACGTACACCTGTGGTCGCAGGGAGAGAGGGACCGTCAGTGAAGAGCAGCGCATAGAGCTAGAGAATGGCGGTGTATTGGGCCAGGCGAAGTTTGTTGAAGCACAACGAGGAGGCCAGACCACATTTCATGGTCCTGGACAAATGGTTGCCTACCCTATCATTGACCTCAAGTCATTCAATGTACGTCGTTTCCACTCCACTTTATTCTCTGTTTCTGATGACACCGCAGATCACACCAAGATGCTACGTTTCAATGTTGGAAAAGGTATTAATATCTCTTTTCAATTCTTATTCTATCTCCGCACAAACAACAGAAAACACTGGGGTTTGGACAGATGAGGATCATAAGATTGCTGCCATTGGTATTCATGTCCGAAGGAATATTACGTCGCACGGAATTGCTCTGAATATTGACACGAACCTAGACTGGTTCAGGCGGATTGTAGCATGCGGTTTACCGGACAAGCAAACCACAACGATGAAAGAACAACTCGGAAGAGAAGTCTCTTTTCGCGATGTGGAGGGTGGCTTTGTCAAGGAGCTCGCACGGAAGCTGCATTGCAACATCAAGGACATAGTCACAGTGCCAATTGAGGAACTCGATGCTGGTATGGATGAGACTGCGTTCACCCTTGCAGTTCGGGAACTTCTGGAAACCAGAGGTGTGTTACCTACGAAGTCGCACACGTGATAGACAGAAACGGCATCACTACGGAACAATGAGGGCAACCACATAATATTAGACTTAGCCGTTCGTGGTATCTCCTAGACTCCGGATGGCAGTGACTTCTGCAACTCTCCATATGCCTCTCGCAACGCCGCATGTGCCTTCTGCAACTCTGCGTATTCCTTCTGCCAATCCGTGTCCCCCGACTCTTCTAGCGGGGGTCTATCCTTCCCCTGCAACATTTCATCCTGCAACCGTGCCTCTTCTGCCAAGATTTCTCTTTCAGAAAGATCCCTGCTGGTTTTCAGTCTAAACCGCGCTTTCACTAAATTCACCATCAAGTCGTTCACAGGTGTAGCTACGCCTGCGGCTTGTCCAAGGCGGACAATGTAACCGTTGATATAATCAATTTCTGTATCGCGCGAACGGTCGATATCTTGAAGCATCGATGACCTATTAAAGGCGGTAGACCTAGCAATGCTTTTGACCTTTGAATACACTCGGTCAGGATCAAACCGGTCACGAGAAGCTAGTTCTCTGAGACGGGGTGTTGACATGATGCAAGTAATCGCTTCGGTGACAATTGTCCGTATGATTGCCGACAACGGCCTGTTGACTAGAAGCTCACCATTCAAGCAATTAAAAAGTGCCGTGAGAGGATTGATACAGGCGTTCACGATCAGTTTCTCAAGCTGACTGTTCTGGGCGACATCCCATGCCTCCAAGTGGCACCCCAATATTGACGCTTGCTGAAGGGACGCAATCGTCCATGCCAGAGATTGCGTCCTGGGATTTTGTTTGAGGTCCGTAATTGAAGGGATTTGACCTTTTCCACGCCACTCTATGAATGGCGAAGGCACGATACCAAGGGACACCTTGCCCAATCCAGCATGGTTGATATGAAAGTGATCCTCTCCAGTCTTGACTGCGTGAGTAGTTGTACCAACTACGAAATTTGGCCTTCGCTGCGCATCTGGCCAGAATGACTGTATCACTTCGTCCAGTACACCCATGCCATTCTGTAGCAATACTACAGTACTTGATGGTGATAGTCGGGGAGCGACAAGTTCGACTGCTTCCAATGCGTGTATAGCTTTTGTCGTGACGATCAAGCTTTTGATATGAGGCCGTCTTGGTCCAGAGCGCAGGACTTTCGGATTATTCACCTCGACGTCAAGCCCGTTCCCCAGAATCGCTTCAGCATGCGAGTCCACCTTTATACCGCCGAGCCGCTGAAGGGCATCCGCCATCTTCTGTTTCCGAAGCAATAGCGTAACATTGGGTGGCGGCGGATGAGGTGGTAACCGTGGTACTCTCAAACAATGAGCTACTAGGCAGCCAATATTTCCTGCTCCAAGAATATGGATTTTATTCATTCCATGCGTGTCGCAGTTGCAGACGGGCCTATACTCGCATTCCCCGATCGATCGTACAGGTCTCGCGGCTATGAATTATCGTCCAGCAACGAGTTCGATGCCGTAGATTGTGTAAAGAGTGCGAAAATGCCGATGCACCGAGATGTATTGCTCAGTTCAGCAGCGGAAAAGAGGCCCGGAGGTGGCGAGGATGGCCGGGGAATGTCGTCTACTTAACCGCTTCAACGACGATACCCGGGACTTTTCGAAGTCGACCCTCGGCGCAGCGTGCAGGCGGAGGCAGGGGTGATCCCTAGCCACTCGAAATTACTGTATGGGAAGACAAAGTCAAAAATATCGAAACTTATAAGACGTTCGCAATGGCCGATACAGATGTCACTCCCCTCTTGAACAATCTTGTTGCCCAGATCGCCAACCTCGAAGCAACTCTGGCACCTCTGACAGGACATGCTGCCTCTTCCCCGGCCACTGCGTTACTCGAGACAACATCCAAGCTTCCCTTGTTAGACCGAGGGAAGTTATATGTGACTTTGACCTATGCAATTGATTCAATCATATTCTGTCAGTTGAACCCTAGTGTATCGCACGAAGCCTCCTGCTAACCGTGTAAACAGCATATCTCAAGACAAGAGGGACCGCAACGAAAGGTCACCCTATCGTGACTGAGCTCCAGCGCGCAAAACTATACATTCAAAAGCTCAAGGACGCAGAAAACCCGCCAGCACAGCGAAGTAACCCATTAGATAAGGATGCAGCGAACCGGTTCATCGCACATGGTCTCGCGGGGAATAACAGATACGATGCTCAGCGTGCCGAGTTGAGGGATAAGGAGCGCGCAAGTGCGAAACAACGTCTGCAAGCCCTTAATGAGAAGGGCAAGAGTTCGGATGCGAGTGGCACACATACGAAGTTCGAGGAGAGAGGAGTGGTGAAGCCGAAGGAGGACGAGGAGATGAAGGATGCATCAACGCCAACGTCGGATGATGGTGCTGCCAAGAAGACGAAGAAGCGGAAGAAGACGGCCGAGTCGGCGAACGGAGATAAGAAGAAGAGAGGCAAAGGTGCGAAGAAGGCATAAACCTATGAGGGTACGGCAGATGGAAAGGCTTCGGCACGTGAAGGAGAGGGTTGGAGACGGAATCATAGCATGGCACATGGGATCACTCGGCGTTAAGGATTTTGTTTGGGTTTCATCGGTCTCAGGAGAAGAAGCAACATTGATCTGTTCCCCGTTCTTACGACAGTGCACATGAGCCAGCTGATATTACACGCCCCCATCGCCTTGGCCAAAGGCAGTAAAAACATTGCATTACCAACCTTTCTCCAAAGGGTTTCCTTCCCTTCATCATCTCTCGATTTATGACAGCGGACGTCTTCCCCCGCAGGTCCGAGCTGCCTGAGCCTGCATGGCGCAGTTTTGACCGACCGACCTCATCGTTCCCGCAAGACAGCAACCCGTCACACATATCAAAGGTAACCAACGAACGACTCACTGGCTCTCGACAGTACCGTACTGATCAGATCCAACAGACTATGTTCGGCTACAAGAAGTACCCTACCCCCATCCTCCGCCCTCTGTGGCCTTTCTTCGCTGGAGGTACGATCTTCCCCTACAATTCAAATTCAGCATTGATGTGATTGCGATCTATCGCTTTCAATGCTGTTTTTTTTTGACTCACACCATTGTTGAATGCGGTCCTAATTTGACTCATAGGTGCCATCGTTGTCTTTGGTGTTAACTCTATCGCCGACGCCATGATGAAGTGTACGTACCCTTTTCAACCGTCCCCTCGAGTCGAGATTCTCAGTAAACCACTGGGATACACGATTAAACGGGAATTAGAGATCAATTGACTGATACCCTTTACTAGCTGACCAATACAAGGACGACCCCCGCAACCCCTACTTGAAGCGCGCTCAGAAGGAGGCCCACTAAGCGCTCGTTTTGCGAGGATTTTGGAAGTGTGGGAGTTGATGCTGTGTAGGATTTCAAGTGGTATAGAGGTTGTGTAAGGAGAATGAAAAATATCGATACCATGACCACCTATGCGGACGCGAGACGTGAATTCAATAAGTGAAGAATGTGCTGCTTCCTCCAGTATTGGCGTACTTTTTGTGTTGACCATGTGTTGACTGCTAAGATATACAGTTATTCATATGGTGTGACGACAGATAAACTACAAGTCTGTCTTACTCCTCCAGACTAAAGTCGACAGACCCGGTCTGCACTCTGACCACAACATCCCCCCTCCCTTGCCTCTGTCTCCTACCACCCCATATCTTCCTCCCAACCCATCCCATACTGTCATCCCCATCGATTTCGACACCCCGTGCGATTGCGTTCCCAACCCTTGAGCTCACATCAAAGGATCCCTGCCAGTCACGAGGATAGCTCAAAGCATAAGATCCAGCGCTCGCACCATGGAAAGCATGGACGTCGCGTGCAGAACCGCGGACGCGGATATCACCTGAACCAGCGGAGGTGAAGGTCTTGAGATCCGCCGAGTAATTGTAGTGAGATGAGGGTGGGAGGACGGTGATGTCCACGTCGATACTGCCTGCGTCGGACCTCAGATCTAGTGCAGAGCCCAATGCGAAATGTCCCGAGATTGATCCAGCATTTGCTCGAATTGATCCAGTAGTCATGAGGACTTTGGGAGGGACTCCGGCTCGTGAGCCATGTACTGAGCCTGCGGAGTTGTGCACCTCGACTTCGGCGATACTGATTTCTGCCGCTGAATCGAGATAGATGGACTGCACTGGGAAATCCAGCATCACATAAGGAAGGATGACCGACGGGGGAAGAGCAACCGTCGCCGAGATCTTCAAACGGTTACGGGAGTAACTTTCGCCCCAGCAACGGTTATCTTGCGGATGAGATGTCTTCAACACGACCTCCTCGGTGTTCGCTTCAATCCAGATCCTATCGACAAGGTCCGCTTCGGACATCTTCACCTCCCAATCGACGAGCATGGGATCGCCCTCGGCACCAGCAACGATCTCTACTTTGCCAAAGATGTGGCCGCAGAAGTTTCCGTAGTTCACGTTCCGGACCGTGAGACGAGATGAGGGTGAGAATGTTGTTTGAACGTGCTTTCCAGTCCATTCAAACGGAAGTTCATTGTTGTCTGAGCGATCAGGATTGGGACGATATGCGGATTCAGTATCCTGTGGACGCTCACTTGAGCTTGGCCGATCGGGGGAATGGTGAATGCCCTGTAACGCACCTGTGTTAGCATCCGACCGTCGAACACGACCAATACAGACGCGTTACCTGAGACCATTTAGGAATATAAGAAGCCATGTGAAAGAATAGCAACAGTCCGAAGACGACAGCAACGAGATAGAAGCGCACCGCACGGCGTGAGCTGGATGGATCGGAGCGGAAAGGATGATGAGCCCTGGGAAGAATGCGTTCTTCCGAAGCAGCTGTGTCTTTGTTCATCATCAAGTGATCTTGGGAGAGCAATGGTGAGTTGCCAAGACGAGTGCTCTTATAAGTCAGCGGCATAGCGACGGGTCGGGGCAGGATGTACTGATCCCCCACCCAGCAGGGTCCGCTGACGTGCGGTCACCAGACGGTCAACACGGTGCCGGCCCGCTTCTTGATCATGGCCCAGTCCAAGATGGCAGGTTGCTCCCCCAAATTGGAATTCATAGATGGTTTATCGTCTTGGACGGCTGGCAGTTGGTAGAATCCATTACGAGTCGTAACAGTCTCTTATCGATAAATGCAGAACACCCGACGGCGGTACATACAATGCTACGTCGTCACCGACTGAACAGTACGCAATAAACAATTGACAAGATGATGACTCGTCTTCTTCACAGGCAGAACCCCCCACCAGACTTACACAAAGCAGAACGGGATGCTGCACGCGCCGAGTTCATCTGGCTCCTCGAATCCATCCTCCCGCATACAACGAACACCCTCATCTCCGGCCTCCAAGAATGCGTCGCAATTCTCTCTTCCGAATCCTCAATCACCCTCGCTCTCTCATCCGCCCGCAGCGAGCAGCTCAAGGGATTCGTTGTACGGCGTGGAGACGAAATCGTCAAAACCGATATCCGGCTGAAGATGCCTACGTTTAATTCGGGGAGGGGGTATAAGCTTACGTTGACGCCGAGAGGAATTGGGCATAGGGAGGTTGAGAGCGAGCCACATCCGATTCCGCTTCCGCAGTATTCTGCCGCGAAGAGGATGATTTCGAGGGCTTTGGAGTTGGCTTCTTCGCCTGATTTTCTCTCGCCAGAGAAAGCATCATCGAACCTCTCGACGCTCGCAGAGCTACTGCATACGACACTTACGACTTTACGCTCACCAGACGCCCACACCCTCTTCCCCTATGCCGCCCTCTCAACGGACCTCCTGCCCTCCTCCCTCTCCCTCGACATCTTCCTGGCCGACGGCGCCGTCACCCTCGACCTCCGCTCCCTCCGCCTCTCTCCCAACCCATCCGATTTCACACACAAACAGCACTGGGCAATGGGATTCGGAAAAGTGAAGCATGAACCGCAGGGGGAGGTGTATCGGTATGCGGAGCAGTATGCGAAGGTTTTGGAGAGGGTTAGGGTTGAGAGTCAGGATCCGGGGTTGATGGCTGTTATGGTTAAGGTGAGTGTTTTGGAGGGGGCGGCGAGGCAGGCGAGGGAGAAGGTGGAGATTGCTGGGTGGGTTATGAGGGAGGGAAATGCTGAGTGAAAAACGCGTGACGACGCTTTACGCGTTATATGCCCAAGAATCCGGAGAACTAACCCCACTCGTCTGCGACCAAGGCGATGTCACATCGCTGGTATGTGATCGTCGATATGCATCGACTCAGAGCAAAGGTTGCTCCAAGAGTCGAGCCGGAAACGACTCCAGGATTGGGAGCACCTGCTGGAGGATTCAAAGCTGGCCTCCTCCGTGGCTTGAGACTCCCGACCGGTATACAAGATTGCACAAGGCGGGCAGCCTGCAACCCCATATCATGTCAAGTAAATATTATAATGAAATAGAAAACCCAAACTCCTAAACCTTTGAACCCAGTACTGATAATAACACGCACACCTTCAAGCCAAAGACTGCCCATGATTCTGCAAACCAAAGCCCATACTCATCCGCACCTGTCTCTCTTTTCTCTCCTGCTCAAGCTCGAGTCTTTCCACACTATATGCCAAGCGCTCTTTCCTGGCTTTCAACGTCCTCATCCTATCCTCCAACTCTCTTGATGCCGTTGCGGAAGTTCTTACAGGTCGAACAGGCGCTCTCGGCTTCACAGGCGGCTTCTGTTGTAGTCGTACCTCCTGTAGATCCATCTTTGATCTCAGTGCATACTCGCGTCGTTCAAGCCTATTTACCGACCCTTCAGCTCGGCGGAGGAGTTCCTGGACTTGTGGCCCGACTTCGGTTTCGAGGCTTTGGAGGGCAGCGGTGACTTCGCGTTCGGGGAGGAGCTCAAAGTGTCTGGCTGAGGAAAGGAGGTGTGCAATGCGAGGGAAGTCGTGGATTCCTGTGTCGAGTGTCGAGATTGATACGGAGAGGAGGTCGACGGAGGAGCGGAGGGAGGATATGCAGGATTCCAGAGAAGCGGAAGTGGAGTTTGCAGAGGAGCCCAATGTCGAAGGGCGAGAGTAACGGTGGTGGTCCATGGCCGAGTGATTGCTGGATGAATGCTCTTTCTTGTCCATTCGCGGTGTATGCTCTCGAGTAAACAATCGCGCGGGGTGTCGTGGGTAGGTTGCAGCATCAGCCACTCGTACACTGTGAGGCTGGGCGACGAATCTTGTCCCAGGCAAACACGCTGACCAGAGAAAACAGTCAACGTTACCGTAATGCTTGCTTCGAGGATTTGCTTGCGTTCAACGAGTCGGAAGGGTCTCTTGGCCAACGTCGCTCAAGCGCGGGCCGCTTCGACTGCTCCGGAGGCGAGTTTGGAGCAGCTTTTCAGGGATATCAGCGATGCTGTGGATAATCCTCTGGTTGAAGCGGGGTCCGCTGAGGAACAGGTCTTTATTCCGCGACGTACGCATCCCATCACACTGTTCGCGCGCTCTCGAATTGGACGAGTTGACCTTCCGGAGGATGTGATGGAGAAAGTGAACTCCATTATCAAGGATTCGGGTGTGAGCGGTCCAGAGATTCGTACCGCTGCCACAAACTTGTATGCGGAACTCAGAGAATCAGATGCGCCAGACACGACTGAATTCACCGATGCGCAAGCCGCCGCTTATCTGGCTGGGTTGATGCCTCATGTGTATGCCGCGACGTACACAGTGTTGACCGATCTGCGAAAACGGATGGGATCGGATTGGCGGCCTCAGAGTGTGTTGGATCTCGGAGTTGGCCCCGGAACAGCTGGACTTGTTTTTCGTGATGTGTTTGAGGGGATTGGAAGGGCTGAGGTTCATTACAGCGACATGGAGGATCACGACGCAGCAACACCACAAACCGAGCAACTGGAAGACCTGGCTAAGCTTATGGTCGTCGAGGGCAATCCGAAACTGCACAATCATGCGCGTACCCTTCATCAGGCTCAAATGTCGGGCTCGAAGAAGAGCACCACCGTTATTCCGCGATTGCCTGTGTCGACTATGGACTGGTATGACCTCGTGCTCGCCCCGCACATGATCCTTTCAAGTGCATTGGACGCCCGCGAACGGGATGACTTGGTCCGAGACCTGTGGAACAGGCGTGTCGCACCCGGCGGCATGATGGTCGTGTTGGAACGTGGTACACCCCAAGGTTTCGAGGCGGTCGCGCGTGCACGACAAGTCATCCTTCGCACAATCGAGAATAATGACGAAAAGGGTTACGTCGTTGCCCCATGTCCCCACGATAAGGAATGTCCTATGTTCGCGGGTGGACCGGATGAGCACAGAAGGGAGTGGTGTTCCTTTTCCCAAAGATTGTTTTCGCCGCCGTACTTGCAGAAGACGAAGCATGCACGGGATAATAACGAGGACGCAAAGTATTCGTACGTTGTTATCAGGAAGGGTGTTGAGCGGCCTGGAAACCCGGACCCGAAGGTGATTACGGTGGAGGACGCTGGTCCGGAGGCGACGGGGCTTTGGGCTGAGGAGACGTTGCGGGAAGCTGCAAACCACTGGCCACGTATCATCGTACCCCCGTTGAAGAAGCATGGGCACATCATCATGGATTCCTGTGCACCAACTGGTCGTCTGACCCGACTTATTGTCCCAAAGAGTCAAGGTAAGCAGGCATACCGCGATGCTCGCAAAGCCATGTGGGGTGACCTCTGGGCACTGGGCACGAAGAATAAGGGAGTGGCGAGGGATCTCAGACTATCACGCAGATCTCGCCTAAACCAGGGTAAGGAAGAGGACGTACCTAAGGATGAACAAGAGTCACCCGAGGATGAGGAGGAGCTGGCGGCTGCGATGGAAACGTTGAATAAGATGGATGAGGAGGAGCGGACGGGCAAGAAGAGCAGAGACGAGACTTCTGAAAAGGGAGGACTCAGAGACCTACGTGGTGACAGTAGGGACAACAAGAAGAGACGAGAATGGGTCAGGAAGACGATTGCTAAGGAGGCGAAGAAGGCGAAGAAGTCTGGGGCTCAGTTTGGAGTGAATTTGGGACGCAGAGATGCGACTGAGGAAGACAAGTAATCTTGGAAAGTGATTTGGCATAGGTTTACCTGGAGTTCTTTGCATAATTGATACACACTCGATTCTCACTCAATTTAACCTAGCATAAGCATGCTCAAGTGTGTCTGGTCTGCGGCAACTACTCTCATCTAACTGCCGTGGACCCTCGAGCCTTGCAATCTCGACCCAGTCGATCACAATACGAAACTACGGTTGATCCAACTCGTCATGTCTGGGAAACCACGGCATAACCTGCTACCTGTGCCTCTACTCGAGCTTCAGCTTTCGACAATCGACCTGCTTCTGTCCATGTTCTGTCTGCCAGGCGAAATCGAACAATCCGAATTTATTACTACAGCGATAGAAGATCTCCGATTTTACGTCGAAGATCCTGCTTCGACCTCGCGGCCACATTCCCAGTCGATTGACTTTGGGTTGAATGTGACTGTGGATCCAGATCATATCTTGGAGTTATTGATCAAGATTCCACTTACAGCAGAAGGAGCGAACTTGAACGACGGAGATGAACCACCGCTACCACTAATTTCACTGCGCTGTCCATCGTGGATGAATCGGAAGATGCATGCGGATCTGGTACAAAAAATGCCTGTTGACAGCCCAGATAGTGTCATGTTGGTTGTGGAATACCTGAAAGAGGCTGCTTCCGAATTTCTCGCCACAGAGGCGATTGCACCAGAGGGACGTCGTGGCGAGGTGAACCATGATGAAGGCGAGCTTGTACGCGCTTGGTTTTACTTGCAGTCACTGAGTACTCGAGAGAAGCGTAATGATATGGTAAATTGGGCGCCGGGCTATGGTCTGACAGGATTTGTTCTTGCTGGAAAGCCGGGAATTCTTTGTCTTGAAGGAACATCTGCAAATATTTCAGCATACATGTCTGAAATCAAGACCAAGTCTTGGTCTGATGTGCCATCGCATCAGAAGAAAGTATCGGAGAGGTATAGGGAACAGGGTCTGGGTGTGACCCGCGTTTTCCAAAGCATGACGGAGGTAACTGATGAGATTTCAAAGGGAGGGTTCAGAGGCAATCGAGGAGATATGACAGAAATTCGAGAGATGTTTGCAAAGGTTGGTCTGGAAGATATCTTTGCGGAGGTTGTCGGACTGTGAAATGCATGCGACCTACGAGGTATGAAGAGGTTATACGCGACATTGAATTCATAGAAACGTGGTGTCGATTACGATCACCATAATGTTATAATCCATATTTTCCCCCGACATCCAAACATCCTCAAAGCAATCTTGCCTCCCATGTACACGAATCCGACCGGCGGATCAGACTTCCTAATCCAAGCTCTTCAAAGTAGCCCGAGAGAACCTAGAACTCATTGCAGTCCCGATGCTGCCCCGATCTTTCCTCTGTCCAGTACCAGTAGTCTCCTCCCAATGCGCCCTGAGCTGATCCAACTCGCTCGCCAGAGAGTTTAGCATACCACTGGTGCGGTCCTTGTAAGAATCGCGATCCACCGTAGCCGCGTCAAGAGTCTGCGTCGACACAACACTTTGACGGTATGTATCAATGGAGTGCTCCATCCTATCCAGGAGTAGAGCAATCTTATCTTCGGCTTCTGAGGCACGGGCGTCCAAAGCAGTGTTCTCTGATTGGAGATTTGCGATGACAGCACGGGCCTCATGAAGCTCCTGTGTAGTGGCGGAATCATTGCCGCTGTCGGCAGCCCGGCCAAGACGCTCGTGCAGAGCATCACGTTCCTCATGCAAAGAAGCCAACTGCTCTCTCAGACTCTCGAGTTGACGCGTCACGCCTTCCATCTCAGAAGTATGGGCCTCCCTCAGGGCTTGCATTTGAACACTGTGGTCGTCTCTTAAAGCGGTAAGTTCAGCCTCAACCCGCTGTGACTGCTCATCTCTGACAACACCAATCGCAGACCTTTCCTTCAACCGTTCCACCTCATTTTGCAACCTTGTATTTGCCTGTTTGTACTTGGCCAATTCATCTTTCATTCGCCGCAACATTTTCTCCGTTCCCTTGACGTAATGCACAGCTGACTGATAATCGCTTTCCAACTGGCTCAGTCGCTCTCTATAACTTTGCGTACTCTCAGCCAACTCGGCCTCGGCTTCCGTAGCCCGTGTCTGCGCCCGCGCAAGACGTTCTTCCACCTCCATATTGGAGACATTCGAGTAATTGCTCTCCGTGCGTTGATGGCGGGATGCGGCAGCAGCTTGAGCCTCAAGTTCACGCTGGAACCTCAGGCTCTCCTCTAGCTTTGCTTCGAGCTCGCGCATGCGTTCAGAATGATCAGTGCTGGACGCATCGGGTCTTGGACTTGTCGGAGTCTGACCACGAGATCTGCGCTTGTCAAAACTGTTCGTCCTGTCGTGGCCTGACGCAGAAGGTCGCTCAGTGATGATCTCGCCCATAGCTTGGTTTTTGGCCTTGAGGGCCTCGAGTTCACGCTGTGATTCAGCCAACGTAGCGTTTAGGTCCGCGTGCTCCGTTTTGAGCGTCTGAAGCTCCTTCAAAGCCTGAGAAAGTCGAGACTTAGTGGCAACGCTATCGCTGCCAGCTCTGATACGCTGACTCTCAAGGGCGGAAACCCTCTCCAAGGCAGCAACAAGTTCTTGCGAAGCTTTATCCGCCATGAGCCGAACGTTCTCGTGGGAGACCTTGGTTTCGTCCAGCTGGCGCTGAAGGGCCTGGTGCATCCCAACTGACACGGACTCAGAAGCTGCATTGCCGCTGTCTTCTCGGGATCTTGACATCGATCGGCTAAGGCTCTGCAGAGCTTCGGCCCTTAATGCATTCGCTTCAGCCCTAGCAGCCTCCAACGACTTACGTAAATCTTCAGCCTGGGTGGTACCGCGCTCACTTTCGACCTTAACTTCTTCAAGCTCCGCCTTCAAGCGTGTGAACTCTGTTCTCAACTCGCTCTTGGATCGACGTTCCTCTTCGACAGCCCTTTCGGCCTCCTCTGCTCTGTTAGTGATCGTCAGGACGGCGGTGTTGATTGCTGCTATGGCAGATTCTTGTTCAGCGGCGCGATTGGTAGTCTCTTCTGCACGCTTGGAGATACTGTCAGCTTCGAGCCTCAAGCGATCTCGCTCAGACTCTGCGTCGATTCTGCGAGACACCTCTGTATGAGCTTCTTGCTCGGCCGAAACACACCTCTGCCTCCAGCTTTCCGACTCTGTCTTCAGCCGGTTATAACTCTCCTCGCCCCTTTCAACAACCTCTTTCGTGCTCTCCCAGGAGTTTTCAACCGCATTCCTAGCTTCCTTCTCGCTCTTCAGCTCATCACTGACCCTCTCTAGCTTCTCTTCGGCTGCTCGCTGCTCCTTAAAGGCAGCCGCAAGCTTCTTTCCCATCTCTGCCGCACGTTCGGCCTCAATGCGGTTGAATCCTTCCTGGTCATTGTTCAGAGCAGCCTCCCTTGCCGCACGGGCATACGCAGCCTCACTGAGCGCAGCCTCCTTAGCCCGCTCCGCATCCATAATCTTCCGCGCAGCGAGGGCCTTCTCTGCCTCCATAACTTTCTGAGCGTGCATCAGTTCTTCGCGTAGCGCAAGGAGAGATTGGGTAACCGATTGTTCCTGCTCTGCGGGTACCTTTTGTTCGGCACGAGCAGCCTGAACTTCAACAGTCAACCATGCATTCCGTCGCTTGAGCTCAACGAATTCCTGTTGGTTCCCGCCTGTAGCCGGTCGACTATTCATTACAGATCCAGGCTCAGATGCAGTACGATCTCTCCGCTCTTTCTGAACTCCATTCTGCATCTGTGCGAGTCTGGAATGTGTTCGTGGTTGAGCTTGCGACGACGGTGCCCGGGCAGGTGCCGCACCAACTACTGGCGACGATGGTCCAGGCGACTGCGTCGAGGGACGACCATTCTCCTTCGCGTTCTCTCCAAAGCTCGCTGCGCGGCCAAGCCGCTCCCTCTCGTTCATGGTCATCCTGAAGTGTTCGCTTGTGGGACTCAAGGTTGCGCCCTCGGCTTCTCTTAGGGAATCCAAACTCAACTTACGACCTTGTGCAGCCAATGACATCGTCATGGGTTCCATCGTTTGAATGCTCGGATTTCCAACGACAGGGGCGGACACTTTACGGTTAGTTGGCTGCTGCTGATGACCTATGGGAGGAGAGCGATATCCTGGCTGGGGAACTCCCGTTCTCGAAGTTGATCTTGGCTGAGGAAGACGCGATAACCGCGGCCCGCCAGACGGTGAGGCAGCGCTTCCCTCCTGATATTTCATCGTCGGGCTAGCTGCTCCAACACCGGCAGCCATCTGTCTTCCTTGTGCTAAGCCTAGACTCCCACTTCGCTGTCCGTCTGAAGGAGCTGCAGGGTATTTGATCTTCCCAGTGTCCAGGACATAGAGCCTTTCGGCCTCCCTTGCCGTCTCTGCATCTCCGGTGCCATCCAATACGCCCCGTTCACCACCAAGGACGGCTATTAAACTTCCAACAGCGGTAAGGGAATGTCCTGAACGCCCCTTTGGTTCTTCGCCCATATCCCGGAATGCGTACCATCGTCCTCTCATCGGGCCTTCCAGCTGAAGCGCGGCAAGACCTGGAACGTCTGCACCATCTTGACCACGTCCACCAAAGGTGTAAGCAACGCCTGCAACAACAGTTGTGCTGTGACCCTCTCGTGGGGTGGGCAGGTATCCAGTCGTGGTTAATTGCGTCCATTCCGTTGTGCGCGGATCGTAAACCCATGTATCGTTGTACCAAACGGTACCGTCGGTACCTCCGCCAATGTACAACTTATCATTGTGAACGACGGAAGAATGGTTCGTGCGAGCTGGAGGAATAGCTGTTCCGGGTGCGGTTGGTGCAAGTTCCCATCTCGATTTAGGGGTGTTGAGCTCATTAAGATCAAACGAAACCAAATCATTGAAGAAATACCCGTCGACCTGACCTCCAAACACGTACAGTCTACTTCCAAGAAGTGAGAGTGTATGCCCGTACCTTCCTGCTGGTCTAGCACCTGCCGGCGATAAATGCGCTTTGGACCAGGTCTTTGTTGTAGTGTTGAGCAAATGCAGATCTGTATCATGAGGAGTGGGGTCCACTTCGTCTTCTGCACCATCCAAAGTAACTTTGGTGTCACCTCCAAACACTATGAAAGCATTGCCGACCAGTGCAGCAGCGTGGCCGACACGACGACCCGGCGGCTCACCGAAGGTCTGCACAATGCGGACATCCCAGCCTAGCTTGGGATCCGATGGATGTGGTTTGAGAACCCATAAATCGTTGCGTGGTTTTGATCGGACGAGGCCTCCGAAGACGTGAACTTCGCCATTCGGCCCAGAAGTCGCTGGAGATGCATGCCCATATCGAGGGAAAGGGTGGGGAGTAGGCAAGGTGTAACTACTCCATGGGAAAGATGGGGTGCGTTGTGCTGGAACAACACTTGGTAAACGCTGTTTCGGCAGTTGTTGCGGTTGTTCGTCACGGTCCGCAGCTAAAGGAGCTTGAGCCTGAGGTGCGAATGCCGTGTTACCAGACGAGATTGGCGATGATGGAGTGTTGTGCGCAGCTATCAACGGAGAGGCTGAATGCTTGTCCTTGTGCTTGAACTTCGAGAATAATGACATTGCGACTGTTTCGCAATCTAGGACATCCCCTCCCTTCGAAGGTCAGATGGTTTTTCTCGGTGTTGACCTTTCTCAATTGAGACGCTCGGTTGACAGCGGACGTGTATGAACACTTGCCTGGAGCTGCCTCCTGCGCATGCGGCTATAGCTACGGGCTCGGTACTGCGCCAGCGGCCGCCTGCTGTAGGAACACGTACTTTACGCTGGCTGGATCTCTTGTTTTACAGCTACACTGCTACGGTAGACAGCAAAGCCTTGGACGTCTACGAGCTGCTTCGTGTGGTATGGCCGTTGCACTTGGGCTCTGGAGACCGCTGCCCTGCGGCTCCGGATTCGATGCACTCCTCGACGTCGCGCTTCACTGGGCGCAACGACGAATTGTACAAAACCACCCATGTTTGTATGTTGAAAGATTCCAATTTAAAATTCAACCTTGACTGTACTGTCTTCTTCTCTTGCTCGCTTCTTCAGCTGAACCTCCTCCTTCATGAGCCCTGACACGAAATCCCGGAAAAACTCTACATATGGCTTCAAGCTCGTTTTCTCCCAATCATCAATCTTCTCCGCATCCTCCTTGCCCTTCGTTTTCCACTCATCGATCTCTTTCAGCAACTGGGTGACAGTCGGCACACTTTCAGGGTCAAATTCTTCAGGTCTTCTGCTGTCAATCGGAACACAAACGCGTCCAGTCTTTGGGTGTACACAGAATGGCGACTTCAACAAGTGGTTCGTGTGCTTCGAGACTTCAGCGTCAAGCCTTGGGTAGGTGTACTCGAGCACGATATCCTGTTTTGCGTTCATCAATGCCTTGGTGTCCAAGGTTTTGGATGCTCCACTTGATGCTACGGCGTCAATATCCGCCCATTTGTTGATTGAAGGTCTCCCGGTATGCGCATTCCACTTCTTTCTCAGCGCGTCGCACAACTCCCTATCCGGCAAGAGACGCAACAGCTTCTCCGCTCCTTCCTCCTCTCGCCATGGGTCCTGTCCCTCTAATACTTGTCCGCGGAAATCATCCTTGAGGATGTCGAGACTGCGCTGTACCGAAGGATGTAATGGACGCTTCAGGTCGACTTTCTTTCCTGATTGCGATCCTCCCTTGATGACCTCCAAGAATGTCGCAATCGCGCGTCGCTTTGCATCATCCATATTTCGAGCTCTTTCATCACAGACCCAAGCATGTGCTCCTCTTCGACCAGAGTAAACCCATAGGATCTGTTCAAACCCAAAGTCATCGCGCAATGCTACATCAATCGTCTTGATAGCCATTGTAATAAAGCCCCAGCACTTTTTACACATCTCTGCGCCCGAACAACATGTGCGAATTTCGTCGTAATCAGTCATATCGATGTCAACGACAAACTCCTTTTCAATCGGACGAAATGCGGCTTTCCGTAGGGTTTTGCGGTCGCGAGGGTTGGCAGTGTAAACAGGACCAATCTCGAAACGTGATGGGTTGAGTTTCAGGACGTCCTTCTTCAAAGCAGCAGCATCGCTGAAAGCGAGGTATCGAAGGTATGCGTCGTTTTGCAGCGTGAATGCAAACTCTCTATGCGTAAAAGATTTCGTAGGTGATGGCGAGTGGTTCAGCCATTGAAAAAGGTAGCGGTAGGGAAACAAGCGGGAGTAGAAAGCAAGCATAACCTCTGGGTCCGAGTAAGAAGCTTGCAGCGGTAAAGGTTGCTGTGATATTTCTTCGGCCATGATATCGTCATCATCATCGAAGAGGTTCTCCAGTTCAGCTGTTGGGTCTGCCATGTCTGTTGCGTGCGGCACTGATTGTTGGTGTTGTCTTTCTCAATCGACGCGATTTGGGGAACGCGTCGCACAAATGCAATTGACGTGCAGGACGACGCCGTAGGATCGCACAACGAGAATCGAGCGTGGAGCCGTACGAGAGGTAGTCGTACGATGGGGCCGAGCGTAGAGCTGTGCGACGGGAGTAGTCGTACAATGGAGTCGAAGAGTTGTCGGAAAAGACCTCGGATTCGAGCTCGGTCTGAGCAGCTGCAGCCCGGTTAGTTAACGTTCTATGTTCAATCAGAGCGCGTTCTAGTATGGAGGTTATTGTTCAGGATAGCGAACAAGTTATGGCTAAAGCTGTTAATACATTCATTCGCTATGTTCCATTTTTAGCTATGACCTCCCACGTCTTCCCAATTTCCTTACCATATCCGCCTTGTTCATCGGCTTCCCATTCTTAGTATAAGTAGCTCCAAGTAACCTTAGACCCTTCTGGATTATGTTGGTGTTCTTTTGCTTGAGCTCACGGAGGGGGTAGTCCTTAAAGATTTTTGGAGGGTGTGCGGGGACTTGAACGGGTTCTCCGCTCTCTTCACCCTCGCCTTCTCTGCCCTCTCTGCTCTCTCCAGCCACAACTTCACATTTGGTATCTTATTCCTGCTGCTCAAGTGTAACGCTGACATCCGAAATGATTTGCCTTCGTCGCGGGTGTTGGCCATTCCGTCCATACTGTCTTGTTTGCCTCTTCATGAGGGCAGTGCAGATGGAGATCAGGAAGGTTGATCTTCCAAAGACATATCACTTGTGCCTGGCAAAGGTCACTGCAAGGTGGTCCGGCTGCCTGCCCCGCCCTGAGCATACGAACTCAGCGGCATCACTATGCTTCTTCAGGTATTCAGGCGTGAGAAGTGGTGTCTTACAATTGTAGACCCAGGCCTTTGCAAGCTTCTTCTTCAGCATACTCAGCTCTTGCACGAGTTCTCTTCCTGCATGTTCAGTCTCCAAGTACGTATTGCATGACTGTAGGACCTTCTTGCAAAGCTCCTTTCTGCTCATATTAGCCGACAACAACTCAACTGCCAGGTCTGCGATCTTCAAGCTGATGATGCTGACAGGTGATAATTTTCTTAAATCTGACAGGAGAATAATCAAATCTGTGGCGCTGTGGAGGAAAGAAAGGAACCACAAGAAGTGCCATGTCCGCTGATGCTTCGCTGACGTCGCCAGCAATCCATCTCTGGTTATAGAAGGCGAGAAACGGAACACCAATCTTGCTGGTGAACCTTTTTTCTGCAATCCCATAACCGTGAAGGAAGTTAGCTGCTGCCATAGACAAAACCAAATGACCCTAAGTCACAATCACAACTGGTTTGTTAAGACCAAGATACTGGGCTGCAAACTTCATACAAGCATCAACTCTTCCTTCACTGCCTGTGGAAACAGGTCATAGAAGGGAAACAGATGACCGGCAAAGGGATTCCTGTTCTCGTCTCCAGTTCCCCTCCCATGCCTGCATCCTCCATAGCGACCCCTGTGCAAGACGCCCGGCGTGTGCATGACCGGAGAAGAAGACTTTGCGCAATTCAAATCCTTCCTGTGTCAGATCTTTGCCTAAAGACAGGAGAACTTTCGAATATGGAGGGGTTGCCTGCTTGATCACTATCTATAATACCTTTTCATTCCATAATAGGTTCCCAAGAGCGGAAGACGTCAATGATAGCGAATTAGTATTGGGGAATCTGGGAAATCTTCAGAAAAACCGTGTCTTCTGCTTTGCATACAGTTGAAGGTTCTTTTCATCTGGTAAATTACCACAATAAGCGCCTCTGCCTTGTCGGTTCAAAAGATACTTCAGGCCAAATGTCAGGGATGGGTGTCGTGACTCCGGAAAGAATAACAACATTCGTTGACGTGACTGAAACGTATACCGAAGTGCTGACACGAGTCGGGCAGAGTCTATCCTTCTCCCGCATCTTCCTCAAGCTCAAGCCTCGCAAGCTGCTCTTCAATGGGGACCTCTTCACCTTCCTGAAAATCAAGCTCTGGCTGCTCAGCATCATACTCGTTTTCTCTCACTTCTTCAAGCTCCTCCTGCGTAGCATCAATCCCTGCCTCTTGCCCAGCCTTGAAATACGCCAAAAAAGCATGCAGCACCCCATTCTTCCTCTGTTGCATATCCTCAGCCGGTCTCGTCCAAGCAGTTTTGTTCTTCCAACCCTTACCAATGTACCTCAGCAAAATCCCCGACTCAGCTGTAAGGTGCGGCCTCGATTTAAGGTACTGCCTCCAAAGGACGGACTCTGTAAAGCTCTTCTCAGCAGCATCCTAAGCATCCAGGATAACCCTGAGTGTACCAACAGACAGTCTGAATGATCTTACATACAGCTCAGTGCAGTATTCTTGACAAATGCGCGTTTCATCTGCCCTGCGCAGGGTTGTCACCTCAACACCAGATCAGGGTAGCTAAAGGTCCTAGACCGTAAAGTGAAGTTGGCTATGGACAGTTCAGACTCCCAGCAGTTGATTGGTGTCCTCAAATCATCCGTAGCATCACTCTTCCTGCCGTTGTGACATCATCAGGTCTTTCGGTGGCGATGCGGATACTGCATACCCGTGCACCGCCGTGCATGTCTGTGCATACAACATCATCATGTTGAAGCTCATGCTGTTGAAGCTTATAGAAAGCCAAGGAAGCGAACACCATAGAACGCATTTGCAGTACATGTAATTCTGAGCTCCCTCTATTATATGGCACCCCACGCACTGCCATTGGTAGCTTATGGAGGGGCCTCAATCACAGCAAGCTGAACCTTCCCCCAACATGAGTATACACAATGGAGGTCTTAAAAGTGAAATGTGGGGACACTGCATCGTCTGTGTTGTTTGAAGGATCTTTGTGATTCCAAGTTTTGCTATTCGCGCACACTTGCATTTCGCGTAAAGAATTTTGCACATAGCATTAGAAGAACTGATGAGTTGCCTTATCAGCCAGTGAGTCTACATCCACTTTGTCGAGGTTGAAGAGTTGGAGCATGTCTACGTCTGTCAACTCCAAAGGATTCTCCAACAACTTCTTGTACAACTGTTTCTCATGGGACTGGAGTGCAAAGTTGAAAGCGTCCTTCGAGAACCCAGGGGTTGCAATATTATTGAAGGCCAATCTCTCTTGAATAGTGTCAAAGACGTCCTGATTGGCGCGAGAGCGTGCACTGGTTGTTCAGGACGTCTTGTATCCTTGTAGCTTGTCTGAAGGCCCACTCAGGCAGCGCTTGGAAGCGGCCGACGACGTGGCAGGGAGCACGAGCAACGAAGACGCGAAACCTAAGCCATAAAAGAAGAAAACGTGCACGCTAACTATGTATACCTATATACAGTACGTATCTACATCTATTTACATACGTGTCTCCTCTTATGTCCTCTCAATGGCCGTACCAATCGGGATGTGAAGAGTAACCATGATACATCCCAGGTAGTGTGCTGGGCACAGTAGGTGGAGGTCCACCTGCTGGAGCGTAAGGCCCAGGGTATTGTGCCGGCCCACTGATATATCCAGTCGGTGGACCAAAGCCAAGTGGTTAAGAAAATGGGTGTGGCAAGACCATCAGGGGAGCGACGGGGATAGTCCTTGGCGCAATGGAGTATGGTGCAAAGCGGTTTGTCGGGTGGAGAGCTTGACCTTGGGCTGGTTGCAATGGACGATGGATAGCCTGACTTTGCGAAGTTGTTTGTGGGACAGGTATCTGCGATTGAGATGACGTGATGAGCAGGGGGCATGTCGTTCGACTGTGACCCTCCTTACGACATACACCGCTTCTCCTTTCACTGGCCTATACCCTGAACTGAACACGTTCGTGAGCACCCGGTATCCTCTGAGATCAGCTTTGCGACGCCGATCCCCTCAAACTTGCTCTCGTAGGGGGTTCTCATATGAGCTCCCCAGCAACAGCCTCAGGTACAGGTACAGCTTCAGACGCCCCGGGAATAGTAATGCCCAAGTCGAGCCACCAGGGCCGGTGTACATCTTCCATAGTGAGTACTCCTCCTTCATCCAGAATGCGTGAGATGGTATGAGCACAAAGCAAGCCAAAGACCACCTTTGTGAATGATCGACAAGGTGGCAGTGAAACCCCGGTGTTAAGGGCTTGTGTCGCATAGGTGTATTGCTTTTTAATCTTGAGTAGCGCAAAAGCAGTCACTTTGTGATTGATAGCTGCAAAGAACACGTTGCATGACAGTGATGTAAGAACACTTCGTTTCTCTTGGGCAATTTGTGTGAGAATTGCATGATGTTGATTCCCCAAATATGTGCAGATGCGATCCCACAACATTACCAATGTATCCCTTCAGAGTGCTGTGACCACCTTCAAGCCCGAGAAGTCACTGCTGTTCCAAAATGAGTTACAACATCAACCCAGGGCGCGGCGAAGTACTCTTTGTAAGGGAGGAGGGTTCGTATGTAAGAGGCCATTCCCCGAGTCTCTTGTATTTACGATTCAGGTCTGCCAAGTTGTTGTCAAACTCTTCCTCGGTTGGAGAGTACATCAGTTGCCGGAATGCCGCATTGAAGGTGACCCAATCCTCAGTTGCGGGGAGAATAGGCCTGCGATTGGTGAGAACATTTTTCTCAATGTGCCAACGGCAAAGTAATTTCTTTGCAGCAGGGAATACTCGCTCAGTTGCTTTCATGAGACCAAGATCACAATCTGTAACCACCACATCTGGGGTGTAACTATTGACCATCTCGGAGTATATCTGAAGTGCCCACGGGTAGTCTGCTGCAGTCTCATGAGAGAGAAAACACAAGGCGGATGTGAACGTAGTGTTGCAACATGTCATCCCAACAATATAGAAGAGTGGCATCTGAAATCTGTTGGTCTTATACGTGCTATCCATGACAGAAACATTCCGAAAGTGCTGTGTGAAGGTGATGAACTGAGGGTGTGCAAAGATAAGCCCAGTAACATGATTGTCGTTGTCCAACTTCATTCTGAAGGGTAATCCTCGCTTCAGAAGCTCCTCCAGCAGAACTGCAATAGGGGTACGACCTGCCCTGAAGTCCTCTCCAATTTTGCGATTCGCATTGTAGACGTTGCGGAGGGTAAGTCTTTGTTTCCCCCTCCTTGTTGTTTGATCGTGGTCGCAACAGCTACAGCTGCAATTTGCTCGGGCGCGGTGGAAAGAACGGAATTCGCGGCGGCAATTTCAATCGGGGTCCTGATCATTCCACACCCCTAAATCTTCATTTCACACCCCCGCGCACTCACAATTTCAAAGATATCTCAACAGCCGTTGAACTTGGGAATACGGTAAGAGCGTAGAGAGATAGAGAGTAACTTTGTGAATATCCTGATACCTTTAACTCGCAGATTTCACTCCACCAGCTGCTGTACTCTGCCAAATACTGCTGAGATGTGATGTGCAGATTTAGGCATATATGCGCTGTGCCACACCAGCCGCGCTGAGAGGTGAGAAACAGTTGGTATCTTCTCCCAGGAACCTTCAAATCCGAATTTGAAGGTGGGAACGGATTCAGAGGACTTTTATCAATCTATATACTCTCTACCCTCCGAGATCCGATTTGTGGTTGGCGAGATATCCTGATTTTTTTTTGTTGGCGCGGGGGTGTGTTACGAAGAAAATGGGGTGTGCCAGGATCAGGACCCTTTCAATCGCCCGTGGTAGGGAGTACGATGCACGCGAATGCATGGGTTGCCGCCGCAACCAAGTACTGTAACGTGAGCTTATCACAAAGTATAAACTGAGGATCAAATATTGTCTTTATCCTAAAGGTCTGCGGCTTTCGGTTCTACGTGCCTCACAGGTTTGTTGTAATTTATGCTACTACGTCAGCTGCCCCGTACAACGACGTACGCGTACGTAGAACGTACCAGTCGACAGCCCCGGCAGAAGTAGACATCGACCCTTTACTTCCTCCATCGACACAATCCGCCATTAAACATGTCTGACGGCACTCTGCGTAAGGCAGATAAAGATTACTCCAAGATCTTGGATGAGCAATTGCCCGAAATCGAGGCCCAAGCTGCGGTTCGGCCGTTCCCATAACCTATTGCTGGATGTATGCTGACCAATTGATAGTCCAATGTTCAAAGCTCCCTCGAGCGCCTACTTTCCTTAGAGAAACAGACTCGTCAGGCGTCCGACGCACCATCAGTAACGAGACTGCTCCTATGCATCGCCCGTACCCTCCACGCACATGCACCATGGGAGACTTTGATCGATAATATCCTTCTCTTGACGAAGAAGCATGGCCAGCTTAAAGCGTCAATTACGGCTCTTGTACAAGAGTCCATGAAATACATCACCGGCTCCGCGCCTTACAACGACAAAGACATGAAGATGATCGATACCTTGCTCGGCGTAACCGAAGGCAAGATTTTTGTGGAGGTGGAGCGTGCTCGTCTTACCTTGATGAAGTCGAAGCACTCTGAAGCAAATGGCGACATCGAGAAGGCTGCCTCAGTATTATTGGACTTGCAGGTCGAGTCCTTCGGCTCTATGCCCCCGCGTGAAAAGCTTGAATTCATCCTTGAGCAAGTCCGTCTCTGTCTTGCAAGAGGTGATTACGACTTGGCCGCGATCACTGCTCGCAAAATTTCTACTAAACAGCTCGAAACTACTGAAACGACCGACCTTCGTCTCCGGTACTACGAGCTCGTCATCCGCATTGGATTGCATAATGACGCCTACCTCGATATCGCAAAACACTATCGTTCTGTTTCCCTGACAGACGCATTACCAGCTCAGCACGTTCTTGAGACGCTCCAGAGCGCAATCATGTTCTTGATTCTCGCTCCGTGGGACACCGAGTCCTCATCCCTCCTTGCCTCCGTTCTTGACACGACTGACATCGAGCGCCGCGCTCCTCTTTACGCTGAGCTGGGCCGTTGTTTCCTTCGCGGCGAGGTTATGCGCTGGCCATTGATTGAGCAGGCTTACGGACCTACTCTCCGGGAGACTGCAGTCTTCGGAGCCGCTCCGGATGGTAAGGGTGATGCGCGCTGGGATGTTCTGCGTGAACGTGTGACGGAGCATAACATCCGTACTCTCGCGAAGTACTATACTCGCTTGAGTCTGCCCCGCCTGTCTACTCTTCTTGATCTCCCTCCCGCAGCGGCCCTCGATGCGCTTTCTCGTACGGTCACTAGTGCTTCAAGTCCGGTATATGCCAGAGTCGACCGACCGGCCGGCATCGTTACTTTCGAGAAGAAGAAGGGCGGAAATGAAGTTCTAAACGAATGGAGTGCGAATGTCAAGTCTTTATTGTCTACAATTGGACGGGTGGGGGAGTTGATTGGAAAGGAAGAAGCGCTGGCGAGTGTGAGGAAGGCGAAGGCTGCGAATGCTTAATTCCAAATCATCAAGTGCAATACCAGGCAAACATAGTGTGGTTTGCAATATACCAGAAAAGAAATTTCTTGCAGTTGCCCTCTATCTGTCCAGCAGACCGATCACAATCTCGAGGGTATCCCTGTGTTTGCTACCCGCTTCCTTGCAGTACATCGTTGCCATTACGAGATTTTCTCCGCTAGTCCTTGAACAGCGCTGGATTCAACCTCAGCTTTGTCAACTTTGCCAACAACCCAGCCAACTGCAATAGCGTTCCAACACCTTCCAAAATTTTCATGTGCACCAGCCCAATTTCCTTGATGAACTCCAGCTTCTCGTATTCCGCCATTTGATCCATGTTCTTCGCCACCCTAAACATAGTAGTCACAATGTCTACCGCGGAATAACCTTTATCCCACAACTCCCGCAGAGTCTCCAGCGCTGGATCGATTTGACCCCGATGACAGGCGAGGAGAAGAGATTGCACGGCAATGGGATGAGGCTGATCGCAAACTTTGAAGACATTGTCGGCAGAAACGAATCCGAATCCAGCAACCGTAGATTGCAAGTTATTGACTGCTTGTCGCATATCACCCTCCGCCGAGAAAATCAATGCTGCCAGGCCGTCTTCGGAGTATTTAACATCTTCACTCTCACAGATTTGCTTGATTCGCCGCAGAAGCTGTCCTTCTGCTAGTCTTGAATATCTGAGGATTGCACATCTTGACTGAATAGGCTCGATAATCTTGTTGCTTTGGTTGCAGGCTAGGGCGAATCGTGTTGTTGAAGAGTAGATTTCCATCGTCCGACGGAGAGCTTGCTGAGCGCCAGCAGTCATCGAGTCGGCTTCATCGAGAATAATAATCTTGTGACGTCCACGCGGCAGGTTGACCTTCTTCTGAGCAAAAGTTTTGATGCGGTTGCGGACAACGTCGATTCCTCTAAGGTACTAATCAGTATCATGCTCACTGATGGCCGTATGGAGCCTACCTCTCGTCAGACGCATTCAATTCCAGAACACCTTCCTTGTACACCGGGCCGAGGAGCGCATGTGCCAAACACAGGATGGATGTCGTCTTTCCAATTCCAGGCATACCGGAGATGATGATATGAGGCATGTTTCCATCTTTCGCGATCACCTTGAGTCTCTCGATCGTTTCCTCGTTCCCGACAACATCATCCAGAGTTTGAGGCCGGTACTTTTCCACCCTGCGAACATGGAAACGCGGTCAGTGGATGACGAGTGGGGAAAGGAGTGTAATACCAACCATGGAAGTTCATATGGTTGAGCGGATAGGCTTGCACTCTGCTTTCCTATCGAAGATTCGCCGTTTGAATGGGCTGCGACGGACATTACGCCAATTGTCGAATGCTAATGCTCCAGGTATCTCCCCGAGACCGAGGAGGACGCGACCGCGTACAGCACAACACGTGACTTTACAAACGTTTTTGAAGACGTTCTCGTAAGATGTTTTATCATGTCTTCAGTAAGTATCCAAACCAAAAGACACCTCTGGAATTTCCAGACCGTCCAACCACTCGACCGGCCAACCACCGTCCACCAAATCTGGTCGTGCAGCAACTCGCAGTGCAAGTGCTTACTACGCAGGCGACCAGGATCAACCTCTTCGAACGCAATCATCGCCGCAATGTCTCTCCTTCGTTCGATCCGGACGGCGTCTCGCTCATACAGGAACTTTTCTTCCTCCGCTGTATCACAGTCTGATGCGCTCTTCGTGCACCGCAACACTGCCCACAACAACCCTTCGATCAAGTTCGAGTTCAACGCAGACAACTTGAAGAAAGCTGAGGTCATCATCTCGAGGTATCCGAAACAATACAAGAAGGCCGCTATCATCCCTCTCCTTGACTTGGGACAGAGACAACTGGGATGGACGAGCTTGAGTGTAATGGATGAGGTTGCGAGAATCGTGGGAGTACCAAAAATGCGTGTATACGGTATAGTCTCATCTCCTCTTCCAACTACCTTGCATCTGACTGGTATCGGAACGTACAGAGGTTGCCACCTTCTACACTATGTTCAATCGCGAGCCTCTCGGCAAGCACTTCGTCCAAGTCTGCACCACAACCCCCTGCCAGCTCGGTGGCTGCGGCTCAGATGCTATCGTCAACGCCCTGAAATCCCACCTCAAGCTCTCATCCATTCCCGCTACCACCCCCGATAACCTCTTCACTGTCGTCGAGGTGGAATGCGCCGGAGCGTGTGTGAACGCTCCCGTCGTTGCGATCGGTGATGACTACTACGAGGATTTGACGCCGAAGACTATGATTGATGTGATTGAGGCTTACAAAAAGGGTGAGAAGCCAAAGGCTGGCCCGCAGGGTGGAGAGGTCCCACTTAGGGAGAGCTGTGAGCCCTATGGCAACAAGACTACGTTGACGGAGAAGCCTTATGGTCCTGGTGACTTTGTGAGGGCAGATCTGTAGAGGGCTGTGCATGGATGAAGGAGTGCGGTTACGATATATGGGAACGAAAAGTTTAAACGTGGATGTTAATAGCGTGAAAAGACATTCAACTTCACGAAGTCAATAATGCAATGATACCATGCGGCATATGCACCGGCGGTAGCTTCAGTTTGTGTACTGGCGCCAACGATTTCACTTCTCCGCTTCAGTCCTGTACCTGGTATAGGCAACGACTGTATATCTCGAAACCGTGTTGCGCCGCGTGAGGATGGCTTTAATATAGGTGGACTTTTAATTCAGTGTAAGCTCGCGCGGCAAGCGATGAGTTCCCGATTGCCGTGGAAAGTGCTGGTAATATTAATGATACCAAAGTTTGTGTATTCATCGATCCGATATTCTAACCGCGACTATAGCTACCCTACGAGCCCCCCGAATTCGACTGTCACGAATACTTCATTCGTGATTGCACAAATATGGAATAACATATTCCACTTCCAGCAAAGGCACTCAAATAAATCATTCAACTGTATGAAAAACACGAATAAAGTGGGGAAGTATTCAAGTAGAGTAGAATTCCAATTCATGGAACACGAATACCTTATTTAACGGTTTGGATCGTGAGGTCGGCTAAATTTCATGGGTCTTTGAGGGTCTTTGAGGGTCTTTGAGGTTCTTTGAGGTTCTTTGAGGGAGGAGGGTCTTTGAGGGTTGAGAGTCTTCGCGGATCAAGGGTGGAGGGTCTTTGATGGATTGACGAGGATCAATGGTCTTTGGTGGCGGTTCTTTGGCCTGCGCCTCATGAGAGTGACATGTGAGCACTGCTGATGCGCTGGCAAATTTCACCAAGTCCTCAGCACTAACCAGGAACCCACCACCATCAACGTCTCAATCTCCCTGGGTGTCTCACGACTGACTGACGAAAGAATCGAATCCTACACCTCCCTGGTCCTCTCCCATCGATATACGAGTCCCTGGCTCTCTCCCATCGAGATCACCAACTTCTACACCTCCCTGGTCCTCTCCCATCTGTTCTCCCGATGCTATGGTTTGTATCGTCTCAACCCAAACTGGGCACATGATTGCTGTTGCTGAAAGGTTAACATAATGGTTGTTTAATCTCAACACTCTTGCTTGATGTCTCCTCTTATTCGGGTGAGTCCCGCACTTTGTTGACAGCAACAGTAAAACGACTTTTCATCAGTTTTTACTAACCCGCCCTGACCCAATGGCAATGAAGATTTGTGGTAGGAAACATCCCAAAAAGAAGACCTTGCGCACTTCAGGAGCATCAAATCGATATACGTCCAATCGCAGTTTCCAAAATGATCCGGAGTTTGACGTTGACGATGATGATGACGATGACAATGATGAACTTGTTTCGGCTGAGTGGACAAAGGAGAAATGAGAGGAAGCGTCATGGTATGCATATGTGCGTTGACAGTGGGAATTGAGGCAAGGTTGGGCTTCTGAAATTTTCGGGTCTTATTCAAGTTTCAACAATATCAATGGGCCTAGATTGATAACCTGTGATAGATGGGACCAATGAACGTCACGTCTGTGCAGTGTACAGTCATGAGATAGAACAGTATAACAGTGTAGTGGTGGTAAATCGTATAAAAAATCATACTTTCAAAACGAATTGTAAATCCAGATTGTGCCCAGAATATCCCACGAACTTGAATAAATCTACTCGTGGTACTGGATAATTTTATTCGTGTTTTATAATCGTGTTTGGTAGAATTTGGGGGTCTCGTTGGGTAAGGTTTTATTGCCTTCATCATGAAGATAGCATATAACAAGAATAATACAATTCTCTTTCCTCATATCTCCTCGCCTTTTGCTTCAAGGATACTGTGCATTTTGCTCCATGATTTCTACCTTTTCCCACATCTTTTCTGTAATTTTGCACGATGGGTTTGATATATTTTCTGGAGTTTTCCCTGACAAAACATGGAATTAAGAACAACTTCATCAAAGGTTGAACCTGGTTTTGCCAGGCAAAACAGTCTTATGCCCTGGCCTACGTATCTGAGGATCATAGAGAAAGTCAGAATAATGCCATATATTATTACTGCGTTGTGAGTATTCTGAATAGGCATGGGAGCAGTACTTTTGGTCCTGTAATCAAGCATGTTAGGACAAGCTTAAATGGTCATGGTAGGAAGTCTCTTCCATACCCGGCCTGGCCCTACGAAGGTAAAAGTTATGGATTACTAGGTCGGGTTTAATCCATCATCGTATTTTGGATAATAATACCCTTGGAAACCATGACGTGGATTGGCTTGATTCTGGATGAGTCCAGGCATAATCCATGATCATCCAGGATATGATTCTGAATGATGCACGATGAGATTGGGCTTAATCGCAAGTTTTATCAAGGAATATCCTAGAAATAATGATGGAAAATGGTTAGAAGGATGAAAGAAATTCAGAGTATTATTCGTCCAAAAGAGCTAGATTATCAGGTAAAAGAGACTTACTTTGAGTATCCCCGTTATATTTCCCTTCGTAGAGACATTGCATAAGGATAAAGAATATAGCTTTCTCATAGCCCTCATACATTCGCAGAAATCATAACTACAAAATCCCGTTCAATCCATGATTCGAAATCATGAAAATCCGCAATCGTGTTCTGGAAACTGTGGCCCAAAAACGTCGGCGACGACGAGCGTAGAAATTCTAACTCGCCAAAATTGAAGGAGATAGACCAAGAGGAACTCAATGGGATATAAAAGGCGATGTTTTAAACTACTCTACTTACTCTCGGCCTGTTCTGACTTGATCTGAGTACTTGGTGATGTCATATCTGGGAATAATGTTATCTGCGGCACAGCTGCAGAGCACCGTGTTCTCAAACCCCCACACCCAACATGCCAGATCCCAACATAGAAGACATCCCATACAGCGAGCTTTCGCATGAAGAGAGAACATATCATCGTGCTCAGATTGTGGCGCTCACAAAAGCCGAAATCCCAAAGGAGAAGATCGAGGAGCAGTATCTTGTCAAGAGAAGGACACTGGACGATATCACTAACCGTTGGTGGAAGACAGCCTCCTACCGCGACAGCCCTCGTTCTGGACGCCCTCAGATCCTTTCCAATCGCGATAAGGACGAGCTCACCCGCAGTGTTCGCACTGGGAAGTACAACAACAACGCTGTGGAAGCTGCTGCTGCCTTCAATTATGGTCACCAAAGGGATGTTTCAACAGAGACGGTACACTTGTTACTGCTCAAAAGCGGAGCGAAGTGTGTTACATAGAAGAGGAAACCGTTTCTGTCGGTTGCGGCTCGGGAAAGGCGTTACCAATGGGCAAAGGAGCACTTGCACTGGAGGACGGAGGACTGGATGCGGATCATCTACACCGACGAATCGAAATACCGGCGTTCTGGGCCAGGACATGTTGCAAAATAGGGAGAATGAATTCATTCCTCGGATGCATTCTGGTGGTGGGAGTATCTTCGTGTTTGGTGGAATGTGCTGGTGGGGGGCCATAAAACTCGTTCGTTCGCAGGTCCCAACGGTCGGCAAGTTCGTGATGCGTGACTTCGTTGAAGAATTTCTACTTCTCAAGCTTCAGGAGTTCAGAGAATCCCACATCAAGCTCACAATCCAACATGACAACAATGCCAAGTTTCACGTGCCCAACTGCAAAGAATCCTACGAAAGGGAGGGATACAGAGTCCTACCCTGGCCGGCATACTCACCTGATATGAACCTCATTGAGGACTTTTGAGGACTTGTGGTGCCTGATCTCCAGACGCCTGGAAAAGCGAGCTGCGGTTGCAAATGACCTCGATGAACTATGGGAGTGGACATTGGAGGAATGGGAAAAGATTCCACTTGAATACCTCCGGAAGCTCATTGAATCGATGCCCCCAGAGGGTGAAGGACCTGTACGATGTAAAGGGGGGTCATACAAGAGGCATTCAGGTTTACTTGTGAGACTGGGGAGGGAGGTGTTGGATGGAGCCGGTGGGGCACTCAGGAATGACCCCCGCGAATACTATAGTTAGGCAGTTCTCCTCTTAAAGATGTGTTTATTTTGCTTTAAATCAGACGTTTTTTCAAATTGTTTCAGCGAATTTTCAACTTCTAACTTTACCGGCTTCCTCGCTGGCCCTCACGGCCGACTTTTCTGGTCTACGGTAATTGCAATAAAGTCCATGCCGGTAGCGTTCTTGGTTTGTTCATCCCTGAAGGGTTGTGAATCGTAATCCAGGGGACCTCTGTCGGGCTTAATCCATGGTTCTGTTTGGGATTGCTGCGTGGATCGTAATTCATGACAGCTTGTGTACAAATCCCTGTCAAAACCAATCGTGGACAAGAAAAGTGAAATTAATCATTGTTTTTTGGCATGGATTATGCCTGATTTTCTCAGGCTTTCGCGCACCGATTGCTTGATTTAATCAAGCATAATCCATGATTTTCTTGGGTTTAATCTATGATCCTATCATGTGAGATTCTTGAAAAATCAGGAAAATTGCTACAAATTGGAGGCAAAAATGCGAGAAAATCAAGTGTATTATGACTATCCTAATGACCGCGGTAGCACTATCATAGGTCTGTGACTGAACATATTAGCATAAGCTCACCCAAAAAGAAGTATCGTCTATCATACCTGACTTTGATTTTGTTTGTGGTGACTTAGAAGATTTTCCAAAAATTCCCAAGTGGTGGGGGGGCTACGGTTTATATGTTCGCATTTCTGCACAACCACATACAGTCACCCACTAAACCAATAGGAAAGCCGTGAAGTCATCATGCTGTCATGTATGCTAATCAAGTCTATGTGTGATGCCATAAACTGCGGAATTTCTTTCCAGGCCGTAATTCATGATAACGTCAAGGACTATGATCCATGTTTCCGTCGTGGTCTTTGCTTAGATGTAAACCACGCTAACTTCCGTTATCCATGTGTAATCCTTGCCTGGTCCATGATTTTCACATGGATTACACATTTTCTTAGGACTGAATGGGTTTAATCCTTGACAACTCGCATCATAGGGAATTCACGACAAATCCTAGACAAATCCACCAGAGCATCATGGATAATGCGCTTGCATAAGTTTGAGGGATTTGGGTTTAATCTACGATTTAGACATTCAAAGAGTATCATGAGGCCCAACTTCGAGCTCACGTCAATCGGATAAGCACTAGCTATAGGTAATATAATATGTATATAAACAGGTACATGTGGTCTGAAGCCGAGTAATTAATATTGTACATGTATTCCACCCGCGCCGTGTACAAGTGCGCGCCGGCTAATATTGTGCTAGTCCAAGGGTGCCCACACACGTAAGTTTCATCTGTAGATGGGTCGCATTTAAACGAAAGCCTCTTTCGATTAATCAACGTATAATCGGTATCTGACTACCCTTTTAGAAATGGGCTACCAGCTGGTTTTGCCAAGTGTAAAGGCCAGTTATGTATGGCCCAGCTCGGCCCGCCTATTTCCAGCCATAGCCTCCCTTCGCTGCCAGCACAATGGCCTTCATGAAATTGAACTGCGCGTACAATGGTTGTGAGTAGCACATGTCATACCACCAATTGACAGCTATAACCTTTCCTTCCTCATCACTCCGCTGTCCAACATGGTGGAACCATAATGCGGGGAGGTATAGCACCTCACCTGGTTGTAAGTCCACTCGTAACGGCCGACAAAACTCGGAAAACGTGGGACTCTGCTCCGGTGCCGTGGGGTCAACACATAACCACGGAATGGACAGGGGCGGCGAATCTGGCACAACAGCAAGCTTATCGTTGGCTACAGGCTGATACGTGGCTGTCGGTAGCAGCCGTTCATCAAGGCAATAAAATTCCCAGGGTGGAATCAGTGTAAATGTCTTGACGCCGGCAATTTGACAGTAAAGGTTCTCATAGGGATCTAATGCCAGTAGAATCAGCGAATTGTAGCAGCGGCACAAAAGTGGGCTCTGTAATTACCTTTGTGTAAGCTTGTGACACTTTCGGAATTGCCGATCCAAATGTTGGCTGCGTCTGCTGCTGAACCGAACACCTCCTTTGCCCAGTCGAATTCCAACACATCATGCTGAAGCGTCGAGAACTCCGTCGCCAGATTACCATTCTAGGCCGAGTTAGTCCATTCAATGCTGACACGAGATTACATACATACTTGAGTTTGGACGTACTTCACATTGCCCTCACGACTTCCCTTATGGCGGCTTTCCAGCCAGTCGAAGACACTGTTCAGAGGTTGAACGCTAACATACGGCTGCACGAAATGATCGCCGACTACGGAGTCAGCATTACTACAGCATGTTTAGTACACAATATGACTGGCGAAGTTCCTCGTATACCCAGATGGTGTTTCTGCAACATCTACCATGGTGTGGCCAACTTTTTGACGAAGGTTGGACAGTGACCAGTTCCGTCTTGCAGGCCACTCCTCTAATACACCAGTAATGACGACCGGCCGGTTTCGAGAGACGATCTTAGCAAATTCTGTTGCGCTTGGGTGGTGTACACGTTCTATAGTAAAGCCATTGAGGTCCATAATGCTCTATCAATATACGCTCTACAGGGCTGGTTCAAGAGGTCGTGATACCTTGGTATTCTCTGATCATATCCTGTACTATCTGCTCCATTGTACTGAGGTATGCTCTGGTAAAGGTCTGAAAAGTGAACGTCTTGCAGGTAGCGGTGGTCGTTTTGGAGGTCAAGAATTCTCGGTGAATGGGTCGACGGCCAGGGGCAGCTGCGATACATCATCACGCAGGAAACACCGACCACCCATAACAGTCTGGAAACAGCCGAGCGATTCTTCCAGTTTCTATTGCGCATACAACGACACCTTGATGAACGATCCAAACCAACCAGATGGCTTCATTCCACCTGGCAAACCGGTGGATGAGGCACCATCTTTGAGCGCCAGCGCTGATGACGGGTGGGGTAACATTCTTCTGTCCGATGTTCGTTTCAGTTATAGATGCCAAGTGTGTGCCAGGAGCTCACACAGTATGATTAGGCCGGTCTCGATATCCTGCTACAGCGAGCGAAGCAGAGTGTAGCTTCAGGCAAGGAACTCGCGAGTTTCCTTAGGAAGCGAGCACAACTTGAGGAAGAGCATGCCCGAGGTATTTATCGTACCCCTACTCGCAGATCGCATGTCTAATAATGTACAGGCCTGCAACGGCTATACCGGCAAACCCAGGAGAACCTTCGGAAACCTGAAGTCAAGCAGCAATCATTCTCAAGACAGATCATTTCCGCATTACAGGTTCATGACAAGCTCGTCGAGAATAGTTTGTCTTTCGTTAACCAGCTGCATGAAATGGTAGACGAGATCGATAAGATGGCCAAAACGACACATGCAACTCGCAAGCAGTTGAAGGAGACGGGTTTGAGGAGTGAGCGCAATGTGGTGGATGCGGACAAAGAAGCGGAAAAATCTAAAGCAAAGTATGAGTCTATCTGCGAGGAATACGACCGTACACTGGCCCTTAAAGCCAACGACGTAGCTGCAAAGAAGTCCAACAAGACATTTGGCTTCAAGTCATCTAAATCTGGATCTCAGCTAGTGAAGCACGAAGAAGAAACTCGTTCGCGAGCAGAGAGCGCAGATCGCGAGTACAAGGAAAAAGTCAGAATCGCTCACGATATGCGCGAGGAGCTCTTACATCAACTTCGACCACGCCTTGCCCGGCAATTTCAGGACCTTATTTCCGAAAGCGACTCAACAATGTCCTTCCAATTACAGAAATATGGATTTTTGCAAGAAGCGCTCCTACTTAACCATGGTGTCTCAATTTCCCCAGCCGAGCCGCGTCAGAATGGCGAAGGACTCCGGAACATACTCGCAGACATTCAGGACGAAGAAGATTTTGGTATTGTATGCTATTAAAGAGTGCTGTTCACCTTCGCTGACCTCTTTCAGTTGAATACGTCACCGGATTCTCCTCCAAAGCCAGTGTACCACAGCGATCAGAGGTACATTATGAGGCACATGCTGTGAGTACAATTGCAAACTCCATGGTTGAAGCTGAACATGCTAACATTCATCGATCAAGTCATTGCACCCACCAGCTACCCCTGAGAATCCAACATTTGGAGTTCACCTGCGCCAGCTCACACAATCTGAAGGAACGGCTGTTCCGCATGTTGTCATTCAGTGCTGTACGGCTGTGGATAAGTTTGGTTTGGATGTTCAGGGAATCTATCGTCTAAGCGGTACGGCGTCACAAATACAGAAGATCAAAAACATGTTCGACGAAGGTTTGTCGATACTCTTAGCGTATTACTCACTCTGTTGCTAACTGGCTTAGCAGATGCCGAGAACGTCGTGTTGAACTCGCCAGATGATTTCTTTGGCGACATCAATGGCGTGACAGGCGCCTTGAAGTCGTTCTTCCGTGAACTGCCCGACCCACTTTCCACAAACACGCTTTACCCCGAATTCATCCAGGCCGCGAAGATCGACGATGACGTTCAGAGGAGGGATGCTTTGCATGCCGTAGTGGTGAGTGCTACACGAGCCTGCGGTAGGAACACGCCAGTTAACCACGACGTAGAACAAACTCCCAGATCCGAACTACGGTATCTTGAGATATCTATGTTTCCACCTGCATCGCGTCCAGCAAAACGAAGCCGCCAACAAGATGCCAATTACCAATCTTGCCATTGTCTTCGGACCTACGTTGATGGGCAGTGGTGGAGCAGTTGCAGATATGGGATGGCAATGCAGAGTTGTGGAGACGATCTTGTCCTATTGTTACGACATATTCGAAAGCGAGTAAGGACCGATATGCGTGAGAGATTTCGGGTGTGACTTCAGTTGAATACTGGACACCGGTCTTCTAGGTGGAACGATATGCGGCAAAGACCGCCATAGTCGTTAGGCTGGTCAGAACACTTGACGCCAGATTCACCTAAGGCACGTTAGTGGATGACAATGTCAAAACCGCTGGGACATACCTGGTTGTTGTCTAGATAGTTACCCCAGGCCGCGCCGATGGTGGTGGCAGTCTTGCCATCCACCTTCGCATGCTTGCCTCCATGAGCTTCGATGACTTTCTTACTTTCCTTATCCAAAGCCGTTGCCTGTAGAGTAGCTCCCAGCAATGAGTCAAGAAGACTTCCTCCAAGTCCCGAGAAAACACCGACGATGACCAATTCCGCTCTGTTAGTAGAGGCGCAGACAGGGAACGTCAACATAGCCAGTACGCCCATGATAAGGCCACCCATTAATGCGCCAAACAGACCTAACGCCGACACACCGCCGTTGAAGCCCCGGGGCACGGGCTGCAAGTTGAGGATCGACACTGGAGGCGTAGTTGACAAAATCCCCAACTCGGAAGAATATGTATCAGCCGTTGCGCAGGCATAATGACTGATTGAGGTTGTGAGCATACGCTTCTTTCCAGCATACATCTCTTTCAACTTACGCCAAAACACCCACAAGCAACACATCGTTCCACAAACTAAGCGTGCTAGCTCCGAAGCAGAGGGAAGGATCATACACATAAATCTGATGGATCAATCCCAGAGTCACGGCAGTCATCGAGTTTGCGAGGACCTGTACCCAGGTACGAGCCGGGCCCTTCTTTCCCTTCTCAGACAATGACGTGTGAGAAACATCCGCGAGAACCGTGGTTTCCTTAACGGATTGCTTGTATCGGGTCAAGGCAGTACCCTAAAACCCCAAATATGATGAGCTCGAGTAGAAGAATTAACAGCCGGCTCAATGCATACCGTCAAGTAGAATATCGTGAGGAGCCAAGCATTCGCCGAGTACGGATGAGAAACGGTAACCAAGCCAACGATTGCTGCAGCTATTGATCCCGAGACAGAGAGTGAGCCCTTGGCATATGCTCTACCAGCCAATGTCAAAACAATGGCCGGGCCGACGACTGAACCCATGGCGAATTTGGTGGTTGTGTGTGCCGTCCACGTATCGTCCGCGTACCTGGCCCGCTGGTGCCTTGCGCTGCTTTGTCGTCATCTATAAACGAGGACCAGCCAGGATACACTCATACACGGCAAACTCTCTATAAACGAGGACCAGCCTCCGTGTCTGTTACAGGCTACACTTCGCAAGATACACGATGATGCTGTCGCCAGCTCCGCCAGCCCAGCCCACGCGGGCCATGCATCTGACCGCCCTTGTCGCCAATATGCTCGCCATTCGCGATACGCTCCTGTTGCAAAACACAACATCCGGAGATATCGTGAGCTCATCGAATCAATTGATCAATACATTGCAGTCGTTCAAATCCATTATCGCGGAGCAACCGCTTGACGAATCGGAACGGACATTCGAAGATGCTTTGCACTCTCTTGCTCAACAAGTCCGCGACATATGCGTACTTAGTGCAAAGTTTGAGGATGCCATACGCCGTGCGACGCCCGATGAGCTGGACTCATATGTCGCATCGAGTGAATGCGAATGCAACTACCCCAAGCCCTCCAAGAAGGTCATGAACGATCCGGCATACATCCGATCGCTATCTGCTTCTCCTGAACCGGATAGCGTCGACGAATATCAGCAAGAGGACCGAACGGAGCCCTTGAAGAGCTGGTTTGTGCAGCACGTGACGGACCCATATCCCACGAGCAAGGAGAAGGAGGAGCTTTGTCTACAAACGGGAATGAAGCGCACGCAACTCAATATGTGGTTCACGAATGCGCGCAGGAGATCAGAATGCGGAGCGAAGTTCTTGGACGATATCATCGAACCGCGCTTGAAAGAACTTGATGCGTTGGACTGGGTACCGGAGGCTGATGTGGACTAGGGGCATTTGTCTTGATGTTGGAAGGCAACATGAGTACACCAACACAAGAAAGACAATATCTTATTCATAGCTATCGATAAGGTGATTTTTATGCTTTTGATCTAACACACGTAGCAATATATTTAGGTAACAATGTCATTACGGCGCAGCTGGACTGGACGCTTAACTTCGAATGGTTCAAAGTATAGCTACCTCACCTACATACAGGTACGATGTGTGTGTAGGTATAACCGATTGAGCAGTAGCTGCTACTGCTACTAGGACATGTATCGCAGCCGCCCCTAGCTGCGCTACTTACACGTGCACACACCCGCCATTGCCTTTAGCACGGTGTTTAAATCAGGCGTACCTGCACAGCACAACTCTTTGTGCTTCCTTTGTCCACTGACGTTTAGCAAGCTGGATAGACGTACCATTCGGACGAAGATGTAGGCTGTATACGAACACTGTTACTCGCCGAAGTACCTATGGCGGCTGCACGATCACGAAAAAACAAGCAACGTCGGTATACCGCTGGCTGCTCCAAGTGGTCTATTAAGGACACGCCGATTGCACGTTCAGCGACGCCGCCATCAGACGTTCCGGGAGTCGTGCAGAACGGGCAGCATCCTAATATACATTTCATTCAATGTGTTGATGGAAATGCTAGGCATGAAGTCCTCCTTGTTGAAGGTGACGCTTCTTCTTCAGTGCCACGCGCTTCTAGCTTGGAGAAACCGGCACAGAGTCGATATGCGACGTCGAACTCATTCTTTCTCTTCAGACAAGCCATGGCGCCGCTTAACTCACATCTCGGCCATCAGACTGCTATCTCGAAAGCTCTGAGTCGAGATTGGGACAAACTGAGCAAGAAGGAGAAAGACATCTGGCATCAGCTCTACGTGAAGCTGCACGATGATAACAAGATTGAAAAGCTGCTGCAAGATAGGCGACGTTTTGCTCCGCCAAGTCCTCACCCGGCCGGCAGGAGCACACATACAAGAACTGAAGATCCGGCGACGGAGGAAGATGGAGATGGCATCAGTATGTGTCAGCCCAACTCCATGCCGGTGAACAGTATTTACGGTGATGCGCACGGTGATCTGTGCCATGTTTGGGATCATTCTGCGCAGTTTCGTCAACCGATTCCATCTATATATACAGCAACATACCTGCTTGTCGACGGTGATGTTGCATCGACGGAAGTCGCAAGCCCATACCTGAGCTATGATGAATATAACGTCTCAGCCCAGAGCTTCGACATGCCAATAAGCGGCTTTATCGATTATCAGCCTTGCCAGTCGGCATTCCTAAAGCCCTACGTGATGCCGCTTTCCGGCAGTGGGACAGAGGAGCTCGTCCCTCATATCATGCCGGTTTACGCCACGTCTTCCGCACAGGGTGGGGCAGGTTTTGATTATTCTCTCTATACATCATCACCGGATCTAATCTGGTAATATGCATACGTCTGGTCAGGGTATAGTCAAATCAGTAAGGGTATACCAAAGAACATTCAATTCATAAACATGACTCCGATCGCTAAAATTCACTGCAATGAGCCCAATCAATTCCATTGGTTCTGCACACTCGTTAGGAAGTCGAAACGGAATCAGTGGAATCACTTACATGATCCCAGTGTGGGTCCTGAATAAAAGCACACAACACCTTAGAACCTGTCTGCAACAACGGATGACCTGCGACACTTCAGACGTTGTTAGCGATTATGAAAATACAAGATTTTGATTTCATACATTTGAAGAAACCTCTCTAGTCCATCTCGTCGGTGCTCAATCACTTCATCGGAAAACCTGTTCGTGAACACTTTCCCGGGCAAAGAAGGAACGGAAACCCTTGACGATTCCCGCTCTAGAATCTCGCGGAAATGCTCGAAATCGCTGTATCTGCGACGGACGTTTGACTGCCTGAGTTTGAATGCGGGTATGTTCGTCTAAGGGGGTTTCGTTATCATCCGATCCACGCCCGTCGAGGAGTGCTTCATGACTTACCTTGCAAATGATCTCATAGTCCGTGTACATCTTTCTGCCAATACCATGAGTTTGGGGATTCCGAACCTTTCATGCGCATTTAGCCCCTTCCATCCCATTTCCGAGTTCTGCAAGCACCAAACATACCTCTATCTCCAGGAAGTTCTCTGGGACCCCATATCTGATGAACTGATCAGCTAGAAGAACATAAACCCGGAATAAATGCGCCACACAGTTCGTCCATTGGCATCTGACGCATTTGCGGACGGGAGTTCTCGTCGAATCCACGCGGAAGAGGCTGCATGATGGGCGAGGGTGTATCGTGAGAGGGATGCTATTGCAGAGAGACTGGAGGCAGTAGTTCAATCTGATGTCTGATGGGTCGTTTGCGAGCGTTACCGATGGTTTGGATGACGTTTCCCATTGTATGCGGCCCTTGCGCAACCGTGCGTGTACTGTAGGTATCGATAAGCGACACCTGCCCCGTCGCTGGCACTGGAACATTCGAACGGCCTTGCGCGACCATCCAGCCTGAAGCCACGACTGACATGATACGGAAGAGCTTTGATGATCACCATTACCCGGTCCTCACTCCCCATGCTATCGCAAGTGCGGCCATCGTCGACATATACTGCTCCATGCTGCTCCCTTCGTCTTGCACAATCGGCGTGCTGGCAGTAGTCATGGAGTCCGTGAAGCCGAATCACCATGATAGCGGAGACCTTTCTGCTCTACTATCTAGGCTTACGCGTTACCAGAGTACGCTTCCTAGTAAGAATGTTGCTGATCTCCTCCTTGAAAGAGTTGGTCAACCTATCGACAATTACCACTTCCTAGCACGGCTGACATCGGCATAGTTACGCGATCTTTCTACATTCGACTCGTTCAACGATTATGTTAGTAATCTCGGTACGCTTGTGGTTCGGCGTGAGCCAGAAGCGATTCCAGAGGCTCGAATGCTGCGTCTGAGTAGAACCTCTGTTCTCGGTCTTTTCATTCGACAATGCGCTCTCGCATACAACCGGATGTCTTTCGCATCGGTTACACGTCTGTGGACTTCCTTCCTGGCCTTTAGTCACAATGCAATGACGAGAAGTATGAATGCATTTGAAGCGCCGGATCATCCTGCTTCGAAGCATGATCAGACGGATGGTGCCAGCTCCTCCATGGATATCGACAGCCTGATACTTTTTCAGACGTCCTACATGCAGAGTACGTTTCTCTACTCTCAGGTGGTATCATACTTGACTTACCTTCCGCAGCATACATCTCTGAGCTGCCCGTATCCATGCGTACCGCAATCCGAAGAATCTTCTCGGCGGACTCTGTGACGGCTCCGTCCAACGCGTACCTGAGGTATGAATACTTTCTGTCTCATAAATACTCACCTCTCATCTGTCTGGAGCAGGTTTCTGGATGCCTGGAGGAAAGGCGATGGCCATGCCTCGCTGGAGAACCTGAGACGCTATTTTGACTATTCAAACGGAGTTCAGGACGTGTACGTCTATGCGTACATGCGCCTATTTGCCCTTGCTGACAAGATCTTAGGAGGCTTCATCGATATGCGCTACTCACCTTAGCGATACTATCGGCTGAGCTTCAATGCCCGCGCGAAGCCTCATCGGTGAGGAGCATCAGATGATTGCGGAGGTACGATCAACTAACACCATTCCCATCTTAGGCAATATCAGAGGCTATCAATACGGCACGGGGAAGCAGAGACCATGCATTTCTGGCCTTTGCACTCGCTCTTCAGAACAGATTCCGTCTGAGTTGGCCAGGTGAAGATTCAGGAAATATGGCTCAGGTGAGTCTTTGACCGTATGTGTTGGAGGATGCTCACAATGTATTGCATCTCGCAGGTATCACACCCAGCAACAGCTCTGGAAGATTTCTACACCGCTAGTTATGTAAAAGCACGCCCTGAGAATTATAAGGTGGCACTGGAGGAAGGGTCATTGAGCGCCGAGATCTGGAACAATTTGGGTATGTCAGGGTTTCCGAACATTGAAAACTCTGCTCAAGTCACGGTTTTGATAGGAGAGAGTTATCTATCAAGACTTTATAGGGATGTTTCCCTCTTAGTGCCAGTTGATGCGCCAATACAGGTATCTACGGGTTGTCAGGTCTTGCCGTTTTCAGTTGCGTTGCTAATCCATATCCCTTGAAGGATTATGAACCTCGCATGTCAGTTTCAATACCTCCACCGCCAAGCGTCTTGGTGTCGCATCTGTCGTCTATCTGGCATGACAGGAAAAGGAGTTCTCCAAGTGCCATCAATAAGCACAGGTCTTTACTGCGTGAAGGCCGCCTGTCAAAGGTGGGTGAAATGAACGCTCCTCTTCTTAGGTTACACTGACAATTTAGGCTTACGATGTGTTATCCCACGTTGCGAGAATAAGCGATTCCCAAGATCCGGCCCTACGTCGAGAGCTGCAGAATCCAATATCTCATCTTCAAAAGGCAGGTAGTGTATCGATGGATGCCCTCATCGGCTAACAGCAATTTTTAGAACAACGCGTCAGCCGAAGGCTTTGGAGACATGATGCTGCTCAACAGCATTGATCGTTAGGTACAGCAACACTGAGATTCGCACGCTCATTGAGAGGACATCACACTTGCGGTCGAGAAAGTAAACATGACTTTTATAATCGAGGACGCCTGTATGCCAAACCAGAGAAGAGAAAAGTTCAAACCGCACCACATCTGAAGTCTCACGATACTAGACTAAGGAATAGCTCGTAGGAGCCGAACATGATTGCCGCGTTCGGCACGACTCTCATCATATGCGCCGTCAGACCACCATATAGAGCCGCCACACCCTCTTCCTTCAGTACTATTCTAAAACACTGCACCAAACCGGTGTATTTTTGCTTTCCATTCTCCATCGGCGCTTGTCGCAGACGCGTCCGAATGACTTCATGAGGATATGCGATACCAGCCGCAAATACCTTCGCTATACCGGCAGATCCCGATTTGCCCGCCCACTCAATGAATACGTCCATACTCGTCGGTTCAGGATCGATCAACCGCCGTCTAGCACTTCGTTCCGCTATCCTTCTCTTCAACTCCTCGTACACTACCCACTGTAGAGAACTTTCTGCGACACCAAGATAAGATGCACTCAGACCACGATATAAACCCCGCACACCTTCGTTCCGGACGGTTTGCATGAAACAATCCAAGCTGTTCTTGTACTGGCGACTTGCAGCGCCATCTGTTGAAGCCTTTTGTTTGTCCAGTTGCAGCCTAGTTTTGATGAGCCAGATAGGGTTCGTGCATGTCGAGGTGGTTATCCCTGCTGTAATTGCTGCAGTGACATGTACCCACGCAGCTTCTTTGCCGCCATTCAGGTTATCGGCGATGATGCGCTTTCCGTTGCCGTACATGAAGAAGTTTATAGCTCTTGCGGGAATGACACCAACAAGGTTAGGACCCAGTCCCTTGAATAGCGCTTTTGGACCCTCAATTCGGTAGATGTTGGTGAGAATATGAAAGGTATCCGCAAAGTGGGCGAAGCCACTTTTCACTATTCCCATCTTAACGGTTCCATGTGCCGCTCGTCGTTCCAGAAGCTGCTTTTTGTAGAAGTCGCTTTGCAGGCGGGTTTTGACAACGTCGAGCGGTGAGGTTGCTAATGCTCCAGACATACCGGCAAGTCTAAAGCGGGATCAGTCTCCATGGGTCAAGCACGTAGGATGCAACGACATACCCTCCAGCTGCAAAATGCGCCCAGGCGGCGGGAGCCTGCTTCTGCACGACCTGAGCATCGTTAGCTATTGGAGGTGCGGCCGGTGAGGTTGGCCGGGCGGAAATATTGGCGAGGTCTGCCGTATTAGACATATAGAAGCTGAGAATAAAAGTGACGTCGCCAGGTGCAAAAATGAGTGGATCTAATCCTCAGCGACGGAGATGATAGAAGTGGAAGGCGGTAGACGGTCTTTGCAGTCGGTAGTATTTCGGGGACTTTACTTACTCTACTTCTCTTTCTCGTGCGACGTCGTCGTACCCTTAAACTTTTGTTAATCGACGGCGACCCCGTGCAGGGGTACATCCACCCACACGTGACCCCGCCGCAGCTGTCAAACCCGGACGGGGCAGAAGAGGAGGAGGAGGGAGGTGCAGCCAGTTGATCCGCGTTATAGTTGGGCTTGATCTGATCTCTTGCTCCGTTATGGGTTGCAGCTGACGTCGTCCAAGTGTGACAGGAAGGGATTCAAAGTTGCGCAGCACATGAGACGGGAAAAGTCACGACAACTGGGACAATGTTTTGTAGATGCACTGTCAATTACCGAAAGCAAACCAGAGCAGGACACCTATCGCTCCCATTCACCCTTGCGTAATCCACAGGCAACAACTCCATCGACGCACCTCCGCTCCTTCGACCTATGCCTGCCACCTTCCAACGATGTTTTCCGCCAGACAGCTGTGATCCGACAATATCCTGCATGAACGAGAAACGATACCCAAGAATAACATAACAAAAAACCAAACTCCAGATGAACCCGCAAAATTGGCGATTCGCTTAGATGAAGGTCTCGTAGGGCTGGGCGTAGATAGTCTCGGGGGCGTTCTCAGCGGTCTTGACGAGGCGGGCCTCACGGGGCTGAGCAGGGAGACGCTTGAGCTGAACGAACTCGCCGTTGGCGGTCTTCTTCTTCTCAGCGTTCAACTTGACACGCTTGATGAAGTCCTCGCGGGAACGGGAGTGCTTGACGTGCTCAACGCGGATGTTGACACGCTTCTCCATGTAGCGGTTGCCGACAACCTTGTAGCAGATAACACCGACGGAGGACTTGGTGACGTTGTAGACGATACCAGTCTTACCGTGGTAGTACTTGTGGGGCATACCCTTCTGGACGGCACCGTTCACGACAATGTCAACGATGTCTCCGACCTTGTAGGTCTTCATGTAGGTCGACAAGCGGATCTGTCCATGCTGGCGGAATCCACGCTGGAAGAGGTACCTATGAGAAAGAACCGTGTGTCAGTCCCCAGAGCTCGGGAAAAAGCCGCAGAAACGCAGAGCGAGAGAACGGAGCGAAATACCTGGTGCGGGCGCGGTAACCGAAGGAGTGAGGCATACTGTCTTTGTCGCTTGGTGTTTTCGCCGGCTCACTGGAATCGTCGTCCCTCCCTGTCCCTCGATGCACCGGGGCGAATTTCTCTGTGGCTGCTGCCTGAAGGGTTTGTGGGCGGGAACCCTACGGCACCTGCACCCCCGCGCAAAAAATAATTACCAAGTACGAATCGCGGTCGCTGGAACGAAGCCTCGTCTCGACTCGTCCAGCACCCGTATCGACAACTGACCAGGTAAGTTCACGCGATTGCCCTGTTGTCGCGTCGTTTTCGATCTCTAATTCCCGTTCTACAGCCATGCCCCGTGCTCCCAGGAACTGCTCCAAGACCACTAAGGTCCCCCGTCGTCCTTTCGAGTCCGCTCGGTATGCCACTTTCCTTTCCTTGCGTGAGGATACGCTGCCTTGAGCTTTTTTGCTAACCACTCTATGTGGATAGTCTCGACGCCGAGCTTAAGCTCGCCGGTGAATACGGTCTCCGCAACAAGCGTGAAATCTGGCGTGTCATGCTCACCCTCTCCAAGATCCGTCGTGCTGCTCGTGAGCTCTTGACCTTGGATGCCAAGGACCCCAAGCGTCTCTTCGAGGGTAACGCCTTGATTCGCCGTTTGGTCCGCATCGGTGTCTTGGACGAGTCTCGCATGAAGCTCGATTACGTCCTTGCCTTGAAGGTTGAGGACTTCATGGAGCGTCGTCTCCAGACCCAGGTCTTCAAGCTCGGTTTGGCCAAGTCCATCCACCACGCTCGTGTCCTCATCCGTCAGCGCCACATCCGCGTCGGCAAGCAGATTGTCAACGTTCCTTCCTTCGTTGTCCGTCTCGACTCCCAGAAGCACATCGACTTCGCCTTGACCTCCCCCTACGGTGGTGGTCGCCCTGGCCGTGTCAGGCGCAAGCGGTAAGACTACCTGTGTTTATTGTTTTTGATCATATGCTTACAACTGTTTAGTGCTGCCGCTGCCGCTGGCGGTGACGCCGAGGAGGCCGAGGACGAGGAGTAAACAAAAACTCCCATGGCTGGTTTCCCTGCATATAGTAGGGTTTAAGATATCAATAATATGTTTCTTGGGCTCGCTACACCATTGTTCCAAGTCGGTTGTCATTCCCATACATGATCTGCTGGCACCCATGCCCATGTCCATGTCTCCTTCCGTCGCCAGTCGCAATTGCGCGATGACATCCTGACCGTAGGACCAATGCGATCGTCATTGTCAATAACAGCCGTTCCACTCATTCAATTGCAACCCTTGAATCCCGTACCGCCTAGGAGCACATACAACATTGCCTCGCGTCTCTGGCCCTGACTTGTGTGGGGCCGACACCTCCAAAGCATCATTGACAAGGAGCGCATTCAACCACAAACAACGAACCCTACTCCAGCTCATTCATTCCAGCATACATCCCGCTTGAGAGACGTTATCGAGCTTCACCAATTGGGATCCACGCTCTAGAATCTCACAACGTAACTCACAAACGCCGTGCCTCGGAAGCAATGCAAGCAATCAAAGTAAGCCATTCCACGGCTTCTTTGCAAGAACCTGGCACTTACTGACCGGTTATAGTGTGTTGTCGTCGGTGACGGTGCTGTTGGAAAGACCTGTCTCCTTATCTCATATACAACCAATGCATTCCCGGGAGAATACATACCAACAGTCTTCGACAACTATGCTGCGGTGGGTAGTCCTCAGTCCAGCATACATGACCAATTCAACTGACAGCCCGCATGAAGAATGTCATGGTAGACGGAAAACCGATTAACCTAGGATTGTGGGATACCGCTGGACAAGAAGACTACGACCGACTTCGGCCTTTATCCTATCCACAGACCGACGTCTTTCTGATTTGCTTCTCCTTGGTCAGTCCACCAAGTTTCGAAAACGTTCGCACGAAGGTATGGGTGGTTGTATCTAAGACCGCTGTACTGGCTGACAACATCCATAGTGGTTTCCGGAGATCTCTCACCATGCTCCAGGGGTTCCCACAATATTGGTGGGGACAAAACTCGATCTGAGAGAAGACAAGACAACGATAGACAAGTTACGCGAGAAAAGAATGGCGCCTATTGGATACCCACAGGGTCTCCAGATGGCAAAAGATATCAGTGCTGTGCGGTACGGTTGTCCTCTTCTCGGCACCCGTTTGCATGGCTAACAGGTTCATAGCTACCTTGAATGTTCGGCTTTGACACAGAAGGGATTGAAGAGTGTGTTTGATGAAGCGATTCGGTTTGTTTACGATGCCCTATTTGGTCTAGGATCAAGCTAATCGACTATGGTGTACAGTGCTGTGCTGGTACCAAGCGTACCACAAGGTCGAAAGAAGAAGGGATGCACGGTACTCTAAAGGGCATGGATTGCGCAAGGAGAAATAACTGGTGCCGTCTAATCATTGAAATTCATGCTTGTTTTTGCCACAGTCGTATACCACTGTTCTTGGGAATATATATTTCGTTCGTTCAATGAAAACTACCTTCGTCCTTGCTGCTGCATCATCCTCAGCCGCTCCGGGTTGATACCACTTCCATCGTTGACAACAGCCTTCCTCTGACCTGCCACCTCGTTCTCCTCCTTGATCCTCTCCCTACGCTCCTCAGTCAAAGCATCGTTCTTTTCTCGCAACTTCTTCGTACGCGCCTCTGATTTTCCTCCACCTCCCGCAGTGAGCTCGATGTTGATTTTCCGCCCGTCCAAGAATGTGTGGTGGAGTTTGAGAGCTTTCTTCAGCACGGATGGGTTGGTGAATTCGACGAATGCGAATCCTTTTGGCTTGTGGGGTGGTTCCTTGGCTGTAGGGAGGCGTATGGACGAGGGTTCACCGACACCGGCGAAGTGTGCTTTCACTTTCTCGAGAGTTGCCGAATAGGGCAAATTTCCAACGAAGAGAATGAAGCGATGTTGCGTGGGCTTGTCGCCCTTGGCCTTCTTCGGAGCAGACGCCGCAGTCTTCTCGCCTTGTTCAGCGGCATCACCAGTCTCCGCAGCCTCTTCCTGATCACGCTTCCTCTTCTTGTCCTTCGGCTTCTTGTCCTCCTTCTTCTCCCCTTCCTGCTTGGCTGAAGTCGAAGGAGCAGCTGGCTTCTCTTTCTCCTCGGTGATCCGCTTCTCCTTCTCTGCCTTCTTGACCTTGAGCTTTCCGGTACGGAAGTCGAGGGCCTTCTGCTTCTTCTTTGACAGTTTCTCCTCTGCCATGATACGTGAGAGTGTCGAGGAATTTTTGTTGATACGAGGTGTAACGTTGAACCTTTACGAAACTAAATTTGGGTGCGGCACTTGGCCCCCATGTGGAGGTGCCTGAATCAGCAGCTGCACCCGTTTCTCAGGTTAAGCTTGATGAGGACGATATGGACAAGAGATGGGAATCATCGATATTGGATTATCTAGAAGAACACAATCTTGGTCTTGCCCTCCTTCAAGCGCTCCAGAATCTCGGTGTGACAGATAATCGAGACAACATCCTTCCAGCACTCTTGCATGTCCCAGATCGAACGCTGCTTCGCATCCTTCCAGGAGGCATCGATGAATATCCGTTGCACATGGTCAACCTTCAGTGCGTCTGTAGTTACACTTGTAAGCAAACCAATGTCAATATGTAAGCTGAGATGGCATACCTTGCTGGATCAGAGCCAGCACACGATTTGGAGTACCGACACCGAAACCAATACGGTTTTCTGAGACGAACTTGACGTGCTCGCCAAGTTTCATATGTTTTGCGAAGAGCTTGGCGACTCCAGAGGTGGGCGTCTTGTAGACTCTCAGAGCGCGGGTAAGATCAGCAACACGCAGTGCTGCAGAGCCGAGGAAGATTGTATGAGGGGAGCCATTGTTCTCAGAAGACTCGCTAAGCTTTGCTTTTGGTACCGAGACTGCGGATTCATAAGTCAGCAGGTGTAAAGACAATTTCAAAGGAACGAAACATGCATTTCTGCACGAAGGTATGCAAGGTCTCCAATGACCGCTTCTCACCCCATAACACCGTATCAACAAAGGCCTTCGCGGAGATCATCTTCTCGTCAAGCTCAATGCTCGACAAGGTAGGGTATGCCGCCTTGATCTTCTTCGACACGAAATCGGCCTGCAATTGTGGGTCGAGTACCCCTACCGACGGCTGTCCCGCCTCAGCATCCTCAGCGAGCCTCATTCTCTTCTTGACTGCTCGCTTTTCCTTATCCCTCTTCCTCTTGAGCTTCTTTGCATCGTCCGCGTCTGGCGTCTCCGAAGCCTCGACATCATCACCGTCGTCCTCACCCGTGGCCAAAGCGTCGGCCGCATCGAACTCATCGTCAACAGCATACTCCAGTCCATCATCCAGATCATCTCCCCCAGGACTGACAGGTCGTTGACGCTTACTGGTGGACATGGTTGTGTTATGACCGAGAAAAGTGCCGAGTCTTCGTTACATGGCTTCGGTATGAATTCTAAAGTTCTCCACCTCATCACCAGCCACACCCCAACCTTAAGTACTGCTGGTTGCAAAATGCTTGTCGCAGGGCCTAAATCACCCCTGCGCGTCTGACATCGACACTCCAACAAAACGCGTCATAACTCCATCAATATGCCTCCTAGGAAGCTGAGAGGAGCAGCCAAACAATCACTTCAGCTCAGGGCTTCAAGCCGCACCCCCAAACCCCCGCCTAGGCTCGAGGATGATTTGCAGTCAAGCCCCCCATCAAAACCACCCGCCAGGGTTAAACGTACCAAAACAGTCATTGATCTCGAAATCGAAGACCCAGCTCCTGAACTTGTGAGTCAATACGATGATTTCATGGTTCAGGTTATCGTTACTAGGGAGCCGAAATTTAGGTATGCCCAAGGACCCTTCATGGTCAACCCCCTGAAAGAATGGGACTTTGTTCAACCACTATTGCTCGATCTCGCCCTCGAGGAGTTGCGTCACAACCCTGTGGTCAAAGAGGGCATCAACATTCACTCCCTTACTCCCTACATTCAATGGAAAGTTGTAC